ATGTGAGAAGGAAGGCCGTTGATCCGTCCTGATACAGTTTACAGTCCAGTCCAGTCCGGCGGGGGGAGGAGGGATACCAGAAATGTGCAGCTTTCATATGCCGGTCAGTGGTTTGAAAAGACCTTGGTTGGCCTTGGCAGAGCTGCCAGTGTAGGGTAGGGTAGCTCGCAGGTAACCGGCTTCAGCTGATGGCGCGGCGAACTAGAGCAGCCACAGGTCAGGAAGGCAGGACAGACAGCATTCAAGGATTTCAATGACCTGCAGCTGGTCCGTAATCCAGTACAATAATAGGTACCGTCCCGTCGTTGTTGCAGTATCGCATTTATTATTGGCTGGCGAGCAAAAGGAATGGGCAAATGGATTGTGTGAAGTAGTGTAGGAGGGAGTCTGTCTGCCAGGTCTTTTGAAGTTGAATGGAAGTAGAAGTAGAAGTGAAAGTTGAAGTTGAAGTCTCAAACACAACCTTTCCTGCAATACGACCTCAAGTGTCAAGCTGAAGAGCAAAGCCAGAATCGATTGGGTGTGGGCTGTCGGAGAAGAGGGGAGGGAGACCCTTTGGATGAGTGGTGGAGTGGTGGTGGGATGGATGGGAGGGGATGGAAGGAAAAGGTTAAGCGCCAGCTCGGACGCGACGCGTTTTGTTTACAAAGTTTTACGCGTTGTCCACCAATCAGCACGCGTCCATGCAAAGGAGTCTGGACACCTCCAAAACGTCTGTAAGGTAAGGTAAGGTAAGGTAAGGTAAGGTACGAATGTGAGAGTGTGACCAGTAGCAAAGTTAGTACTCCAGTACTACTGATACAGAAGCATCTCTTCCAACAACTGATTTTATCACAAATCGACCTCTCTTCCTTTCCTTCCTACCTCCCTACCTCCCTACCTCATTTCTCAATTTCATGCAATATTAACATCCTGAAATTGGATTTTGTACAACGCATCGTGATTCTTCGACTGCCGTCATCAACGTAGTGGAATGATCGTCCATGACGTGGGCAAGAAAGCTCAGGCCATCATGCACGTGCACGCGTGTCAAAGCTCGGGATTGTTCGGTCGATGGCCAGAACTCAACCCCTTTCCCTACCTCCTTTTATCCTCACCCCTTTTCACTCTTCGAATTCTTGAGATGCAGTGCGGTGAAAGTGGTTGATAAATGATAAACTTCTGATATGACCCCCATATGTAGCCTGGTCTGATACAAGATACAAAAGCCGGTCCCCTCCTCTATAGAACCTTTCGAGGACCTCAGCATAAACATGCCCTCGCCTCTAAGTACATTGGTCTTCGTAGGGCCACCCGTTCCTTATAGATCAAACTCCACGTCCTTGCGCCACCCAATGCTACCAAAACCCCAAACCCCAAAGACCCCATGCAAACTCAGACCAGAACCAGCTTTCTGCTGCTCATATGTACACTGTCCCCATTGCAACCAACATGAGAACCATTAGCACCTGCGAAGGTAATGCCAGACTACCAGCGGATAGCGAAGGAAGCGGCCCCGGGTAATTGCAATGAGCTGGGGTCATTTCACCTGTCGACGAATTACTAAATGCACCATTGATTTGCCCATAACTTTGGTTGAACGAAATACTGCCAGGTAGTGGGCAATCGAAAGTCATCGAAGCGGGGCAGCTTTGAACCACATGGTAGCATAAATCTTCACATGGAAGAAGCTCCTTATATGGTCCAGACGTTACATTCGCGTCAATCACTGGGTTGCGTGAATTCCTGACAAATGCACCTTGAGCACCTAGTTCGACATAATCCGGGTGATACGACCCATTTGGGAACGGGTAGCCCATTGCACGCACTCGAAGATAGTCTTGGGAATCGGTCGAGTTTTCAGTGCAGCGCGGGATTGCAACTGCACATAACCACTCCTTATATGCTGTAGTGCAATTATCACAGTTGCGGGCGAGAGAGTACTGAGCGGATCCAGTCGTTTCACAAGGTGTCATATTCAAAACATTCTGAAAATATCCGAATTGTTGCCTGGCATAGTTATCGTAGAAGTCGGCCAAGGCTGTCGAATTGGGAAACTTTGTTGGATTGCTTGGGACCGCGTATGACACCGCATCACAGAAGGATAGGTTGGTAATTACAGCACAGTTTCCATCTTGACGAGTCAGCTGGCTTTCAACCAAGGGATGAGAGAAACATACCTGAGAGGGTACTGAAGTTTGTCGCTCGGAAGACAATACCTCCACCTCCAACGATGCCGGATCCAGAACTCGTCGAGTTCCCATTCATAGCGAGGGCGGCACGGTATTTTGAACCACCAGACAGACCTTGGACGTAGAATTGCTCATCAGGCAACTGGTCAACTTCCCGCTTGGCCACAGAACTTCCCACTTGGATCCCCGGCTCCCCCTTCGTCCAGGCGCAGTAGGAATTTTCAAGCCCTACGATAGATTGATCACTCATGTCCCGGGCAAATAGACTAAACGGTGTTGAAACGTCCATCCATTTAGCGTGGTTTTGGCCATCTCCGTCGAGCTTCATCGGGTTACCAGCAAGTAATAATGCAGAGCCTGTGTCGCTATCCACCAGTGAAAGATTATCCGACGAATCGTAATAATAATGGTAAGGAGCATCAATAGAGGCCGCGATCTCAACCTCCCAAGGATGGTCTGTATATGTTGTTTGGGTGTTATTGTTGCCGAAGACCCCAAAGTAAACATCGCCTGTAGCATTGAGGGCGAGCATCACATAGCCTCCTTCCAACTCGATCATATCCTGAGGAGATGTCCCAGGACCAGGATTGGTATTGTTTGCTGACTGTGATACATACAACTGAAGTTGCGGCGGGGGTACATGTATGCTAGTATCAAGTGCTGTTGGCTGAACGCAAGCAGTGACAGAAATATATAATGTTCGAGAATTTGAGCTCGACTGTCTAGCTTTCAGTTTGAGGTCCCCACTCTCTTGACTGTCGTCTTCTAATTCATCTTCCTCAAAATCTCGTCCTTGAATCCGCAAAGGAGATAAAAAAGCTTTCGTTGTCGATTTCTCGCCATATAGCGAGGCATTAGAGAAGATATACGACACCGTTTGTCCCAAGGCAATGTTTGTCGTCTCTAGACGATTGTTAATTACTTCTTTAGGCTCATTGCCTGTAGGAGCTCTGCCAATGATTCCCCGATCGACACCTATGAATTCTGCCTCGTATGATATCTCTCCCCGTTCCAACTCTTCCATATCGACATCCAGAAACGGCCTCTCCAGTAACCGCTCGTGGTTGTGATCTTCGGGTCGTATTGAATCGACGTCGGTGGCATATGCAAAGTGAGGAGACGCAAACGTAAAGTATAACAGCAAGAGTAGAAGTGATGCTATGAGGGATGCTGCGAGCCGCGACTGTAGTGGGCTGAGCTTGGTGAGGGGCATTGTGCTCTCAGCGCACGGCGCATCGGGTTTCCGCGATGCTGAGTTTGGTAGGAAAAGATTCTACTGGTCGAAGGAACATTGGAGTCGCATCGCTGCGCTACTTTCTGGTGGTCGTCAACCTGTTGCTTAATCTCTGATTTTGGAGAGATTGTTGTGTGTAGGTTTTAATCTGACCTCCTTCAAACGTGAAGCTCAAACCTCTCGCCTCTCTATCTTCCTAGGTACCTTAGGCTAAGGTATCAACCCCTATTTTTAGCACTAGCCCTGAAATGGACGGTATAGTAAACGTAACGCATGTGAACGTGAACAATCCAGTACTCTTCTCAGCTCCCTTGATGCTTGAAGGTATATATAACTAGAATAAATATACACCATGCAGCTTCTTATAGACCCATAATACCACTTCTGAAACACTAAGGTACCTAGGTACCTAAATAATACTTAGTCTGCAATCCCGAATCTTGAATTGAGCTTGTCACGTGGCCATCACCCCGGCCAAGCAGGGTTATCGATCCTCCCAAAGGAAGCTACGTACTACTGGACAGTTCTTCCCTCATGCAAGTCGTCATATCTTCTTCCCCTTCAACACACTTGCAACGTCCTTTGTCCATCTCCAACACCAAACATTCCAGTTCAACAAGAACAAGCACGTTCTCCCAAGACTCTTTTTTTTGCAAGCTAATCGCACCTGTGCATATACACCATTCATCATGTCGTCCTTCCAAGACAAAACCCAGAGCTACATCGCTCACCTTGATAAGGAGGTAAGCACACAATGACCACGAGTTCTGCGCATCCAAATCGCCTGGCAGCTGCGATAGAGATTTCTTCGCTGCGCGACGTTGCGCTGTTGAATTAGAATCAAATACTCACTAATCGCTCAACCAGCTTTCCAAGTACCCAAGCTTGAACAACCTTGAGAAGCAGACTTCGGTTCCCAAGGTTTACGCCTTTCTCGGATTGGGCGCATTCTACTTCTTCTTCATCTTCTTCAACATCGCTGGTCAGTTTCTTACGAACATCGCCGGATTCGTCATTCCAGGCTACTACTCCCTGGAAGCATTGTTCTCTGTCGGCAAGGCCGACGACACTCAGTGGCTCACGGTATGCCACAACATCTGACTCCACTGCCAACAATATACTAATACTCCGCCTACAGTATTGGGTCGTGTTCGCATTTTTCACGGTGTTTGAAAGCGCTGTTAATGCTGTCTATTGGTTCCCCTTCTACTACACCTTCAAGTTTCTCCTCGTGCTCTGGCTTGCTCTTCCAGTCACTAGGTGAGTCTACCGACCCCTTCATTCGTGCGCCATACTGACAGCCCGTACAGCGGCGCTCAAGTCGTCTTCCGTTCATTCGTTCAGCCAGTATTCTCTCGCTATTTCACTGGAGCTGGCGCAACTGCGGCAAACCTTCGCTCAAAGGTCGACTCTGCCGGCGACAAGACCTTGTAAACAGTGCAAGCTAAGTAAGCCCCTTGAAAGGCTGGCCAAGCCGCTTCAACCAATATGATGGCAGAATTTTGGGGTTTTCATCAATTAATGAGTTATCGACTGGATTACGAAAGAGATGTCTCGGCCACAATGATATTTGTGGGTGGCTTATGCCGGTGGAGTCGTGGTGGAATATCGGAGGGTAGGGATAATGGGAAAAGGGATAACGGGACGAATCTCTTTTGGTCTTCTTGGGCTAGGAATCGTTTTATATGAATTGTTATATAGAGCTACGTGTGCCAAGTTTTTGCTGATATTGCGTTGTTATTGATCGTGAAGTGTAGAAGGAATGAAGTTTTATGAGTTGCCACTATGCTATATTATAGCCCCAATTCCTAACTTTCGCTATAAACTCGAGTATGATCAAAATAACAGGACTGTTCTTTTCCTCTATACGCGACTTTCGGTTGCAGTAGGTTTTATTTTCATCTTTAATAGCTAGATGCTACTCTGTGTCATATATTAGGCAGGTTTGTAATACGTATAGGCCATGTAAATGAATCAGGTTATACAATGCATTCTTGAAGCCGCGGCCGCGCCAAGGCCTTTAGTAAGCGGTCGCTCCTTCAACACATCCATCATAACACTTGAGGTAAACAACCATCAAATCCCCCCCCCCCCCCCCGTTCCCCTCCACGACTGTCAGCGATCTCTTGACGCCACGGCTTCATTATTGTATCCAGCGATACAATCGCCGATAAGGCGCGACTCGTGAACGACAATTTACACGCCAATACGACCAGGCGCGAGGCCGACAAATCTGTAAACAACCCCCAGCCAACTGCACTCGTAGCAGATTCGACGCTACCAGCAATTCCATAGAAGAAGCATTGTCGTCAATCCTAGCCGCTATCATGGGTGAGTGTTTTCGAGTCCCCCCTCGCAAGATTCCGTCACTATTTGCCTTCTGTCTGTAGATAGACCTGCTAACTCATCCAAACAGACCAACCACCAGCAGACCCCAAACTTCCAAAATCTAGGTCAAGATCAAACACCGCGGCTTCAAATAGAAGCAGAAAAAGACCACTCTCTAGAGCGTCAACTACCAGCGTACACAGCGGACTTACTCAACCACTTGTCAGTCAACAAAACGTAGATGCCACCACGGAATACCATACGCAATATTATGATCCGAATGCGCTTGCGCAACAAAGATTTGGGGACATGACCCACCAGATGACGCCCGAAGATATGGTCATTCAGTCGGCTTCGCAGCTGCAAAATCCCCGCGGTTATGATTTAGACCCGGCACTTGGAGGCGGTCCGCATCATGGTTTGCCCTATTCCCATGAGACTCAATACAAACCGGAGAATGGACGTCAATCTCTTCCTGTGGAGTATGGACCGAGCTATAATGAAGCCGACAGCCAGCTTTTGGAGGGTCGTAGCGATGAGCAAGATGAGGTTGACTCGTTGGCAGGAGCCAGTGGGCCAGCGAAGAAAGCCTCCAAATCAAGTGCGGCGAATGAGTTGGAGATGCGACAGCTATTTCAATCAAACAAGCACCGGTCTTTGCCAGAAGTAGCAAGTGAGCTGCAGGGAAATGAAAGAGGGCCGCAATCCGAAAGACAGCGACAAGTGTTTGCGATGCTCTGGTACGTATTCGTCTCCAGTAGCACATGTTGTCGAGTGCAGAGTGCTGATAGATATTTATCTTAGGATTAACCAAGTTTGTGATAAAGGTAAAGGTTCTGTACCGAGAGGTCGTGTCTATGCAAACTACGTGTCGAGATGCGCTACAGAACGAGTCACAGTCCTGAATCCTGCATCTTTTGGAAAACTTGTACGTGTGCTTTTCCCAGGACTTAAGACGCGAAGGCTGGGCGTGCGAGGTGAATCCAAGTATCACTACGTCAACTTCAGTCTCAAGGACGATCAACCGCAGTTGTCTGAGGCGCAAAATATGCCATCAATTCAAGGTTTTAATGATACGCCCAGCTTCATCCAAAGCTTCAGGTATGGCTTCACTCAATTCATTCCTGGTTTGGAGCTCACAGATACTAGCCAAAGCATGCCATCTCAAGCGCAATACCCTGTAGATAGAGCTACATTCCCGTCCCCTGAAATTGCTCAGATGCCTGAGCAGACAGGGCTGAGATGCGAAGGATTTATCAGACCCCATAGTCTTTACAACCATCCTGTCGTTTCAGGAATTTCTCAGCTTGAGTCCACAGCAAGCAAGGTGTCACAGCGGCTTCATTTTGCACCTATTGGCGAACCACCAGCTCAAGAACAAGCAGCCCTCACTCTTCCCAAGATCGAGCCTTTCGTACCAGCCGGTACAGATCCTGACGCTGCAACTGCCTTGACAGCCCTCTATCGTTCTCACTGCACTTCACTTGTAGAGTGCATTCGCTACTGCAAAGAAAAAATGTTCTTCCACTTATTCACCTCTTTCCATGGTACCCTCACGATGCCGGTACAGAAATTATTCGCGAATCCTAGCATCGCGCCCTGGATCGAAGCATGTGATTTTGTCATGTACCAGAACATGATGCGAACCGTAGCTCCACTGACCCTACAGGTAGCGCCAAAACCGGTCTTGGATACGCTGAGAAACATCTCAGAACGACTTGTTCCTCATATTCAAACGACTTTTCATGCCCACCCAAGGCACGTTGTTGACGCAAAAGTCGCCCCAGCGACGCTCTTTGCAGGGTTATTGGACCGCGAACTGAGAGTGAACCTGACAGCTCATGCCGCAGCAAATATGCTGTCAAATCCTGCCAATAGAGATCAGATGTACGAGGATTGGATCACCATGGTCCGAACTCGCAAGATCGCCGAGTGCGTCCCAACGAGAGGCATGGACGACGTAGTTAATCTGCTATTAACAGAATTGCGAGATCTTCTAGACCCGATTGGGGTTCCGTGGGAGATTGAAGGGGCAACACCGTATGGGGAAATGGCTCTGCGTACTGGACGTCAACAGCAAACGAGCATCCATGCAGACTCAACTACGGAAAACGTTCTTGATCGCTGGGTTAATTTCCTCGCATCATTGTCTGGAAAATTTCCTTACGCTACCCACGCCGAGATCGTATGGTGCGTCCAAAGTGTTGGAACAGCAGTTATGAGAGATCTCACTATATCACAAGGGAAGAGTTTTGGTGCATGGTGGGTCACAAAGTGCTGGATTGATGAAATGATCGTTTTCCTGGCTGAGCAAGGCGGATTTATGGACTACAAGACATCGCACGGGTCTCCCAACATCCAAGAAAAACAGGCCCTTGGGAGCCGCGCAGCGAGTCAACACGGAAGCCGTTATAGCAGCGGAAGCGATGAATTTCTTCGACACAACGGCGTCGAAGTTGCCAACTCGCAACCCATGGATGTCACAAGTCAAGCTGCGATGAATGCAGCCGCTGGCCAGGGTCATGACGATAGTGGAATTGGGATGCGAACGCCTGACGATGATTTCTCCATGGGAAAGTACGATTTCGACCGTAATAGATCTGGTCCTCAAATCGTGCCTAGCGATTTGTTGCGTCAGCCTTCGGCAGCCTGAGAAGAATCGTTGTTTTATTCCATTGGAGTTCACGTTTTGGGAGGTTACCTACTTCTTATTTATCTCTTTAGGGACAGGTTGGTTGGGATGAACGATTCTTACGACTCGGATGACGAAACGATTGGGTTTGTAGATTGGATGCACCGGTGTACATTGGGTAGGCTGCTATGCTTTGTATTAGGGAGACTACGCATTGGATGCGTAGTAAGGGGGTCTTTTTCTTGGGTCGATTCAGGATTGGTGGAAGCCAGAACATCTTTGGACGCTGTTATGGGTATGTTAGTGTAGGAGTTTGTGTATTTATTCATGTTAAGCAAGCATGCTGCAGGGGCGCAGGGGCGTACCCGGTCATTGGTTGCTATGTCTCCACGGATATCCTAGACATGCAATGCTATGATTACCGTCTTTTTGTTTGAACTTTACTTTTTGGTTGACCACAAGTGCAAAGCCACGAAAGGGACATGCAGGAGTATAGAGTGTTCCTTGCACCCGAGTGGAGGTGGACAGGCCTGGGATAGTAATTATGATTAGAATACCGGTACTTGCACCCAGTAATTGATATAGTATATTCCAAATCGAATCTAAGCGCCGTCAAATGCCCAGCTTCACGAAGCAGCTGACTGAGGTCTTGATCAATTGTGGCCCAGAATCATAGATATATCTGGGAGCTAAGCTCGAGAGTTTGAGAGCATTTGACTTGACAATATTTATATCAGATGCCGGTCTGGATGGACGCTATTGGTTCAACCTTATTCTATTTTCTATTTTAGCGTGCTGGGTTGGTACTAGCTAGGATACGGTACCTAGAAGGTAAGGTAGTGGGGTGGGGGTGCGGTGACGATTTCCTCGAGAGAAAACTTATGTTTATGACTCTTTCCCACGCTTCAACAGCTTCCAGCAGCACAGCATTCCTACTACAGCGCGCGGGAGAATGAATACTGCCACAGCCGTCACCGGGCATAGCAATGCTTCATCTGTATCTGTGTCTGTCCCAGCCAATGCCCCAATGCGCCAAAGGAACAACAGTAGCCAAGGCTGGATCGTCCAAAAGTTTGGCGGGACAAGCGTGGGGAAATTTGCTGTCAATATTGCAGAGGACATTGTACGGTCAGTTTGTATGCTCTTCGTTTCTGTTTGATAATACTAATGAATTGCACTTTTAGGGCGAGTTTAAAGGACAATAAAATTGCAGTTGTCTGCTCTGCAAGAAGCACCGGCAAGAAAGTCGAAGGTACAACAAGTCGGTCAGTCAAAAATTACCCCTCCTCCCCTCCTACCCCCCCCGTCCTTCGCTCGCGAAGCTGATGCAGAAGCCACAGTTTACTCGAAATCTATGGCGTCCTCGAATCCGTCAATTCCCTCAAAGACACAGAATCTATTCAATACGAAAGCCTGGTAACGGAATACGAAAGCCTGGTCCATGTCATTTCCGAAGACCATGTCTCCGCAGCCCAGTCGCATATCCAAGACGAGCGCATACGACTGGAACTCACAAAAGAAATTCAAGCCGAATGCAATGAACTCATAGACTACCGACTAGCTGCGGAGAGATGGCGTTTAGAGATAGATTCGAGGTCCAAGGATCGCATTGTAAGCTTTGGAGAAAAGCTTAGCTGTCGCTTCCTTGCAGCTTTACTCCAAGATCGGGTAAGTGACAACGTCTTATTACCATCAACGGAACTAACAATGTCCCAGGGGGTTGACTCCGAGTACGTTGACCTTTCAGATGTCGTGCATTTCAAGACCTCCAAGGGGATAGACTTAGAATTCTACAAAGAAATGTCTCTTGCTCTTACGGAAAAGGTGTTGGCTTGCGAAGAGAGAGTGCCGGTCATCACAGGTTATTTTGGCACTGTTCCAGGTGGCTTGATGGACGGGGAGATTGGAAGAGGCTATACAGACTTGTGCGCTGCACTGGTAGCAGTTGGGCTTGAAGCAGAAGAGCTGCAAGTCTGGAAGGAGGTCGATGGTATCTTTACAGCGGATCCCACTAAAGTACCTACAGCAAGACTTCTTCCTACCATCACTCCCTCGGAAGCGGCAGAATTGACTTTCTACGGATCTGAAGTCATTCACCACCTTACCATGGACCAAGTCATCCATGCAACACCTCCAATAAGAATACGGATTAAGAACGTCAAGAATCCCCGAGGCAACGGCACGATTGTACTCCCTGACCCAGCGCTCGGGACTGGCCAGCTTTCACATTCAAGAAGCACAAGTTCATTAAATGCAAGGAAAACGCCGAGGCGACCAACAGCAGTTACTATCAAGGACAAAATTTCCGTCATCAACGTTCACTCGAATAAGCGATCCATCTCTCATGGTTTCTTTGCAAAAGTCTTCTCTATACTCGACAAGCGGCAGTTATCTGTAGACCTCATTTCCACCAGCGAGGTCCACGTTTCCATGGCCATCCACTCCGCTAATATCGCAGATGACGAGCTCCTAAGAGCAAAAGGCGAACTGGAGCAAGTGGGAGACGTAAGCATCCTGAATAACATGGCCATTCTCTCTTTAGTGGGCGCAGAAATGAAAAACATGATTGGAATCGCCGGTAGAATGTTCTCTACATTGGGAGAAAATAACGTGAATATTGAAATGATATCTCAAGGTCAGCCCCAAATCTTTTGATTCCTGGGTAATGAACACTGACAACTTTAGGGGCGAGCGAAATAAATATATCCTGCGTTATAGATGGATATGAGGCGACGAGAGCTATGAACATACTGCACACGAATCTTTTTACTTTTCTCGAATAAAAGAAGCGAAATTTTACAGTTGGGTTGGGTTGGACAAAATGGCATCTGAATGCATTATGGCGTTGCATGTTTGATTTAGGGTACGCGTATTGGTGTAGCTGAAGGCTTGGGATGATATTTGGAGCGTAGACATAGATTGATTCTAAATGATTTAGAGGCGAGCTGCTCAAAGAGGCATTTCTAAAATATTTAAACCTACTCTTTATTATTATGCCCGAGTGGGCCATCTCCGAAAGCGTTTGCTCATAGTGACATGCAGCAAGTTAGTATCTTACAGCACTTGCTTTCCCTCGAAGGAGCTTTTCTTCTAACTGACACGCACCATGCCTTATATTCCCTATTGTCAGAGCCTCCAAGCGAGGGCACATCATGAAGAAGCCGGTCCCACTAACTTCAATGAAGCTTTTGATCAGTAACCTATTTTCGATCTGTTTCGCGTCTCTCATTCTATCATTTTCGTAGGCAGCAGGTAGCTTTGTTCCGGAATGTTCCTCGTTGGATACATCTTATTTGGCTTCTTTTCCCAAAGTGATCAGGCGTTCTCAGATTCCTCTATGACATTGGACGTTAGCTAGCTGGTCGCTCCGTGAGATGTCGAAATAGGAATCAGGTGTGCCGGCTGGCTGCGTGAGACGAAGTGTCAGTCAGGTAGCTGAACGTATCTAGTTTGGCCTTGATGATAGTTCTTGTTCTCTGAGAGCATAGGGGTATTTCCCTGTTCTGCTCCAACTATCTCATTTTGGCCCCTCCGGTCGTCCTTGTCGCGCAACCGCTTTCAACGATAATATGCCGACTTGACGCCATGATCAGCTCTGCAGCGGCAGTAACGAGCTGCAATGCATGGCAAAATGGCGAGGTCTGGACTTCAAGATGGCGGATTCGTGCGTGAGAGCATGCGAGCATGTTGTACAGCTCACTGTCGGCTCCCGCTGACGATTTTCCCATCCGCAGCGTTGGTGCCCAGTGCACAGCTCGGATGGTTTGCCTTGAATGTTGTGCCCCAGAACTAGTGGGGGGGGCGAGGGAGTTTAGCTTGAGGGACACAGTACTCCGTACATGACGTATATTGGGACCCAGCTTTGTGTTTTGTATGACCCTTTATGCGGTGGTGTTCAGCAGAACTGTCGACGACTGCATTGTTTGTAAGGCAATCCCTTGGGCCGTAAGGTCATTTACGTATGGGTCATTAACGAAAATGAGGAATAATTCCATCAGGAAGGTTGTTTAGGACTTTTACCGGCCATGAGGAAAGCGGAACGAGAAACGTGACGTTAAAGAGCAACACTTCTGTCTGCACACATACATGCATGACGGGCCAGTACAGCGTTCTACACAAGCTCTGCACAGGTTCATCCACCCGGCACTTACTGTATAGGACGTCTCTGCAGGTTGGTGAAAGCTTGCAAGTCTTAAGAGTAAGGTAGGAAAGACGTTTTCTTAATGGCAAGTGGTGGGCAGGCAAGAAACATGACAGGTAGGATTTGAGTTTATCCCCAAATGAGCAGCTTATCAGATGCGGGTCGCCAGGCCAGGTACTGTACAGTATGTACTGTATGATGTGATGGAAGAAGCATGGAAGAAGCGTGGCGTGGAAGCGTGGAAGGGCAGGGGCAGGAGAATGGCGCTTGTCCCGGGAACGTCCAATTATGGCACGGCTCAGGTTGATAGATTGATAGGTTGGTTTAGGTTTACGGAGATGTCTCCGCACAGTTCCAACGTACTACGAAGTACTACTCCGTAGTAGAAATATACCGTAACGAGGGTCAATGCAATACCTTACCTTACCTGAACTACCTTAGGACAATCAGTTTTTGGACTGCGGTGTGCTGACCGGTGTGTTGGTAATTTACGAGTATCTCGGCTTGGTGTTGCCTTCGGTACCGGCCGGTTCTCGGGCGCAAAGCGGGATCGGGAGTAGCAATGCAGCCTCAGGCAACTTCATCCTGCCTTTTTTCCACTCAGATATACTTTTACCTACTCTCGCAATGGCAAGTACAGTACAGTATGATGATGAATTAGTACCACACGCCCCCCACTACGCCATGTGTCTATTGAAATGGCTAACGCGCTCATCTCCATCTCATTAACACCGCACAGCTCTGTGACAGGAGAGATGCTGTGCCCCGCCTGCCGGCAATCTTGTACTGTAGTGCTACTCGCACGCTCACTGGATAACGCAGGCGGAACTCGGCGCACCTGCACCTGCACCCCCCTCTCCCCCTGCCCCTGCTCCTCCCCCCAACTTATCAGCGCTGCCACTACTACGGAGTAGAGAGGTGTCACAGACTCACAGGAGGCTTTCCTTTGCAATTTTCTTTGGCAAGGGTGCGCTCGCAGCTTCTTACTTTGGAATTACTCCGTACGCTGCAATCTGCTACAATCTGTTGGAGACTCCTCTGGTTGCATGTCCTGCCTGCCGTTCTCTACCCTACAGTACCTCTGTAATCCTCCCAGCACTCATCTTCAATGAGGCACGAGTGGTGGGTAGGGTAGGGTAGGACACAGAGGGGGACAGACCAGATATCAACTCGTCCATCTTGACGAATGGGAATGGGATTTGTATGGTTTGGCTGTACATCCACACTTTCGGGCATATTTCTGGATTCTTGGAGCTGATACGAGGACGTGAGATTAGAGCTTCTCTATGTGGATATCCTCCTATCTGCGTCTCTTTACACATGGCCACCCAGCCCTACAACTTACTCCATCCAGCAAACACATGCTATCCATAAGTCATATCACCGTCTAGCTAGCCCTACCCTACCGAGGGGCTTAGCAGACACATGTTATCTATGTCGTTTTGTCGCCTTGCCATGCTTACTTATATTGCTCCTGATCTTTCCGCACTCATTTTCTCCCACCTAGCTTATCCCACCAGAGCGGTCAAGGTCCACAAGCTGTCCCCCCAAAACCCCACGCTCTGCAGATCTTCTATTTTGGACTTCCACTTCTCTTGTCCCCATTTAATTTCTTTTCTTACTCAGTAGCAGCCGTCTTGTTTTCCTGTCAACGACCGGCCGCGCAAACTTCTTACACGCGTTTGACTAGCCCTTACAAACGGCTCGGAAGGGGCCGCTCTGATCTATCCCGTGTCAGAAGGGGCTCGCGAGGGTGACTCCGTGGATATACATAACGAAGTGTTCTGCGGGCTGGGAAAGTTGCTATGTTTGGGGGACAATAAAAATGTTCTCAAGGAGATAACGCCCCGCAAGTTAAAGACTTTGTACAACTCTACCGACCATCTTGTTTGAGTATATTCATATCTTCCACACACATTCCGAGTATATAAAAGGAGTACATAATTAAGAGTCATGGGTTGGGTATGCCATCTTTCTGGTGTTCTCTGGTTCATACTCACAAAGAACGCAGGTTGAGAGAACGAACATGGCGGTGGCCAAAAGTATTGTTGGACGGCGGTTCCGCCTCGAGTTCTCTGGGCACAGATATGAGAGGAAAGGTTCGAGATTCTTGACCGAAATAAGAGCCGGCCTAGCAACTTTCTTTGCGATGGCATACATCATTTCTGTCAATGCTTCAATTACAGCAAGCAAGTCATAGTCCACGATCTCTACAAGCGTACGCTAATGGTATTCCAGCAAGTGGGGGAACATGTGTCTGCGATCCTAGCCCAGGTTTTGAGGACCCTTATTGTTTGAACAAAAGCAATCCGTCGTTTATTGGATATGCGAAATGCGCCCAGGAGGTCAACCGAGACTTGGTCACCGCCACGGCTGCTATCGCAGGGCTTGCGAGCTTTAGCATGGGACTTTTCGCAAACATGCCAATTGCCTTAGCACCTGGAATGGGTCTCAATGCCTATTTCACATACCAAGTTGTCGGCGTTAATGGACAGGGCCCTGTAAGTTATCAGCTTGCGCTGACTGCTATATTCGTGGAAGGCTTGATTTTTGTTGCTCTGTCAATACTTGGACTCCGGCAATGGCTGGCGCGGACCATACCTCAGAGCCTCAAAATTGCCAGCGGCGCTGGAATTGGCCTTTACCTAACACTCATCGGGCTCACATATAGTGCTGGGATTGGTGCAATAACAGGAGGCAGTACTGACCCTCTACAACTTGCTGGGTGTGTCGAAGATCTTCGAGACCCCATCACCGGTATTTGTACGTCTGGCAAGATGCGCAACCCAACGATGTGGGTTGGGATATTTTGTGGAGGAATATTCACGGCCTTTTTAATGATGTACCGGGTCAAGGGTGCTATCATCGTTGGGATACTTTTAGTTTCAGTCATCTCCTGGCCACGAGATACGGCCGTCACTTACTTCCCTCACACCACTATCGGTGATTTTAAATTCGACTTCTTCAAAAAGGTGGTCACTTTTCACCCCATAACCAAGGTTCTTGGCGTGCAGGATTGGAATATCTCAGGCGCACACGGCGGACAATTTGCTCTAGCACTAATTACCTTCCTGTACGTTGATATTCTGGACGCTACGGGGACGCTTTATTCCATGGCACGGTTCTGCGGTGCTATCGACGAAGATACGCAAGATTTTGAAGGAAGTGCGGTGGCGTATCTCGTGGATGCAACGAGCATCACAATTGGGTCAGTCTTTGGTTGCCCCCCTGTTACCGCTTTCATCGAGTCGGGAGCTGGAATATCGGAAGGTGGAACGACAGGTATCACGGCCTGCGTGACAGGTATCTGCTTTATCATCTCCATATTCTTTGCACCTATATTTGCGAGTATACCACCATGGGCAACGGGTTGCACATTGATTCTTGTTGGCGCCATGATGGCCCGAGCCTGTATAGATATCAACTGGCGGTACATCGGCGATTCAGTCCCAGCATTTCTTACCATGGCAGTTATGCCTTTCACGTACTCCATCGCCTATGGCCTTATTACAGGTATTGTCACCTACATCATTCTCAACACCGGCACATGGATCCTAGCCAAGGTCTCTCAGGGTCGAATCATCCCCCCGAATTACGAACAGAAGGATTACTGGACATACAAAGTAAGAGGGGGCCTGTTGCCATCGTGGTTGAAGCGTATATGCAAAGGGAAGAAGGACTTTTGGAGAGATTGGGACTTTGACGCGGAGGAATTGGGTAGCCATGAATCCTACGCTATGGCAAAGAACAATAGGGGGAGCGGCATGAGCCAAAGTCAGAGCGGAGGAGCAGCGGAGCCTGCATCACCTATGGCAGGCGTGACGACTGAATCTCCATGGGAAAGAGAGTTGCCAGTCATAATAAGATCGACGGGATATGCTGAGTCTGGGCCCTCGAGGAGGTGAGGAGATATACCGCGCGAATTATTTTCGGAACCAGGGCTAGGTGGACGAAAAAGGAGATAAGAGGCTCGCTTTTTGTATATCAAATACCGGTATATCGAAGGTCAAATGAAAGGCCTCGGATAGAGAACGTGTGATTCCTCGTTTAGATTACGAGGTGTGCCACAGAAAGAAAGATCGATTCAAGATTGTCTTGCCTGGGTCGGGTTGTACAGTACGCATGTCTGTCTGGAAAAGGAGCTGCACGAAACGCATTGCGACTGGCTGCCTTCTGGACAACGAGTATATAGTAAGATGAGATATCTAGCTTATTTGCGACATAGCTGTCACCAAGGGCTTTCTTTGCCCATAGAATTGATCTTGATTGTTCTTTTCAACAGACATTTTCATGTTATCTCGTGTTACCGCTTTGGCAGCAATGATCATCTCTGCTTACCTTACCTTACCTTGCCTCGCACAGCGTTCAGCAGACCGCCATTCTGGACCTGCAGTCGCACATGCTAAAATATATTTCTCTCCCCATAGATTGCCAGCACATTTCGGACTGGGCGGCCGAACACCACTTAGCTATTGACGTGCAAGGCAAGGTTACATGCTACATCTTACAACTTATGCAGTAAAGGGCCGGCACGGTCGTTACCAGGCGGCTGGAAAGGCCGGGAGCTAATTCCGTGGAGGTGAGTGGTACTCTAACCGTGTCTCTTGCAGTATGTATGTATGTATGTATGCAGGAGCTGCAGTACAAGTAATTGACGCAATGCAATGGTTCAACGGGTCAATGAGAAGGAGAGGATAGAGAGAAAGATGCGGGTCAGGGAGTACGGGTGGTAGGTAATATGGTCGTCGTCGATCGAGGGAAGGGTGCGTTGATAAGGTATGTTGATCTCGGGTCGAGGAGACAAGACACAGACACAGGCACAGATGGGTGTCTGGATCAGATGGGGATTCTGATACCGGACCGTATGAGAACATGTTGTTCTTGTCGTCGCCGCCAACCTGTATGAAAAGAAGTGTAAAGTTGGAAGGACGCGCAAGATTTGAATGGTGGGGCAGTGCAGTTCCAGATCTACACGCCTAGGATGTGACGTAAAACGAAAGAAAAAAGAAAATAGGGCTGAATCATAGCGTACTTACTGTACGGGGCGGCACAAAAGAAAGAGTTTCTTTTAGGGCAAGGCCCCTGATTTAGGAAGTTCAGGGAGGTCTAGTAGAAGGTACGGTGTAATACAGTCGAGTACAGTACTGTACTGTACTGATAGGTAAGCAGAGGCTGTTCCTGCCAGAAGGATATTGAGTAGGGGGAAGTGAACCAGTATATTGAGAAACAGAAATACCTATGCACCTATGCTATGCTATGCTTCTGCTTCTGCGACAAGCACTGCACTGATACTTACTTCTATAGTATTATAATATTGCTACCTTGAGTACCTTTATAGTTATTCTAAAACTGCTGAGCCTTTCCATCAGGAATACTCGGTATATACCTCGGGTAAGGGGTACACCATGTGGATACTACACGTCTATACGCCTAATATTCGCCAGGAACTTGCACGGCCTCGTTCATACGGAGTACCACTTGAGTGTATGCAGTAGATATGTACCGAGCTGTAGGTAGTTGTAGCTGTCTGTACCTACTACTTGTACTTGTACCTCTACCTGCAAACCTCATTACCTGTTCCCTACTTTGATCCGCACCAACCAAGCCAATACAGTCAGTAATCCACAATCGCCTGCCACCCAGCGCAAATGCTGGAATTAAATCCCTCATACTGCTCACTACCTACTGACCGTCTGGCCCGTTTTTAGTAAAGGCAGCGCAATAACACAGCACAGCACAGCACAGCACAGCACAACACAACACAACCCTCCCTCCGCCGCCTGATCTAATTCTAAATCACATAAGCCATCCTCCCTCTACCACCCGCTGCCACGGCCACTACCAACCACACCCACCACACCGCACCACACCACAAATTTTCCACTTGCGATCGATCCTTCAACTCCCATAACTCCCACATCTACCTGTCCATATCAACCCCCCACTCGCCCACTCGACACCCCGTTGCGATAACCACCTGCTTCTCTCGAGCGGAAAACACAGTTTTGACTTCTCGACGTTGGGGCATCTTACGGGCATTGCCCGATGCAGGTGCAGCCCCTCGTGCAGTGAGTGCAGCGTTTGAAAGCCGAATCACACACGACAACCAAGATGGCCACCGTAAATGCGCCGCGGGCCTCGCTCACCACCGAAAAAGGACGTTCTTCTCCTCCAGTTTCGTCGGCTTCATCGGCAGTCAGCTCTTCTACCTCTGCGGAGTCTCGTCCGGGCCAGAATGGAATCATTGTGCCTAGCATTGAGCATCTAAACGTCAACGGGACTGCTGCGCCACACTCCGATTTACAGATCGCTGTTGCCGGTGCGGCTGTCGAGAAACCATCCATGACAAAGCGTCTCACTCGAATGTTCTCTACGAAAGAAGCTATGCGATCGGAAACCAGTATAAACTCTCAGTCTACGAACGGTACCTCTAGTCCCAAGAAACCAGATACCACCACGCCTTCCAATAATTCTCCAAAGCCGAACCCGCCCTCCCGGAAAGCCTCTTCGACAGAAAAGACATCTAAACCAGAGCCCAAGCCAACCATGGCGATACCAAAAGATAAGAAGGGTGCGGCCGGCATCTCTAGCCAGCGATATGTCACCAACCCTGAACTGCCTGGTGGGCACGAACATCACCTCAAGAGCGCGAGGAGACAGGAGAAGCTATCCGACATGTTCCGCAACGTCATAAGCGGCAGGCAGAGAAATGCCGAGCATCCACATGAGGGAGAGCAACAATTGTCACTCATGTCTGGCTGGGTTGACCAGCTGAAGAGCGAGCGAGAAAGCTTGGCATCGGATAAAAAGGGTGGACCAAATGCTACTGCAACGTTAGTGGAGAAGTATGGAAAATGTCAAGAGATCGTTGGTCGTGGAGCCTTTGGTATCGTCAGGATATCCCACAAACGGACCGAGGCAGCTGGAGAGCAGCTTTATGCCGTCAAAGAATTCCGTCGCAGACCCGAAGAGAACGAAAAGAAGTACAGCAAGAGGCTCACCTCGGAATTCTGTATATCTTCGTCGTTGCGACACCCCAATGTCATCCATACACTCGATCTCCTGCAAGACTCGAAAGGCGACTACTGTGAAGTCATGGAGTTCTGCGCAGGTGGGGATTTGTACACACTTGTGCTCGCAGCCGGAAAGCTCGAAGTTGCTGAAGCAGACTGCTACTTCAAACAGATGATGCGTGGTGTCGAATACATGCACGAGATGGGTGTTGCTCATAGAGATCTAAAACCCGAGAATCTCCTTCTCACAACTCATGGCTCACTCAAAATCACTGATTTTGGGAATGGCGAGTGTTTCCGTATGGCTTGGGAAGCAGATGCTCATATGGTCTCCGGACTCTGTGGCTCTGCTCCATATATTGCTCCTGAAGAATATATCGACAAAGAGTTTGATGCCAGAGCTGTTGATGTTTGGGCCACCGGTGTCATCTACATGGCTATGCGTACTGGGCGGCATCTTTGGAGAGTAGCAAAGAAGGAAGAAGATGAGTTTTATGAAAGATATCTGCAAGGAAGGAGAGACGAGGAAGGTTATGGTCCTATTGAGTCATTGCATCGGGTAAGTCTTCTTTAACTCCTTTAACCCCTATATCCATGCTGACAAACATAGGCTCGTTGCCGGAATGTGATCTATTCTATCTTGGATCCAAACCCAGGGCGTCGTATCACTGCATCCCAAGTGCTAAAATCAGAGTGGGGTCGTGAGATAAAACTGTGCAAAGCCGGCGAAGAGGGTCTTTAACAATTACCGGCTGGGGGACAAAAGCTCGAGGTCAAACATTAAGCTCGCGCAACACTTTCGCGCCCACGCTCGACCCCCAGCACACATCTCTTTGCATCCTTACGCCTTTTTACGATACGATGACGGGGATGAAATGGAATATCAATGTTCCTTATCATACAACATGGCAGCACGAGAGGATTGGAGTTTTACGGCGTTTCTTTTTTTACGGGGGTTTTAGCAATGGCGTTTGGGAAAGAACGAGTACGAGTAAAGGTAAAGGCAAATGGGGAAGCTACTTACAGTACCCAAAGGAAGGAAAGAAGGGCGGTTGGCTCATTTACGTATGCCTGTTTGTTTTTTACGCCCTCTGCTATCGAACTCAACCATGGTTTTTTGCAACTTGTGATTGGGCTCATGCTTCTGCAGCGAATAGGCATTGCGGTAGTCTCTAGTTCCTAAGGGGGTATCTATTGTAAAGACAGACCTTTGTAGATATGAGAGAGAGAGAGAGAGAGAGAGAGCGCCTCCAGGGGGAACAGTAGCGATGAAGATCAAATCTAAAACTCTTGGAAGCATAAGCATACGATAAACTGTATATTGATGTGCTCGTGCTCGTCATGACTCGTATGACCTGCAATATAACAAGTACTCGAGTAATACACGGTATTTTGTGTTGTCTCCCCCTCAATTGCTTGCTCAGACGTTGTGGACGTGAACCTCGGTTCGGGACGCCAAAGACAATTCTTACTGCCGCTTTGACGGGATTGCCCGATATCCGTATACAGTTTGCGGGGGAGGTGAGGAGGGGGTGACTTGCATAATTTGTGGGGAAGAATGGGGTGAACGAACGGGGTTGGATTTTGCTTCCACTCGCGCGGGGAGGATTTCAAATTATGGTTATACGTAAAGAGTGAATTAGGGATTTGACGAGTCACGACTGCGGATAATAGGGGTTATCAAATATCTACTCCGAGTATGTAGACCGCAATACTGTACCTACTTTGCGGGATAAAGTATAGCAACCAACAAGGAGGGAATTTGAAGGCTTTTGAGTTCACTTAATAAGGGCAGAACAGGTCAAGGTCCAGTGAGTGCACAATGCTAGAAACTTAAAAGTATGAGCAAGTAGCTACTAGTACGGTATCATAAGTTCAAACCCAGAAGGGCGGATATTACATGTAGGCACCTCAACACCCCAACGCCTATCCAGCATCATCCACAATAATCTTTCCACCCCCTTCACGAAAAGCGTCTCGCAAACAATGCGTGGGCAAGCAAAACTGCCAAGGACGGGAAATGCAACCAGCCGTTTAGTTGCTACATCCAAAACAAAGAATTAGAATAACCATGTCCGTCCATCAGTCCTCATTTCATATTCGTCTTTCTCTCGTCACCCTGTCCCATCATCCATTCCCAATATGCCCCCTACCACACTCTTTCCCTAAACTACCGTATTTATTAACGCCAGTCCTGTCACCAGCCAAAAGTTCGAACCGAAGTTATAGTTGTGAGACAAAGGAGAAGTTTTATCGACAAGACATAGCGAGGTCAGGTAGTTCCAACCCGACAAAAACCGTCGAAACTCGACATCCAAAGGAATACAGAAATGGTATACTGCTTGAAGAGAATACGGAAACAAGGATAATGTATATATCAACTTGCAGAAGGTTGCAGGTAGCGAATTGAGGCAAAAATCTTGAGCATACTAAAATCATGAGTGGAAAAGGTCCCATGCCCGGTCACACAGACGAATGAACTCCTCTTTCTTCTTTTGCTGCGTGCTTGGGCTGTCTCGTCCTTCGCCGAACGGCCCCCTTCGTGAAGTTGCAGGACCATTGCCAAGCGGCGGGCTTCCGCCGTCTTCATACTCCGCTCGGGCTCGTCTGCGGCCACCACCACTTCGATTCGTCTCTGCTTGTCTCATGGCATTGCCGGTAAGTGGTGATGGGGGTGTGGGTGGTTGGTGGCCACCATAATGGACGAGTTTAGGTAGCAGTTCAGGGCGACCACCCGCAAGCTCGACTTGCGCCTCCTCGGCCGAGCGGTACTCTCGTGGTCTCGCCGAATGTGGAGGTTGTGTCTGATTATGGTTGGGAGACGGAAAAGCTGGCCGTGAGTTTGAGTGAGAGGAATTAGAGGCGGAGTTAGAATTGATAGGCAGCCCTGCAGTGAATGGGCCTCTCCCAGAAGCCTCGCGGTGTGCACCTAGTCCATTTTCCGCGAATACATCGGTGATAGGTGGTAGACGGTTGCTGGTTTGTGTCGCTGGAACGTGATGAATGTGAGAAGTGTTTGACAGATTCGAGGGTTGGTTAGCAATGTGACGAGTCAACGGATGCGGTTGATGCCGTCCTGTGAAACTCTGGTTGAGTGGAGCAGACTGAATTACTCGTTCGTTCGCGAACTGCTCGTGTGACGGTGCGACGATGCTCAGGCCTGGAGGCGCCTTTCTCTTTGATGTACCAGGAGTCTTGGCTCCAAAGCCCCCGAAGTCTCTCTCCTTTGCGCTCTCCGTCGGTGCATCGCCAGGCCTGGCCGTTTGTTGTAACCTAGCCTCGATGATGTGTCTTTGTTGCTCTCGGACCGAGATGCTTCGCTGCAGTTGTTCCCTCATCGTTGGATCTTGTGTGACGAATCCGGGCGACAAGCACGCCAATCCCACGTCCTGAATGCCGAGTCCGCCACTTTCCCCTCCTCTCGACGTCAATTGACCAGCGGACGGTCTCGATGTGCCTGGGTTCACACCGGATGTGTTCTTGGAGAGATCGAGCTTTCGTGGCCTATGACGGGACGTTGGAAGATCTGGCGAGGATGGAGGTTCCTTTTTCACGATTATCTTTGGCGGGACGCCATTCCGAGAACTGCATAGAGAGCCATTGTCAGTGTTCATTCCTACGCGGCATATAATAAGATGGTAGGAACCAAATGAATTAAACATACGCATTCGGGGAGCTTTTGGATGTGGGCGTAGACTTCGGGCTTCCACTACCGCTCCGCTGTGCTGACTGATTATTCGGTGTTGCCGATGCAGACGTTCGCTGCGCTGGGGGCGAGTGCGAGGGCGCTGAGGGCGCGATATCTACATACGACGAGCGGTCATGAGGTGCTGGCGACGGAGCCATTGCGATGGCGGTACTCATGATGCCCTGCGCCGTGCAAAAGTTGCGATGCGAGGGGAGAGGGGCCGTTTTAAATCCCGTCGCTTCAAATAGTATAGTACCGGTACCTGTTCAAACTTGCACCTTCCCTTCCAGTCTTCTCGTACGCAGCTTATTTCGTTTCGATGAATAGACGTCGGCTCCGTGCGTCTTGTGTATTATTTCTTCCCACTTAACGAGAGACCTTGTGCCACCAAATCAGAGCGAACTGTTGCTGGCTGGATGGCTTGCCGGCTACCGTTGCTCCTATACTAGGAAATGCGGTGGGGGTCTGAGGATGACAGGTGGAGGTAAGGCGAGGTGAGGTAGACGTAGAGAGAGTACTTCGTAAAAGAGAAGAGAAGAGAAGAGAAGAGAAGAACCGAAGCAGCAGCAGCAGCAGCAGAGCAAAAGGGAAAGGGTAGGGGGTAGCGGTGAGGTTTTATGAATGCTGTACTCGTACAGTAGCTATGGAGTAGTGGAGGCTTGAAATGCTTCGCGGTGTTTAGTTGTTTCAGAGACGGGGGCAAGAGAGAGGAGGGGGGATGCCTGTGCGCAATAGTAGCAGGGAGCGCATACAATTCGGACAGGGGGCCCAGTAGAGTGCTGTACGAACAGTACGAAGGTACTCTGTAGTAACTCGTAAGCCCGAGCCCAGCTGCCAGCCCAAGCCCAGCCCAGCGTGCCCTCCCCTCCCCCCTCCCCCTTCCCTCACTCGTTTCTTTTAGCGCGACAATGGGAGTTTTGGGACACCCACCAGCTGGAGGAGGGGAGCTGGGGACTCGGGAAGGCCATCGATTTCAATGTCTGCGCGCCAATCATCGCTGTGCCAGCACGAATTTGCAACCATTGCTGGATCGCACGCTCGTGACCAAATCATCCAGTTCTGTACAGTACTGCACCAGTTAACTACCACAGTACTGCCGGTAGGGAGTGCGTGGGGATTCCGTAGCATTATTCGTTTGTATAGGTGTATCCATACTACGTATGGTTCGTGTCTTGAACTGTTTTTGGAACTCCAGGATTCAAGGTCAAAGCCGAGCATGCGTTAGACTGTTTGCAGTAGATAATCAATAAGAAGATATTGATCTATAAGAGACCGGCGCCCCCCTTTTGCCAAGTAGAGAGGGCCATAGACCATAACAGGTACCTATCACAAATGGCCTCTACACCGAGGTGGCTTTTCGAAATAAATGAACACACGACTGACTTCTGACTTCTAGAAGCTATCGATACGGGAGCGCGGCAAGAAGTTCCCAGATGTAGAAGGTCGTGGATAGACCATGTACTTCGTATTGAGAAACTTCACTTGTGCTCTAACTGGTTCCCTCGCCCTCATCCTATTCCTCACTGAGTGCGCCGCAATTGGTACACTTTAGATGCCCTAAAAGCCTAAAAGGCTAGAGGTAGGGTTGGACAAGCAGAAAATACGACTCCATGCTGTTGGGTTTCGAGTTGCAGCCCTCTTAGAGGCTGGCCAGGGCGATGGCTCTGCAGGATCCTGTGAATTCAATATTTCATCCCCCAGTACTCGCATTCCCATTCTGCAGCCATATTAGCCGCACTATGAACAAGCATCCATAGCGACCGTTTCAATGAGGCTACCCACAGTCGCCGAAATTTAATCTATATCACACTGTAAAGCCATCCCATCTCATCCCATCCTAAATACTGAAGGCAATCCGCCGGTAGCGGCGTTTACACCAGCGTTTTGCCCTACTGTACATGCGATGGATCTTCTACGAAGTTTATATATAGTAAAGAAAAAGTAAAAACGGAGAGCTATTCCTATCGATTCCTCATGGATCTGGAGTCGCCGCCAACTTGGCTTTCAATGGCAACTTATAATCTCTGTATAAAAGTACTTAGCCACTCCATGAGGCCCTCTCTGCCTCTCGATTTTGTAGCCTTTTGATTGTTTCTTGCATTCGGTATCCATTGTTGGACTAGTGACGGAGATCCCTGACGGCACAGGATCTGAGGATCCAACACGCCATGCAAGCAGCAAACATGGTCGCGTTTGGAAAAAGCATCCACTTGAGGCTTCCACCCAACCAGCGTCTCGTCCACACGCTCGCAATGAAACGCGGCTCAGCCTCGTCCTCCAATCAAACATGCTTCTGCTTCAAACGCGTGAGACGTCAGAAAACCCTCCGAAGTTAAAGAGTCACGTTCTCCCCCAAGTTCCGTGCTGATCACAGGTCTCTGTTGTCTCACGCCCAAACCGAAGGACCACAGAAAGAGATTATCTGACTCTATTCCGAGATCTATCTCTTGCCCTGTACGTAAGATATGACGGCTGTGAAGCACGGCTGTGAAGCACGGCTACCGCCTCTTAACGTTCTTAGTGTACCAGCTTATGCCACGATGTACCTCCGTATGTCTGAGATCGTCTTCACTTGATCTTCCGACGAAATGAAGTGGCTTAAGTTGGAATTCCGCTTTGAGTTGCGCCATATGCAAACTGGCAAACATTGAAACTTAAAACAACCATGCGCTTTGCCACCCCACCGTACCTTGGTGAACTGCCGCCGCAAATCAGCTTGGCTGCTGAGCTTTTGATGCCCTTTGCCGCTGATAGGGGGGTTCTATTGAAGGAAGTGCTTAGAGTACTGCCCTGCTTCCCGCATTGGGACATGCAAAAAAGGGGTACTTGCTCCTTTTATTTTGTATGACGTTTTTTTCTCACCCCTCTCCCCCTAATCGATAACTGATCCGATCCAATCCCCTCACTACTACCAACCGAGTGTGCTTCAGCGACTCAAGATCTTATGGGCCCTGGTGCAGCCGCTGTTGCACTTGCGCCACGACTGACAAGAGATGTCCCAGTTATTCTTTAGTACTTAGTAGTAGTAATTATTAGTAGTAAACACATCAGAGAGTAATAATGGAGACCAACACGGAGAGTAATCCTTTGTTGCGGGGATGTGACTTCAGTTCAGGGTCTTCAATATTTGATGGTTGTTCCGCTTCGTCGGCTCCGCGATTTTGTGGCGTTAGCGAACCTTATTTTTTTTTGATATCAATTCATCCACCTCGATGCGCCAAAGGTAATCTGCACATCACCAACGCAACCATGCCTCCGAAGACAAAGCCAGCAGAAGCTGCAGTACCGGCAGATGACGTGTCTATGAACGACGAGCCGGTGGGAGACAGCCCATCGTCGAACGACGACCCGCACAACCCCGCTAGAATGGCCTTTGGGGAGCAACGAATTCGGATTGTAAGCTTCTCTTCCACGCATAACCCAAGGGGCATGACATGCTAACCAGTGATAATATAGCTACCCGGCTCGTCGGATACTGCGGCGTCTTTTGAGTTCAAGGGAGAAGATCATACGTTGGGAAATGCCTTGCGGTATATCATCATGAAAAAGTACGCCCCCGTTCCGGTCCATTTACCTAGGAGTCCCCAGGAATACATCATCTTGAGTTCAAGTATAGCTTGTTTGGAAATTGGCCGTATGCAATACACCCGGCTGACTTTTATCCCTATCAAAGTCCCAAGGTCGAATTTTGCGGTTATTCGATACCTCATCCCTCAGAAAATCTTATGAACATTCGAATTCAAACATGGGGTTAGTAAAGATCACATTTCATGCGTAGAAACAAGTATACTGATTGTTTTGCAGAGGGTACGGCAGTCGAAGCATTGGAGAAGGGGCTTGATGATCTGAGTGACTTGTGCGATGTGGTGGAAGAGAAATTCATCGAGGCAAGGGACGAGTATGGCACGCCTATGGAGGCATGAGTCGTAATACCAGATCAGAGGATAACCAGAGGATAAGAACATCACAGCATTGCAAGGCGTCACGGCAGGAAAATTGTGGAGTTTTATGCAGGTTGATTGGGATATGTACAAGCAGGCTACAAACAAATGATAATTCAGTTGCGACCCTAGATAGGGGTTAGATAAGGTGCACCTGAGGGAAGAATAAAGAACTTGCCTCTAAGAAACCAGACATGAAATTCTGTGGAAGTCTTGCGTTTGGATCCTCTTCTGCGCGGAAGTACTTAAGGATGTGAGGGAGTTGCTTCCAGTAGTTTAGCGTTTCCTGCCAATTCAAGAGTCAGTAGAGTTCTTTCTGAGAATGAAAACCAAATCTGTTCTCCGGGCCCATCAAATACTCGAGTCTTGATTTCTTTCAAAGGAGTTGCAATAGCAATCTGCTTCCGCCGACTACATCCCCTAACACTAGATGTCCCTAATTGAAAGAGCTTCACGAACCTGAAATTCTGCATGGCTCTGGAATAACAGCATATCCACCACTCCCATTTGATTCACATATCTATGTCTTTCAAACTCCTGCCTCATTTTCGTCCGCAATTGTGCTACAGGTATGTTGAGTGAGTACATCGTCTGGATCTCCGGAGCCTGTAAAATCCACCCATTAGCCCAATTCAAATGGTATCAACAGCGGTTCCTGTCCCAAGCCATCAATTGCCTCCACGTATCTATGAAGTCCCGTGGGAAGGTAACATACGGAACGAATCCATTCCCGATAGCTCCACAGAACCCTTCGTTTGCAGTCGGTCCAATTGACAGCTACAGTCACCTCATTAGTACTCTCTCCTTCTACACCAGAGGGGCAATAGCATACACTGGCGCGTCCGCTGCGCAAGATAGGTAGGATTGATCACCATGGTGCGTAGCTTCGTACTGGTGACCTTGCCTGTCGTTGATGCAGCTCAGACGAGGTTCAAATCACCAGGTTGCGGTTCAAATTCGGCCCGTGGAGTCACGTGCAAGGCTGAGAGATATCAGCTTCCAATAGTTGCCCCGCGACAAAGCAAGTCGTCTCCCATTAATTTTCCCAGAACAACTTACTCCTCACCAGCAAAAATGCCAGCCATCCGTCACGCCTCCAAGCGTAAGGCGCCTCCAGCAGGTTTCAGCGACATCGAGGACGACCTCCTAATTTTCAGCAACAAGATGAAAGATGCGGAAAACGCCCCCACCACCAATGTTCCCCGGCACCAAGTGCACTGGCCCATCTTCCAAATTTCGCATCAGAGAAGCAGATACGTGTACGAGCTATATTACGAGAAGGAGGCGATTAGCAAGCAGCTTTATGAATGGCTGTTGAAGAACGGCTATGCGGATGCGATGCTGATTGCTAAGTGGAAGAAGACAGGGTACGAGAAGGTATGCTACTCCCTTGTCTATATCCAAAATTAGACTCTTCAAAGATATATGGGCTAACAAGTATATATTAGTTGTGCTGCTTAAGATGTGTGCAAACCAAGGAGACGAACTTCAACTCTACATGCATATGTCGGGTACCGAAGGCACAGATGAAAGAGGACCAGAATATCGAATGTGTGAGCTGTGGATGCAGGGGATGTGCTTCTAGTGATTGAGGGACCTTTAATGGTTCGAGTACAGGAAACAGGTTACGAGGAAAGAAGATCTTGGGATGGGTACGACAATGCTTTGATGATACCAGCATAGGCGTTTTGATGGAAAAGTTCTGCGGCTGTGTGGGATAATCTTGAGGACCACATCGATGCAGCTCTGGCGTTTGAAGGATACCTGAAAGAATTTACTTCTAGTGCAGGAGGGTACCGAACCCGAGGGGATAAAGATATTCCAGTATAGAATAATAACTTGGTGCTCCACCTGCGCCCAGTTTTATCAAGGCCATACGTGAAGCAGAGGTCACAAAATACGATAGAAACATAGCCTCTAGTAAATTGTTGGAAAATTTGTGTTCGTGACTCTGATCATACCCAGACGCCCGTAATCGCTAGTAGAAGACTGCCAGATACCTATATTCTATTATCTCTCTAGGATAGCCATGACTACGCCTGGTATCCATATAAACATAGACATAGCTTCAACCCATCAGTAAACCCCTGCGAATATATTCACTTGTCCTGAGACATTTCTTTTGTCTTCTCCGTCGCCATTTCCAAGACATTATCTACAGCAACGCCGCCTTTATAACTCAAGTCTTTCCCAAGGTTTTTAGAGTTTGCCACTGCTTTAGAGGCAATGTCAGAGAATGTGCCTCCAGTGGCTAACATCTTCTCTTTAGCAGGAGGTTTATCCTCTCTTGCTTTGTCTAAGAGACGTTTGAAGCCCGTATGAGGCTGGCTGCTCTCAACTTGTGCTGCTGATGGAGCATCGACCATGTGCTTGTCCTGCTTGTACTCCTTCTTACTATCGACGCGCCGAGTTAAATACACTGTAGCAGTATGGCCTTGTGCCGCCCGGATACGGTCGACTTCTTGCTGGTATGCAGTCTCGTAGATACTGAAATCTGCGGCAGTTGGAGACTCGGCGACTAAATCCCAAGGCGTTATTTCAGGCGCATCTTGGTCACCACGACCAATTCCAAGGTAGAGTGGCTCTGAATCTAGAGGATCGTGCGCGTGGCCTTTCTCATGGGAATTTTCTCTCAGAATTCCGGGTGTCGGGGCCGGAACTTCGTCAGAACGTGACTTTTGTGGCGTGGGGTTTGGTGTGTCCTCCTCATGGCGATCTATAGCTATCGCTGATTTATCAACCTTGCCTCTCATAGACCGGTGTGCATCAATATCAGGGGGACTCATCTCATGATGAACACCCTCAGCGGCAAGGGCTTGTTCAACACTCCGACGATTATGAAGATCAGCACTCTTCGATTTGCGAAGGTGCGGCTCTGATGTACCATCAACAGCGGACAAACTACCAGCAGAAGAATGGTGGATGGTGCGAACACCTTGCCCTAGAGTTCCTCTTAAACCTATAGGCCTTTTATGCTGGTTTAATAAACTCTTGAACTTTTTAACAGCTTTCATCTACAAGGAGTAAGTTTCCATGCATTTACAATAGTGGACGGATTGGACGGACCATCATCAAAAGGTTTCTCATTCGAGCCGTGATGGCATGATTGACTTCGGTTTCACTTGGCGGTTCAATCAGATCGGAGGTGTTCTCCTCTGCGGCTAATAGAGGATCAGTACCATCTTTAGTAACCCAAGAATGCTCCTAATTAATGTCAGCCAGTTCCGAGTTGAAAAGAGGATTTTTCGTACTCGGATTTCCTGCATGGTAATTCTCTCCGACGGATTTTTGTCTAAAAGTCTTCTCATCAAATCACAAAATCCTGGTTCACAATTGGGTTCTATCTCGAGATCATCGTTTTTGATAGCTTCATAGAGTTCGAGAACGCCACTCTTTTCGAATGGGATCCTGCCAAATCTGAGACAGTAAAGCGATACTCCCATGGACCATATATCAGCAGCTTTGCCTGATATATCACCATGCTTCGTAACGCATAGTTCGGGAGGTAAGAATGCTGGTGATCCAGCTGACTTTGCGGTTCTCATCTCAGACGATTTCTCAAACATTTCAGAAACCCCAAAGTCAACGATCTTGAGGACATCATCCTCAGTTAAGAGTAGATTGTCCGGTTTGATATCACGATGTACAACACCTTGTGCATGGACTTAGAAGTGTTAATAACGTGATGATCTAGCAATAGGTGGAAGCAGACTCACGATACTCAATACCAAGAATCAGATCTCTGAACCAGCATCTACAGCTTTCCGCATCATAGGGGTCTGACTTTTCACCCAGTCCCACTTTCATGACCACGCCCTTCTTGCACATCTCTAAAACCATGTATAAAGAATCTTCATCGGGATCATTCAGCACCTCAATAAGAGATACCAAGTTGGGATGATTGAGTTTCTTCATGATTGCGATTTCTTCCTTGATTAGGTATAGGGGATTGCCCTGCTCCTCGCCAGTCTGGATATCAGAAGCAGAATGTCGATGCAATGGAGCATTGAGGCCCAACCCAGCTGCCAATTGTCCAGGTCGTCTACGGCCCTGAGGTCTTCGAAGGATATTTGACTGTGCACGCTTCCGTAACCGTGACTTGGAGAATTCTTTGACCGCCTATAACCATGAGATCAGTCATCAATAGACCTTTAGAAGAGCGTGACTTTGCTCACGAATTCGTTGCCATACTGGTCTACTGCGAGATGAACAGCCCCAAACGAACCACGTCCAATCTCATCCTTTATTATGTACTGATTGATACGATGCTCCGCCTTGCCATCTTCTTGGTTGTTTGTATATTCGGATCTCGCATTCAGCGTCTCTTTGACTTCTACATGATGCGAGGCTTGTCGACGGTGGTGTCTGAGCGGGCTTTGGTAGGCAGGAGCAGAGCTGCACTCTCGTCAGATCCGTTCTCTTATCAGGAGAGGTGTACACATGGACTCAGAACGCACAGGTGCTTAATGAGAGGAGGTCTGCCTTGGGTACCTGGGATGTCCAAAGAAATGCCTGTATAAAGTTGTTATCATGGGTACTCGAAGACAGCATCGGGATCAATGATGGCATTGCCAAATTACCATGTGAGGGCAGGATCCCCACTTCTGCTTCTTTTTCTGAGATATCCCCCGCATGGCCGTGATGGGGCTGGCATTCGTCTGGGGATGAATTCATGTTTGCTGCGAGGGTCTGTCTGCGCTACATGGTCATCAAGGCTGCGTGCAATGTAACGTAAAGTAGAGTAAAGCAAGCAAATTCGATCAATAAATGCGTGGTAGATAGACAAAGGAAGAGATTACAGGGTGAGATATTATGATCGAGTAACAGAAAAGGAGGAGGGGAGGGGGCGAGTCAGGTCAAGCTGTGAATCCCTAAAAGTAGATTCCAGCCAATAGGCACACGCTTACATCTTTTTAGCTGAAGCTCAGCGAAAGCTTGTTTTTAGCGTGTAGGCAATCCCTACCCCTGCCCGTCAATATGTGTCTATCAGCCGCTCTGAGCTCTACTGTAAGGTTGGTTTGTTAATCTTCCACTCTATCTGCAGCATCATGGTGGTCTACAGTTTCTACATATTCGACCGGCATAGTAGGTGCCATTTTCGCATCCACTCCTACTTTCACTGGTCCTGTAACTAAGCCAACTAACACACTCCCAGCGGAATGCGTCTACTCCAAACTCTGGGCTAGGCAAGACCGGCCAATCTCAGGAGGTGGCACCTCCATCCGACCCATCTCCGACTCCAGCGCAACGAGCAATGGAGCTCCCCCCGACCTTGGCCCCGCGAGAGCACGCCCAGCACGCTTGAGCGCACAGGATGATGCGAAGCTCATCTTCGGAACGATATTCTCGCTGCGAAACATGGTGCGGAAACTTGGAGGACCAGACGATAGGTGAACACCTCCGAGAGCTCTGCGAGGAAACGGCAAACTGACTGGAGGGTTACAGCTTCATTTCCTTTCGAACAGGCCAATACAAGCTGCACTACTTCGAGACCCCGACAAGTACCAAATTCGTGATGCTTACCGATACTGGAACTCTCAACATGCGCAACGTTCTGCACCAAATATATGTAAATCTCTGGGTCGAATACGGTATGTGATGCTGCAACATCTTATTCTATGGGCGCTGATATTCTGTAGTGGTGAAGAATCCTATATGTCCTGTGGAGCATCCAGGGGGTGAGGGAGTCGCAAACGAGAAATTTGAGATGGGTCTGGAAACCTTTGTGAAAGGGTTCGTTTAGCTTTGCTATTTCCTTCTGCTATAACTAGATATGGTGGTACGACTATATGATTAGAGATTCAGGCATTGCATGGCGTTTAGAAGATATCACGGAGGAGTTTGAGGCGCAAAGAATAGCCCATAAATCTTCAATGCCATTAGAGGTAGTATAGCGTGGTATCTTACATGTTCCAACCCACCCCCCTCTGAAAGTCCATCCTTAGTTCCATCCCCATATTTAACCTATTTACTCCAGAACCAAATGCCCGACTCCTGATGAACCTTTCAAGAAGAGACAGGCTCTGCACCGTGATCCACAGCTTTACCCCAGGCACTTTCAAACGCACTTGCTGCCCCCACGTCCACGATGCTCTCTTGTCCAGTGCCCGCATTAGACCCTGAATCTGCTGCGACGATCTCTGGGCCGGCAGGTCCATCCTCTTGCGTGAAGAGTGCACTGCTTTCTTCGTTCATTGGGCTGATTTCACTCTCCCAATTGCTCGAGTAGACAACTGCTGCGAAGGCTTCTAGATCCCTAACTTGCTCCATCGATTGGAGGTACTCATTTGGTACACCGTTACCAATCGAATGAGCTTGCCTGCTTAAGATGGCGAGCACAGCTGGTAACCTGACTGGTTTGACATCCACAATTTCTGTAATCCGAGGAGCATTGAGGTCTGGTACATCAGATGTGGGTGGAATCTTGAAAGCTTGCTCCGAGACTTTGCGTTCCACAAGTGTTGAAAACCCGGCGTCAAGGAGCAGGGTTAAAACGTGAGAGAATGGTGGGGAGTCGATGAGGTCTGATGTTTCGTCCAAGAGGCGTCGAAGAGGTGTGTTTCCAGATGCTGCTGTCGAGGATGACTCGGTTGTCATTCCAGACTCTTTCAGCACAAAGTCCTCTTGGTCTTTTGGTGGGAGCAGAAATTCCAACCATCTACCCGCTTTCCTTTCTGCATCAGTGGCTCCTTCGACTTTCATTCGTACTTGGAGAGTCAAGTCGGAGAATTTATGCATGGAAATCTCATCCCTGATACTCAAACTGCCAAATACTTCTTTCACGGCTGCTTCAACCTTTAACATGACCTGTCGCCACCCCCTGTGTAGTAGCCACCAGCTGAAAGTGAGGTATTGTCTATTAGTTTCAAAGTCATTGCCGTATGCCTGGTCCGGATTATCGTCATCGTGATTCTCTAAGGTGATTGTAGATTGCTCCATTCCGCCTGTTGCAAGTGACACCACGCTGGACAGGTAACTTCGACGGCCAAGAAGATTTAGCTGTATCCGGGTAAGGAGTGTCAGTAACGCAAGCGTATAGATCAATGTGAAAGATCGAGTAATTGCTATCACTTAATTAGCATAGTTCTAGGTCCCATACGTCCAAACTTACAACTAATCTTAAGGTCATTCCATAATTGCACCTTGGTCCTTCGTAATCTTTGTGCTTGTTGGCCTCCATCTTGGGGACCGTCTCCCGCTGATGTTGCAGATGGAATGCCCATCTGGCTGGCGTGTACTCCACTCTCACTTTGCAGACTTGCCATACTCCTGCCATCATCGTCCGTCACACTTGGTGGGCCAGAGCCCAACTCTGAGGGATGAGGCTCTCCATCACGCGCCAATTTTGCAGCTTTCTGTTGTTGTAACTCGAAGGTTATTCGCTCTGTTTGTAGTTCCTGAAGTATATTGTCCGTAGCTGTTGGGAGGAGGGCAAGCACTGTGAAGGTGCAATCTTCCTGGTTCTGTTCAAATCGCCGGCGGAGACTACAAATAACCATCAGCTTGATCCTAGTCAACTCTCGCATAATCCATCGTACTTCTCTCGAGCAATGCGATCACTGCTCATGCGTTCTCGTGCAGCAGAGATCTTCCCCAACACATATTGAGTGACTACATAGCCCGCTCCTATAACTCCAACTCCAACAGTAAGGGGTGTTCTGTTGCGCCGAAACCACCCACGGGTAGCGGCAATCATGACTTGAGACTGTTGGGTAGTTACAAAGACTGTAACATGCCGTTTGGAGAAGCCACACGTACCGGAGAATTGTGGTCAAGGGCGTGGCGTGCTGGCGCATATAAGTACCTCGACGAAAGTACCCCGTGTGAAGCTCCTTTCTAGAAAGCGAACCTCGGCGATGAATGTCCACACTCTGCACCTGCCACACATCGTCTAATCGGAGAGTGGGTCGAACGATAGCCTCAGCCACACTTGCGCCCAGCCCACTACTGTACGAGTACTCGAGGACAATTACCCCTCCATTGTTCGCATAAAGCTTCCCACCCCATTACAGTACAGTACTCGTACTGTATCTACCGTGACAACATAACTCCAGCTCCAAACTCCAAACTCCAACCCAACCCTGTGGAAGGCAAATGCTAGACAATCTAGTAGCAATGGAACAGCGCAGGCCGCCCGAATACATCATAGAGGTCTTCGCAGATCCTTCCTCGGTCAAAGATGTCGTGAGAGGTATTTGCTTACTGCTATGGAAGGACCCGCATCTGGCCATTACGCTGACCTCTAATCACTAGGAATCTTGCATACCATCTTCTTCCACCGATTCTTCCCCGCTATTCGGCCCCGGACGCGCGATGTTCTAGATCTTACCTTACCCGTAGTTGAAGATGTAGAGTTGGAGACCTTGATCGACCAGAGGACGGCGGCGCTCGTGCAACAATTAGATACTAGCTCGGATATGAGAACGCGGAATTCCGGAGTGAGAGGGTCGATGGCTGTCCAGTTCTTTGAAAAGAAGCGCCGGAAGGCCTGGTCATTTATGAAAGCAGATGAAGAGGTATGTTGGGAGCAATGGACGTTAGATGTGACGCTGGCAACGCCGAGGACCGAAACAGGTACATTCATTCTTTCAAGCTGCCGTGTTTAGACTTTATTAATGAGCGTACTCTAGAGAGAGCGAAAGTCCGAAAAGCTATGGAGGCTATGCTGCTGAAGGCCGCCATGAAGATCGTGACAACAGTGAACCGAGAGAAAGATCACATTCCACCCATCACCACGAGCGAAGCAAACCCGTTCCCCTACCAGATTGTGATTAATCCGAAGGGCGATGGATGGGGAACACGAATGGGCATTTTTTGAACCGTGGGTGGGGAAACGAATTGTACATGAAATGACTGGGATTTTCTGGCGTTCTGAAATAGAGGCACGTTGAATAGGCTACTGATACCCATGAATGATAATATATTGTTCCGCGCTCAATTCATGAATCTTCATCGCGTCATATTTCTCGTAATAAGCGTAACCATAGCTCTCATCATGTTCGGCGGCTGAACCCTCCTCTACCCCGTCCTCTCCCCCGGCCAAATCTAACACTTGGAGGTACAAACTTCAGTGAGGACATTGCACCAGTGAGGCCTTCCATGTCCGCATCGTCTGAAGAGGGCAAAGAGTCTACATCCTTCTCGGAGCTTTCCGTCCCATCTTGACCTTTGACATCCCCTCCCGGAGCACTAGCAATCGTTTCCAGGTTTGAGTTTCGTTTCTTGGCCCTGTCTTCAATCTCTGTCATATGCTGGACTGCGGAACTTCGCCTTCGATGTCTTCCAGAACAGAGCATTGAATTTCGGTGATCTATTCCATCGTTCACCACGTAGAAATCATATTCTTTAGGAAAGAGGTGCTTGTCGATCAGGTGCATGCGTCTCTTTTGCGGCGTGGAGCATATTCGATCGCAGTCTTCAACAAAACAGCCATACTTGAGAGTTTTAACAACAAGTCAACAGATCAGGAGGATAACCCACTGTCTTTTCTCCCCTCTCCCTTCTCACGCTCACCAACGCGTCATGATTCTCCTCAATGTGTAAATTCAAGAAATGCTCTGTGGGGAAATTCTTCCGGCACTCTAAACACCTGTTCAAGTGTGTCTTGTTGTAATGTACCTCGTAAATTTCAAGGGATGGAAAGGATAGTGTCTCTCGATGTGGTGGTAATGAGCATCTCATCTCGGTGTGATGCGTTGTCTCACCGCTTGAAGAATCTGGGTCGAGTTGAAGGAATTTCGAGGCGGAGAAATGAGTGATGGATACAGCAGGAGTGTCTCCTAAGTTGTCGAGGTCCGAGGGAGGCTCAAAATCATCTCGTGAGCGCTTTGCCATCTTTTCAAGTACTAATGCGGGGGGATTACTCTGATGATGAACTGAAATCCGAATAATCTTTCCTACCTTATGCTTGCTGTAATGTAATTTCATATCAGTGCCTCACCTAGGTAGAGACGTCCCTCGTGGAGCTTGCTGTTGGGCACTTGAAGAGGTCGTGTTGCTTGTTGTTGTCTTGAAAGGCGATTTTCTACACCTGATAGATCTTGTTACAAGGCGGATGGCTATCTGGAGGAGCCTTGCGATAAATGACCGGGCGCCTATTTTCATCCTTCAGCCTCGTTTTCCCCACCCCACCATTACTGCGAAGCCACAAAGATCGACGAGCAGGGGGGTTATGGTCTAAGAACAACGACGTGATGCGATGCGTTGCGTTTCTACGCTTCCAAAGTCATCGGCATCCCTCTTCTTTCTTTGATGTTGAAATATACCATTTCCCAACTCCTATGAGACTTTCACATCATTCACCGGCAACAAGGCTGTCACCGCTTGTTAGCGCCCTCTGCTTAAATTTATCACGATTTGACCAAACCGACCCGGATGGATTCATTCTCCCACCACCCATTTGCGGACCTCGAGGCGCAAATCTAACATAGAGGTGCCGCGGGATCAAGGGCCTGCGATGCAAATAAATAATATGGCATCCCCAGCTTCGAAGCCCTGGAAGTAAGTCTGGTTTTCCGGGGGATATTTCGCCTCCTGCGAGATATTCATATATATTTCTGCCTGCCGACAGACTATGGCTGACAGTCGTAGGAGAGCAAGCCAACTTGCAAAACACCTGTCGCTCTTATTGGACGACAAAGCCCCCCCTTTCGAGGATGTCGATAACTTAATCGAACAGTATGTCCTCACATCTCTCTCGCATATCCAGCCTCGTCCTCTGCGCAAAGCCCAGTATTCAACATTGTACAATTTTGATGGCCGATTCAGCCTGTCACATTGCGCCCCTATGCTTTCTGTCCAAGATGAGCCAGCAATCTTATCACAAACTAACTTCTCTAGGTTGCGCCTTGCCTGTGAAGCTACTATCCTAATCGACATTGAGTTCGCCCACGAACATGAGGTAGAGAAATGTCTCTGGGACTCCCACATCAGGATCAATCAGCGGTATCGAAAGCGGGTCGATCACTACAAGCAAGAGGGTCCGAAGAAACATGTAGTCGAGCGACGCAAGTTGGAGAAGCGCTATGCAGACTTCATCAAGACAAGCCAGTTTTTCTACAAAGGATATATTCAGCGCCTGGCATCACGGTTTGAGGGCATGAAAGAGTTGCGCCGGATTGCGCATCGACTGTCGCTAGATACTCAATCTGTCGATCAACGGATTCAGGTTTCCCCAGATATCGAACATCTGATTGACAATTCCTGTTATGGCACCCTTCTTCGCCTCGGCGATCTCTCTCGCTATCGCAACCACCTGCGAACCAAGGATCGAAGCTGGGCGGCCGCTTTGGGCTACTATGAGTTGGCAAACGATTTCTTACCTGACGATGGCACTGCTCACAATCAGATGGCAGTTGTCGCTCTCGCAGACGGAAATCACCTGGATGCAGTCTACCATCTTTACCGAGCCCTCGCTATTAAGAAGCCATTTGACCTGGCAAAGGGAAATCTTGAGATTGAATTTAAGAAGATCAAAACATCTCAAGAGAAACAGCGTGTTCCACCCAAGACGGACACCCTGAGTACTTTGGTCTGGTGGTTTGTTTTACTGCATGCTAAGTTCTATGATGGGGTTGATTTCCAAACTCATGAGGAGCTTGAAAATGAAGTTCTTTCTCGTCTTACCCTGCTACTCAAGGAGGAGTCATTTGAAGAGACACTCGAGAAGGTGGTCCTCATCAACCTTTCCGCCGAATCTTTTGCTGGGCAGCGTATCAAAGGTGGGTACTGGTCGGATAAGTTCTAAATAACATAACTAACCAAAGTATAGATGCAGCAGGAAGTGCGAGCTCGGAGCTCATCCGTTCATACTACTTCTTCCTCACCTTGAATCTTCGCATGAACTTCATGCTTCTACAGGTATTGCAGCCAGAACTTGAGGATCAACCATCTGGTGAAGACCTTCCTGCTGGAACCGATGCACCTACAAGAATCTCTTTGGGAGAGAAGGTCACAGCAGTAGCTCGCAGAGTTCTCCCAGCGCTCCGCCAGTATAGTGTTTGGCTCGCTTCCCAGGCTACTGTGATCATTGCCAGTGATGAGATAGGCCCCGTGGTCATCCACGCGAAGGAGATGTGGAAGATGTATGCCGACGTGCTTACCCGACTTGCCCATTTCTTCCCGGTCGACAGTCTTCGTTCGGTCAATTACTTGTTGGAGGAGGATGAAACCACCGTCGGCTTCAAGCCGTTGCGTGACCCAACACTTCCTGGCGCTTGCAACCTATTCGTTGAAGATGATGGTGGCTTGAAGTTGCACATCACAGACCCAGGCACGAAGAGAAGCCTTCCCAACGAGGAAATGCAGGCTCGTGTCCGAGACATCATAATTTGTGCCCTAGTTCTACACCAAGATGTCAAGTGTCCTATCATTCTTGAACCAGAGACGGCAGCCTTTATGTTCATCGAGGAAGGCTTGGCAATGGCTAGCCCTTCAAGTCCAATCCAATATCAAGAATCGACACCTTCGGAGAGACCTCTACCAAACAGCAGTTACCCGACCGCTTCTTTTGAGAGCCACCAACAAAGCAGCAATAACTTCGCTGTTCCGGAAACAGTTCGCAGAAACATAGCTGTAATACCAGCTGAAAGTGTTGCAGCTTCCGATTCATACAACAGCATTGACATTTCCATGAACCACATGGTAGATAGCCTTGTTGAGCCATCCGGTAGCAAGCAGACCGCAAGTAACGAGACGTCCTATGGTATGCATAGTCGCACCGCAAACGAGGTTTTTGCTCCCATTGGCACCAATGGTTTCAGGTCTCACCAGGTTCAGAGTTCACCCAAGATGTTACCGAGTCTCCCGGGTTTGTGGAACTCGGCCTTTACACCTCGGCCAAACGAACTCCAGTCAACTAGCCCTCGTCATTATAGCACAGGACGTCAAATGTCACCTATGCCGCTTTCTAATAAGCAAGAACAATTGGAGGCTGCTGGGCACCTTGAAAGAGTCACTGGGTACCGGCGATCCTCAAAGGAACGTCTGGAAAACATGGTAGATTCGCAGGATATGTGGGGAGGAAAACGGGCATCCAATCCATCATCCCAGGCGATCAATGAAATTCTGCAACGAAAACTGGCGGAGCAATTTCATCCGATGACAATCACCTCGTCCAGCTTTTCTGATTCAAGCAGCCTGTACGCCAACAACACACCACTGGCTCAACAACAACCAAATGTTCGTGGTATAAGAGGTCCTTTTGGTCAACTTGCTCCCACCAACACTGCAAACAACAGTACCTTTTATGCCGGTGGAACTGATTTCGACACCAATGCTATGCTGCGTAGCTCCATCTGGAATGGTAGTCAACCTCGCCATGGCAATTACTCCCAGACTCCTCCTGGTAATCAAGGAGGCTGAGACTTCTGATTCGTATTAAGGAACAAATCAAATATGGATGACGTATGCCCCCCTGACAAGCGCCACTCGGAAACCTATCATCGAAAGGCCACCTTGACCAACATTTACCTGTGGGTTTCCAAGAATAATACTTGAATGGGAGTACAATGGGGTATCATCTCTGGCAGGAAAAGACTGGACTTTTTAGTTGTCTAAAACGCTACTATTCTATATGTGATCGTGGAGGATCATCGTCACCGGGTCATAACTCATATGCGCCATATCGTCAGATTGTAGACGCTCCGCTCCGTTGTTGAAACCTTTTCCGAACGCCGTCTAACAAATCTTGCTGGAAATAAAGATCATAACCTAAGACTTTGTGTACGTCTGCTTGGGGAATGGGAAACTATAGTGGTTGTCAGTTCTTTTTCTCAACATTGGCGCGTTCACTTCTGGGGCGTATAGCCAATAAGAATATCATTATCCCCCAACAAGCGTGCTGTGACACTGAAATTGAAATGAAATTAAAACTTACGAAGGACCAAGCTCCTGAATGCTAAGCTTTGCCAGCCATTGACCCTGGTCGACACACTGAGCAAGAGGGGCACCAGCAACAAGACCAGCAGTGAAACCAGCAGCGAACGCATCTCCAGCACCGGTAGTGTCGGTGATTTGGCTCGGGTTGATAGCATGAACTGCATGCTCGTTCACCTCCCCATTGGTAGCAACAACAGTGGGGTCTGTGCCTTGAGTAATGATGGCAACTCTCTCCCTCTTCTTGTTGGCCTTGGGCAACGCAGCCAAATGCTTAGCAATCTCCTTGATATCCTTAGTCTCCAATCCATGTGCCTCGGCATATGAAAGCGCTTCAGACTCGTTTCCAATCACGTAATCCCAGTACGGGGCCGTAGCATCCAAAGCGTCCTTGAAGGCTATCGGGATGAAAGGAGCAGAGAGCGAGAACACAAACGACTTGTCGTTATTGGCAGCCTCTTCAGCCAAAGCCATGATAGCTGGCGGGCAGACTGTGAGATGGTACCCGCCAACGAAGTAGTGAGTGGCGCCTTCAACAAGCTTCCACACCTCGGGGCTCTTCAGATGATCCAAATCATAATGATTAGCCGCACCCAGATCAGTGACCATAGAGCGGTGGTGGCCCGTAATAACAACACCGCAACGGCCAGTCTTCTCCTTTTTGTCGACGCGGTACTCGACTCTAAGGCCAGCTTGCTTCACAGCATCGTGTAGGATTGCAGCGTACTTGTCGTCTCCAACGCCACCAAGATACACGACTGAGTTAGGAGGCAGCATGTACTGAGCTCCACGGGCAGTGTTCTGGGCACCGCCCCCTGCAATCAGCTTTGCAGAGTAGTTGTTCAGGAGGTCTTCGTAGATCCCGAGGTGCTTTTCTTCAGCGAGGATGGCATTGTCGGCCTCGAGGCCATATTTAGCCAAGAGCTCATCGTTCCCTGGAGCTTGAATATCTGTGGGATAGTACTGTTAGCATTTCTCATGTTATGCGAGATTGTCCCATTCCCGCTGAAGCTTTCATGATTTGAAGTTTCGGGGATTGGATCCTACAGCGCCCTTGCCAGCGCCGAATGAAGAGAAAAGCTTTGATAAACATTTGCGGGCTTGAACTTACCAAGCAAAGGGTTCTCTAAGCAGAGAAGAGCGTATTCTTTGGTGGGAGACATGGTTCTTGTCTTTTGAATGGTGGTTGGAGGTGAATGAATTGCCGGACAGGAGAATTGAGGTAGGGAGGTGAGGGGTTGGTGGGGTTTTGTTCTGCGAGGAAGGAACGCAAAATGTCGGAGAGATTTGCCGATCGATTCAATCTCCTTTTTTGATCCAACTGTTACAATTCCTCACTTGAGCGACGATACAGTAATACACCTGGGAACGGTCTGGAATATGAGAATCTAGGATCCTAGAATCCCCAATTGAAGTGAGCGATTTAATTACAGTTGCAAAGGGCTTTGAAGATTCAACAAAGATGATCAACAACCCTCAGTTTTGACCAGTTTAATGTCTCACGACCAGTGGACGATCAATACCATCTTCCGCACTCAATCGCCCTACTACAGCTCCTTGATAGAAAGGCGATCCGAATATACCTAGGTTCGCTTCTAAGTTACATGATCGCTTGCTCACTTGTAGTAAGTAAACCACAGTTCAACAAGACCAAAGCGAGCATCAAGGCAAGCCTCAAACAAAGTTGTTAACCAAGCCCTCCTTTTTTGGCCTGTTTGATTATGTCCCACGATAAGTGGACGATTAAAAGCAGCTCGAGCAAGCATCTAGAAATGTCGTACTACAGTACTCCCTTCATACCGGCTAAATTTTGGAGAGGTCCTCTTGACGAAGTAGGCGGATTGGTAGTCCCTTCAAATTAGCCATTGAATATACAACTTGAATCACTTGATACTTGTGCGACATTATAGTCTTGTTAGTGGTTTCTGAATGCGTCAACTTTTCTGTGTATGCTAGATTTGCAAGTAACTTTTCACATCACATAAGCAACATTCACATCACATATGGGGATACATCCGTTGCTCAAAGTGTTCATTCATCCTCGCTATGCTCCTTTCAAGAGATACATGGATGCGAAGCAAAGTAAAAACTCCATTGACCCGTTCCCCCAATCTAGTCCTTGGTCTTTTGGGTACCACGTAACAGACCAGTTCTGCGAGCAGCGATGAGACCAGCCTTTTGACCTTGCGCAGCGAATCTCGAAATTGTAGAGGCCTTTCCGATATGCTGGTGATTACCACCACCGTGGGGATGGTCCACTAAACGAACATATTAGCAATAGACACACATTAGTATAAGAGTAAAACGTACCGGGATTCTAAGTCTGTTGTTAGTATATCTTCTTTTAAGTTTTTTGGAACGTTGGGGGGAACTTACCATTGCTACACCACGAGTCTTGGGCCACGAGTTACGCTTAACAGCGAACTTGTGCTTCGCACGGGACGCCTCTGTTGATTGATCAGTACTGTAACCCAAAAGCAATTTGATAAAGCGAACGTACTCAACAGAGGTTTGTCGGTTCTTCCTCCACCAGCGACGATACCAATCATACCACGCGCGCTGCTCTTGATGACCTTCTTTGCGCCGGATGGGAGCTTGACACGGGTCTTGCCCTCATCAGGGTTGTGGCCAATGACGGTCACGTAGTTGCCAGATGTGCGTCCAAGAGTTCCACGATCACCAACCTTCTCCTCCACGTTCGAGACGACGGTTCCTTCTGGGACAGAGCCGAGGGGTAGGACGTTTCCGACGGTGAGGTTTGCGTTCTTGCCAGCGTAGATGAATTGACCAGTGTACATGCCCTCGTTGGCGATGAATGTCTCGGTATGAAGCTTGAATCTGTATGGGTCTCTGAAGACAACCTTCGCGAGAGGGGCTCCTCGTCCTGGGTCACTGAAGAATCGCAGAGTCAGTGTCTCCATTTGCTTGCCGTACTGGAATAAATTTCCTACTGAATGATCTCCTTCACGACACCACGAACATATCCATGCTTTTCCGCATAATCGAGGTTTCTGAATTTCGCGGGGTTCTTGTTCAACCGGGTGTTGGCAGTAAAGATAGAGCCACGGCCCTTTCTCTGATTGCGGATAACTCGCCCCATGGTCGAAGTATTCGGAGTGGTTGATAAAATAAGAGTTGCAACTTTTCGGAATTTTGGCGATGTGTGGGAAGATTTAGCGCTAAGGGTAAAACACCCACGTGATCGCGCTAAAAAAAATCCCTGGCCAAACTTGTAGCCTCGCCTCGCTATGAGAAGACGACCAGCTGGATTGCTCAAACAGCCCAAGTGAGTGTTCGACCAGAACACAGGCATTGGCGCACGAGAATCCCCTTTCATATGTTATCTCTGCTCAGCCATCGCTGCATTGGTTCACTTTCTTTGGGACATTGTTAGATACGTGATGAGACTCACCGGGAAGGGTCAAGTTGATCTTTTCTCCCCTGATCTCACCATCGTGCATCACCCGACAGACTCGACTGCATTTTGAATGAGCAGGCTTCTATGTTTGGTTCCTCGTCAGTCTCGTTATTTGCTCTGGCCAGAGAAGCTATTGCGCGCGCTCTTTGGCGTCGAAAGGTACTCTATGCTGGTTTTCAGTGTCCTTGATAAGCGCATTGAAAAGTGTCGCGAGATCCGAACTGGTGGCGGTGCTGGATTGCCGTGATAGTTTGCGGCATATTAGGTGGTATGCGTTTACTAAGATGCGGGCATGGAACGTGGTGAGGGTTTCAATTTGTCGGGTTCGGGCTTCAACTTTTTTCCCTCTCCCCCAACTAAACTTACGACATTACAATTACAATTGTTCACATCAATCCTTTTTATTTCAAATCAACAGAGCCCCCTTATGCTTCCATATTTGCGTACACTGTCGCGATTTTGTGGGTGTTGGGGGGTTCTTCGCAATCTCGTACTTGCGAGAGCGCATGCAGAAGTAGGCAGTATAATTTCAATTTATCAATGACTTCATATGGCCGTCAAGCTACATGCTTAGAGTGCAAATGGGTAAGCGAGGCTCTTTGTGGTTGGGCTGGTTTGTCAATATGGTTTTTGAACCTCACCAAGGTCCGCGTTTAATCCATGACCCACCCACTATGCGACACCACCTCTATCATTGAAAGGAATCACTCACTACTTACAACAGATGTTTTGCCTTCAAACAAAATTGAGAAGTACTAATCCGTGGATCATGCAGCAAGTTGGAACGACAAAGTTTCGAGAATCTATTCGAGAGAGCTGGATTGTGAGAGACCAGAATGCATGCCACTGCTACGAGGTCGCTTGATTATCTCGCTCCTGCTAGGATATTCAGAGGTCTTGGGAATATGGTTGCGGGAACATTGCGGAATCTGGTGGTGGAACTATGAAGTTGATGGAAAGCTATATATCAATGGAAATGGAGGTCTCTACTTCATCAGTCAATTCACAGTCCTTTGCGTTTTATATGTTACGTGACCATGTAAGCTAGCCCCAGGAACCCGCTGCTGTTTGGTCGATCGGCAAATATCTTTGACCTTGCTGTGACCTCACATCTCCCTTCCCACATCGACACTCCTCCACCACCACAACCACCACCAACAACAACATAATGTCCGACGACTCCTCCGACCTATCCTCTGTCCCTTCTGAGGATGAGACTAATTTACAATTAACTAAAAAGGATGGGATCCTCAAGTTCTTCTCCAAAGCGCCTCGCCCGACTGGAGAACCCCGAGTTGAAGCCTCACCACCGCGCCCCAAACGAGAGCCCTCTCCCCCCCACGAATATGTATTGGCAGATAACCCAGATATCGCAGTAAGTGTGCGAACTCGCCCTCGCGTCTCTAAACGGTCTACACGTTAAAAACGCGTGGTTGTCTCCATCCACCTTGGCTAACGCGACTTTTTGTACAGTTCATTGTCATGTTTCGCGCCCGCTTCACAGAAGCCTTCGCAAAATCCCTTGCGCATTTCGGTCCCCAAGAACTCGAACGAGATATAGTTGATACAGTCCCTGGAGAGCATGTGGAGCAATTTCTCTGCGCGTTGCTGGGAGTTTTGCTGAACAGGAAGCAAGATGTGAAGTATGCTGGCGCAACCTGGCGCACCACCCTCACTGCCTTTTTTGGGACTTGTCACTAATTCGAAATGTTTCTACAGGGCCGGCCATTATAATCGCGCGCTGGAGGAAGCTATACAAACCCATAAGTTGCAATGGGCAAAGGACTGGGAGAGCAAAAATCCGTTATCAGGGGGTGCCACCTTTGCAACTATGACCCCAACCCAGCGAGTAAGCCATTCTACTTCGTACAACCGGTGGCCCATCTCATTAACTATCATTACAGCTTACGCTGCTGCGGACACTCATTCTCTGGTCCATGTCCTCCTCCGACGCTGTTAAGGGTATCATACAGACATCATACAAGCAGAACCGCCACGAGGACGATCTTAACCAACCACTCTCGGTACAACCTTGGGGTTCCGATGGAGATAAGCGCCGTTACTATCTTATTCAGGGTCTTGATGACACAAATTTCAGGGTTTACAGGGAGAGTAACCATACTGGTATCAAGCGAACTTGGTTCAGTGTTGCCGACGACATAGATAATCTAAAGGCACTGGCAGATAAGCTTTTCAACGAGGATCGTGGCCAGAAGGCGAGAACTTTGAGTGGCAAGATTATGGCAGCAATTCCTCTATTTGAGGCTACACTAGAGGTATGGTCTTCCTTTAGACTTCTGCGACCTAGCATCCCAGTCCTAGTAGACAATCTTCTGTCAACTTTGAAGACTGCCTGGTAGCGACTTCCTGAATCAATCACTTCATGTGAGGCACTCGGTACAAGGAAGTACATGGATGATGTCCCTGTTTGATACATTCATCAAGCGAGGCAGGATATATCTCACAAGCTACTTGATATTTCATATCCTATCTTTTCATACTAACATATTACTTTAGAAGCGGAAACGTCGAGAATACCGACAAGCTCGCAAGCACCAGTTCAAGCGACCGGAACCCAACTTCTCGATGTACGAGGGCCGAACTCGCGGAAAGCGAATGAAGTATACGTACAGTGAGGAAGAAGATGAAGGCTATTCTGATACCACTACTAGTCGTCGATCTACTCGCAATACTCGCGCCCATACTCCTGCTGAAGGCCTCGGTCTTACAGTTACCCAGAGTGGTCGTCAAGTTAAGGCACGTCAAGGCGGTGCTTATGGTGAGAGCATACTTAGTGGCGCTCAAGGACAGGCGGTTACTGTCGAAGGCTATGAAGGTATTAGCGACGGGCCTGAAAATGCAGCTGGCGGTGATAATGGCGGTCGCCCTCGCCGAGCAGCGGCAGCGGCAGCTAATTCTACCATCGGCCTGGCGCCCAAAGGAGGCCGGCATATCGAAGGCTACAACGATGTAGACGAGATGACGAGCGATGAAGAGGCCGATGCAAGTGAGCAAGATTACGGTGACGATGAGGAAGAAGACGATGTCGTTCTTGCAAGTGATGCTGATGACCAGGACGAACTTAGTGATGAGGATGAGGAGATGGAAGATGGAGAGAAAAAGAGCCTTGTGGTGAAGCTGCCTGTCAAGACCCCAACTCCCGAGAGGAAGACAGTCATCAAGCTTCGGGTATCTCCAGAGAAGGATGTCCCAAGAAGCCCAAACTTCTTTTCCAATGCCACCGCTCCAGTCGATTCCTCGATATCTCAAGGCAAAGAAAACGCGAAGCCCGCACCTGTCTCTTTAGGAAGGCCCGAAGCCCCCAAGCGTTCAACACCACCACCTTTGGCCCCAGCACCATCCACTTCCAGATCTCCACTTGCTTTTCGCCGCAGTCCAGAGAAACCCAATACATATCCACCATCCATCGATGTAGGCTACGGAAAACCATAAAGAGTATTAGAGGTCAAATTTTCATTTATCAGGGATATCCAAAATGGCGGGCAGTTTACTTGTAAAGGCATGGCGCAGGTAGATGGGCTTGTTTGAGGCGATATCGCAATACATTATTGGCGCAGAGAACAGTATTTACTGGCTTGGACTTAGCTCTGTACGAAAATAGAGGGCCGAATTAAGCTGAGGAGCCCAGCGTGCATTCCAATACGTGACGCTATATGTCTATTTGAATGGCTAATTCAGAACTTATGTGAAGAAAGGCTACAAGACAGCGACTTAGCCAAGCCGCTCTTGAAGTTTGGTAAGATCACTTCGGAGTTTAAGTCTATTTACTTGTTTTTCTATTCATTAAATGGCCAGATTCTTCATCAGGAATTTACAGGGCATAATTCATGACGGTTCCCTGACCAAAAGCCATTCCTCTAAATATAAATCATACTGGGATATTCGTGCTATGGTATTGGCTCAGGTGTTCCACATGTCGGCCAGCCTAGCCAGAACAAACATCACAAGAGGACCAAGTGTTGGATCTTGATTCGAGAACGTTAAGTATTGGAAAGGCTGCACTATGGCAGTCCTGAGGCTCTATTTGCCTATAACTTGTACACCTAACGCCGCCCATGTAATACCCTTGGCTCATCTTCTTGAACTTATAAACTGTACAGATTCCCGCCTTTCAATCACCACCCGCATCATGGGTCTTATAATACTGTTACATGACATCAGTAAAACAGGGGACCCGGCCAGAGCGAGTCCAACTCACATATTCAACGTCTGCCGCCAGCTTCTTATCGTTCCCAAAACTCTTCAGGCTCTTCGGCATCTGCCAATTATTCGTCTTGTACCACCACCTCCTGACTCTTGCCCCTACACCCTGTCCACTCAGCTTCGCGCTGCGGTTCCAGAATCGCCAGCCGTGGAGCGCGAGACTCCAGACTGTGCCTTGTATAAGCGGCAACAGAACCTATGTTCCCCATTAGAAACTAAACATATTTGGCATTGGATACAGGAAGGTCGTACCTGATCCCTCATAGTAATATACGCCACCCTCCAATTAGTCTCCGCCCCCGCAATGCTCGCCAGATAGCTCTGTTCGAACCTCAGATCTGGCAGTGGACCGAAGCTCAGTCTTCTGGGCACAGGCTTCAACACGCTATATGGTATGTCATCATCATCATCATCCTCCTCATCAATGCTTTCTTCGTCATCGTAGGCGTATTTGTCCAGCGAGGACTCGGATGCTGGGGGTTCGGGGTCGGAGATGGAGACGGGCTGTTTTTGGGAGGCTGTGGTGGAGGGGTTGAGGTCATGGTCTGGTGAGGGGTGACGGTTGATGGAGGCGGTCTGTATTGTTTCTGCAATTTGGAGGGGGAGCGAGGACGACATTTTGGGGGTTGTTGTGTTGATTCGGGAAAGAATCTCGGGCTGGAGCTTTTGAAGGCGTCGGGAGCTTCAGCCGAAGATCGTCAAAACTTAGTGAACAGGACTTTCTGCCTTTGAAAGTATCACACGACAACAAAATATACTTAGGTAATTTGTATTTTACTTCCTTATGTACCTGAAGATCTGTAAAGATTCCCATAATCAATAACTCTTGCTTCGATTAAAAGAATTTCTAAAACCGGTAGCGTGACAATGGTGCCGTACAATACCTGTACAGTATATACTATCCAGAAAAACACCCCAAGCTTACTTGTCAATGGACAGAAGATATTACATATTCTATCAGATTACAGTGTATTTCCCATGTGTCTGATATCTGACTTCTCGTCATTACTCAGTTCGTTCCAGCGGTAAATCAAAGATTGGATCAATAAATAATTAACATCATATCAAAGTAGATATCTCCACAATATTTCGTCTATTAGGTAGACTTTTGATTCTGGGAAGGTAGATCTTGAATATCGGCCTCAGATTTGAGCTCCTCCGGGACAGTACGAACGAATGCTAGCAATGAAGCATCTTTTAGCACATACTATAAATCATACAGACTCTCCGTCGTGCTTAGAAGACGAATGGAGCGGTACTCGTTATCGTCGGCTTTTAGATGTGCCATCCCGCCTGAACATCATAATTGGTGCCGATTTTCTTGTCCACCGCGAGCTTGAGGCAGTGTCTCAGCCAGCAATGTCGATTGAGGGCTTTTGCTCCCTCCTCTTCAATACCTCGGCGCTCTACGAGAAAATATTCTACCTCTACGCATCGCAAGGAACACTGTAAGAAACATGAGATCAGCCATCGTCCGAGAACTCCTTTGGTCAATTGGTAATGACTAGAATCTCTTCTTTAAGCTCTGGGTTCACTCACAATATACAGCTCCGAATGCCATACCACCCAAGTGGTCGACGTGACCAATCCACGGCAGGAAACCTGTCTGAATACATACACCGCTGAATACAACGCCCACAAGAGTCGACTGCCACATGGTCATAGGCACGAAGAAAATGTTTACACCTATCCGTGGAGCCACCAATGTCAAAGCTCCAAGTAGCCCGACAACACAGCCTGATGCCCCAACTGCAGCAGCGTCACCTCCTGGCGGTAGTGTTCTTTTCCAGTGCCAGTCCTGTAGTAAGCCGCCTGCAATTCCAGACCCAAAATAGAGGGCTAGGAAGCTGGGAATACCAAACGCTCTGGCAATCGGCTTTCCTAATGACCACAACCCAAGCATGTTGAATAGCAGGTGTCCCCATCCATTATGCATAAATGTCGACGTAATCAGTGTGTACCAGCGTCCTTCCTCCATGTTACGTCGTGAGAGGATCCAAGAGTTGCGGAAATCTGACAGCCATTTGGATTGTACAGTCACCGGCTGCGTCTTCATGTATTCGTTCCATGCAGTAGCAGATATACATAAGGCGATAATACCTCCAACTACACGAACTGGAGAGTCGTAAATTTGGGGGCTGGAATGGGGTGGAGGTGGAGGATCAGGAGGACCAGAAGGGCGAGGCCTTGGGCTTGGGCTTGACCTTGAACTATGTTTATAGCCTCGACCAAGTGCTGCTTGAATGTATCGACCAGACTCTAATGCTCCTGAATGAGGCCTAGCCAGTGTATTGCATATAACGGAACAGCCTGCAAATGTTGGCTGAAATCGGGTTCCTTTCCCACTCACGCGTAGGGTATTATGCTACAAGGCTACGCGTTAGTTGAACCGCTGGCAACGCGCCATATGGAAGTACTATACCTACTCGGACAATTGGTGAAAAGCGTGGCGAAGGGAGCTTCGAGCCCCTCTGGAGAAAGTTCATGACTGGCGTGGACATGCTGTACTGCAGTTTGATGTCCCAAGAACTATAGAATTAGTAGCCATGAATTGAGTCGTGTGAGCTGTTACGAAGTGGAAAGGCTGAGGAGAGGAGAGAGTGGGGCTGGGCTTGCAGAGCGGTGGAGACGGGCAAATGCAGGGGTACTTTATTTCCCTTAACTAGTACTAGGTACCCGCGGTACCATCGTATCATCAATCGTTTCTTCTTATTTTCATCAACCAATCTTCATTGCATTTCCTCGAGTCTTACAGTCATCTATATCCTAATTTTATAATCCCCTTACCAAACTAGATGATTTTGATATTCAGCTTGCCAAGGTAAAAGAAGGACCTAATGGTCGACGTCCATCACGCATCATCCCCTAACAGTCTTTGAGCCAATGTGGTATTCTTAGGGGTTTCTTTTCTTTTCTCGAGTGAGGAAGTCATTTGTTTCAAGTATTGCCTGAGTAGCATAAGTGGACTGAGTGTTCGTGGGGGATGACTTGGATGTTTCAGAAAGTCCGAGACACCCAAAACTTTCGTTTGAAGGCAGCCCATACCCAACGACTTCTACCCTTCCATTTTGATTCAAATATGTACAAGAACTGCGAAATGCAGCTTCAGCCAGTCTTACTTCACTTCTCCTCCATACTGTCATGCATCCTGCACGATCTCTGCTGGTTCCTTTTCTCAAAAAGAAAGTGTAGCCCCAGCAGTTCCAACAACAGCTGCAACTACACTCCCACTACCTAGAAGCGAGTAGGAGTATGGCATACTGCTAGCAGTCAAGTTTCCTACCGGCGCGGTATTTGACTCCCCACCAAGATCATTATCAATGGCTACAGCGTATCTGATTCGGTTGTCAGCGAAAAGCTTTTCCATTCGGCATATTTCCGGTCAAAGCTTACCCCGTATCGTCGCTGTATAGCGCAGCGATGGGCTCATCAACGTCAGTGAAGACATTGCTCTGGACCAGGACTTCAGCACCATCTCTGGTATCAACTCCAGTGCTCATGTTGTTGAAGTATGAGTTAAAGATGTGACTATCCGGGATTAACAAATTAGTCATTGTCTGTTCAAGCAGTTGAATGCTTTGCTAGGCATTCTCTTTATCCTCGTATGATTGGATCTCCCTTTATCTAATGAAAAAATAGAACTTACCCAGTACCAAAACGAATGGAAGGTGTTCTGCTTCCAATGTTCTCCCAATAGTTGTTGTGCTGAGTAACATGCAGATGACCCGTGTCTTGAGCACCATTGTTGTCGCTATGTCCGATGAGAGAGGCTTTGTAATGATCATGCAGGTATGAATTAGAGACCGTGACCCACTATATGACCTAGCGTTAGCACTTTCTACATCGGAAGCTTAACAAAAGAAATGAATTGAACGGATTGTGTTTCCTTACTTCTGATGCGTGAGTGATATCAATAAGACCATCATAATAGTCTTTGCCGTTGTCCATGTCAGATGACAACTCACTAAGAGCATTAGTCAAAGTCAGGAGGCTGGAAGGAATCCATTCACCAATGATCAACCCATACATTTGTTGAGATCTGGATGCCAATTCCATCGCCATTGGCCGCGAGTACTTTCTGGCTAATAATATTTCGAACGATTACGTTCGCAGACTTGTTGATGTAGAGGCCAATACCGACAAGTGCTAGTACAAGGTTAGAGAATAAATATACGCGTTCAAGACAGGAGCACCCACTAGCACCACTTTTGCCAATTATAGACTTATTGGACCCAACTCGCACCTGAACTGAACCAGTGATAGTCCCAGAAACAACAATAACCCTTGCAACGTCATCTGAACACGGGTATCAGTATTGTTTATGTTTTATGAGTGGGTGTCAGCTTGCCATTGGTAACTGCAGTCGTGAACTGCGCGAGAGTTGAGACTGTAGTGACGGTGCCTCCGTTTCCTCCAGTTGTCCCTCCATTCTGTGTAGCATAGCCCGTAGTCGCAATATCTGTGATGGTTGCTCTCTTTGCAATATTTGCTCTCTCCTGGACGACATTCTCGTCCGATGTTGGGGTTGGAGTTGCAGAAGCAAGCTGTAAAATTATAGCAAGGCCGCTGGAAAGAAGTGAAAGCTTCATCGTGGTTATCTTAGGTGATACAAATGCTTGATATTTGCGGTATTAGAGATCTTACTTGAAATAGCATGGACTGTTTTCTTTATATAAAGGAATACAACCGCTACCGACTAAATCACAGGCAGCTGCTGTAAGAAAAAAGTTGACATTCCCAGGCTTTCGATGTCATGGGTAAGCGGCAAAATAACTACTTGCTAGAAATAGAAGCCTGGATCATAAATGCTTCCACGAATAAAACGATGGTGATTATTCAAAAGCTGTAGTTGACAGACATCCTCCGTTCAAACGTTACATTGGTGTTTGTGGACCTGTGGTATTTGAGTTATTCTCTGCTGCAAAGTCGAAGCGTACCACACTCGATTAGATCAACTTCCGCTTTTGAAGAGACGAGATTATTCCGTTTCATTGTCAAATGTTCCTCCCACAAGTTGAACGGTACTTACATCCCCTGTTTTTGGCGAGCGGACAGGGTTTCCCCACAAATCAGGGGTATCCGCTTGGCGTTTAAGGTTGATTAGCAGCAAACAATTATTCCGCTACACACACAGCCATTCTATAGGGCAGTAGCTACTGGCTTGTTGCTATACAAACTGGCTAAAGATCCAGAGGGCAATATAAAAAAAGCTTGAATGTCCATTGCTCGTGAGCTTTTCGAAATTCATTTGAATATAGGCTCATGAGCAATAGCCGCATTCCTTACACTATGTGACATGCTGATATATGTTGAGATGACGCGATAATGCAGGAGAATATAAGGTACTATAGTAACTGTGTGTTTGCCGTTGATGATAGCGATCTTCATTTCTCTTTGCGACATAGTGCTTCTCAGCAAATATTGACCGACTGAAGGACTTGCAAGTCATGAGTATCCTGGGGGGCCAGGACAATGGCCCCCTTCTAGAAACTTTCTGTACCGTGAATACTCTGTATGCTAGAGGCGACTTAAGGAGATCCTGGGGTGTGACGTTTTCCTCTTCTATATTCTCCAAAATAAGGTGTCATATTAACCTAAACATGGAATCTAAGCTGCGAGTCCCGAGTCATGTGATACTTGCTAAGCATCTTCTCATCTCGAGGCTATTTGAAGCGTATCACAAAATTTCCTCATCCCCAAGGCATAAATCTTGACCCAAGCGTGCTACGATATCGAAATTGGCAGGCGACTTCGAAGCAAGCAATAATTTACACGCCACTCAGACTTCCAACCAGATACCGTTCACGATCCTAATAATCCACTCCCATATGCTTCACTCTCCTGCCATATTCACCGCTGCTTAGCATCTTCAGTGTTGCACGGTAGAGCTACAGAAGCGCTCATTCCATACTTAATAACCACATGTACACCCCGCATTCTGGATAAAGGTTCATCGTCCCTCCAATCCACAGGGGGTGGCCAGAGGGTCACTTGCCGCTCTACTAGAGAAATGTCGGCAGGTTACTAGACTTCGTAGTTACTTATAGCATCGAAAACATAAATGTCGCCGTGAGGTAATAGCTGAAATGGGAAAGAAGGTGGCATTAACGACAGGCACGGAAATCTAAAGAAGAACGAAGAAGTGAACAGAAAAGCATAATGGAAGACACGCAGTTTGGGGCGGGATTCAAAAGGCCAACAGGACTGTAGCGAAAGAACGAACTTCGTACTGAGCATTGATCTTGAGAAGGCTCTTCGAAACAGCTGCTTTCGAAATTATGAGAGGAAATGAGTAGTAAAATATAGAGAATCAGATCTAGTTACTAAGATTGGGAAAGAGGAGACAACTTAGCCAATTGATCTAGCAGGTTCATCAAGGGCACCTTGAATGACTTATCAACACGATAACACTGTACCCCAGGGAATCTGAAGAGCCCGACGAATTTGACAGTGCGTATTAATGAGGCATCAATTAATTGTGAGTTGGTCGAGACAGCCCTTTAACGAGAGAAAAGTCTAGTGAGCACGTTGATGCTAGGAGGCAGAAGGGTTGTAAGATTCCCATGACTTGAACAGACTTTGTCTGTTTGCTGCAACAGTGTCACAATGTAGAAATGCCTCTTCCGAAGGAGGATTGCAAATAATGGGCAGTGATATATAAGAAAAAGGTAATGGTGCTGATGGATCGTAATAATCGTAGTTGCGTACTAGGCTGCTTCACTAGTAAGTCTTTACCGCCTTTGGCCTAGCACATAATCTTCAGCCTTGTGGAACTTTTAGAGCCTCTTCCTCTTCATAAACGACTCAACACAACATCGAAAATGGCGGAAACAGCAACTCTCCCAGCCACGATTCCCGTTGAGGATGGAGGAGATACCACCTCTATGGCGCTTTCAACCGTCAACCACGAAGTGGCCGCACCGGCAGAGCGGAAAGTCAAGAAGATCATCCGCAGGAAAAAGCGACCTGCGCGCCCTCAAGTTGACCCATCCACCTTCAAATCCGAACCACCTCCTCAGACTGGCACGATCTTCAATATTTGGTATAATAAATGGTCAGGTGGAGATCGTGAAGACAAATACCTTTCCAAGACTGCTGCTGCGGGACGGTGCAATATCGTACTGGACACTGGATACACCAAGGCCGACAAAGTTACGGGGAGTTACTTCTGCTTGTTCTTCGCGCGGGGAATATGTCCCAAGGGTCAAGAGTGCGAATACCTCCATAGACTGCCCGGGATTCACGACATGTTCAATCCTAACGTAGATGTATTTGGAAGAGATAAGCATTCGGATTACAGAGATGACATGGGAGGTGTTGGAAGCTTCATGAGACAAAACCGCACAATCTACGTTGGTAGGATACATGTCAGCGATGACATCGAGGAAGTTGTAGCACGACATTTTGCAGAATGGGGTCAAGTTGAAAGAAGTAAGTTAAGTCGAACGCCAGTCTGGAAATCTTGAGCTGACTTTAATTCCAGTACGGGTATTAAATACTAGGGGTGTCGCTTTCATCACCTATTCGAACGAGGCAAATGCGCAGTTTGCAAAAGAAGCCATGGCACATCAGTCATTGGACCATAGCGAGATCCTCAATGTTCGATGGGCCACCGCAGATCCAAACCCAATGGCGCAAGCACGGGAGGTTAGGAGAATCGAAGAGCAGGCCGCAGAAGCAGTACGGAGGGCCTTACCCGACGAGTTCGTCGCCGAGATTGAAGGTCGGGACCCTGAAGCGCGAAAACGGAAGAAGATCGAGGGGGAATTTGGTTTAGCGGGATATGAGGCTCCTGATGATATCTACTTTGCAAGGGGGGCGAACGCAGTGAACCCGATTGGCAGACAGGGCATGGAGCTAGAGGAGGAGCAAAGGCTAATGATCGAGGCCGACCAAGTGGAGCAAGCAGAGGCGGAGGAGAGTGGGATCTTTTCGAGCAGCACCTCGCTGCGTTACAGAGCGCTCAAGGAGCCATTGGATCAAAGCCGAAGGCCAAAGCAGCTTCGGGACCTTTGGTTGCTTATGACAGTGATAGTGATTAACCTTGGCATGGACTTCACAACGGCTTGCGAGCCCCAAATAAGAGAATGTACTTGTATACCAATGTTTACGGAAAGTGTAGGTTTGTCACTGTGACTTGTATGCAGGTTTAATAGTCCGTTTTGAATCACTTTCAGTCCATAGCAAGGGGATTTCAACCTAAAAGCAAGCGAGTTCCGCAAAGCCCTTTCAGGCTAGGTGGGCTCAACTGTTGAAGATTCTAGAATACAGCATTTCATGTCTCCCAATCCAGAGGTCCATCACCGGCACACTTTGACCTGCATCCTCGATCTTGGTGTCCCACTCCCGAGCAATGGCTTGACGAATGCCGTCTTGGACTTCAACACTTGCGAGTACTTTCTGCGCATGATAAGGTCCAAACACACTCGCCCGAACAGCCGCAGACAGCAATGATTTCACATGGCTCAACATGAAAACATAAGCAGTTTGCTGCAGGCTCATCCCTAGTACACAGGCGATTGCTCCAAATAGGGGCCCAAGATGAGCGGAGGCTGTAGGCAGATCACCAGATACAACCGACGAGGTTGACCGTAGCAGTACAGATAGTTCTTTGAGCATCTCGACAGCGCCCGCTGAATCTCCTACTGGCACTGCGGTACTAAACGAACGGTCCCATATCGAAAGCAGAGCTCGGCCTTGCGCTACTGAAGCTCGACGACCAACGGTGCACATGATCGCCGCATCCAGAGTATCATCGAGTTCTACCAGGTCAATTGGGTTCCGGTGCGTGGCAAGAACAAATGGCAGAGTGGTCGAGGCATAAGATGCAAGAGAGAACTCCAAAAATGCGGGGAAAGATGAGGCTGGCCTGGTGTGGGCAAGGTATGATTCAAGGCCACTGCTGAATGCAAAAGAGCCCAAGGGGAGTGCCGAGTCAGACAGGAGCAGGAGGAAGTGGTGAGATGAGGTAGTCAACGGTCCTGGGATTGTCAGTGAAATACTCTCCAATAGCAATGGCTGGCAAGTACCATGACTTGGAAGAACCTTGGGCACGCTGGAGATAGCATCCTCATTAGCTATGGCACATCCGCCGTTCAAACGAGCTTTCGCATCTACCAGCCGGCGTTCAAGGTCATCAATCTCATGCCGAATAGCCTGCGACTGTGATTCCGACTGCGAAGAGTCGATGCCAGTGCTCATTGAGAAGCATGGGTCATGTCTGTTTCGAATAGTCAAGTATCAGCGAAATCGAGCGTACCTAGCCTCGGGGATAGAAAAGCGGCAGCCAATTTATAAATATGTTAGGCGGAGTGGGACAACTAAAGCTTAATGAGAGCGAGTGCCGCTTTTTGATCCGGGTGGAGTGGGGTATCGGGATCAATTACTACAGTAAAAGTAGTAAAATGCCCGAAAATAGACGCCCACAGCCGCATCTTCACGTAAGTTGCTCGATATTCAAAACAAGCCTCAGAACACAACAGTCACAGCCCGCTCACAACTTCACGTACAGGTAGAGATATCTTGTAATTGATTGGCTGTCCTCATACATGGCCTTTCCATCTCTCTCCACTCTACCGATTTCTCATAGAGGCTACTGGCTACTGGCTACTGTAGAGTAGGACTGCGACCTTCCAGTCCTACCCCAGACCACACTGTACAGAGTAACTCTAACTCACATGCACAACACCTGTCACCAGTGGGATAGGTCTGTTTGGCGTGAATCTCAGTTCTTCTGTTTATTGACTTTTGTATATTCTATCGTTCAAAATGGACTTTTCTCAAGTGGACTTGTAGGCAGTCAACCGTCCATTTCTTGAATGATAGCTACCGGTAGTTTTCCGGGTATCTGCAGCCAAATAGTCATGGCTTTTCCCCATTCGCATGTTCTTTTAAGGATTGAAGATAGTCCCGCGTCCTGAAACACAGCGCCGCAAGATCTATGACCAACACAAATCCTGCCGCCGGGCTGTGAATGGAAGTTGGTTGGTTTGAAACTTTCAATCTAATTTCTGCACTTTTTGCACTTGTGAGTGGCTCTTCCTGAATGTAAATAGGCTTCAGTGTCTGCCTCGTTGATTGTACCAGGTACAGCCAGCTTCCAACATCTCGGGGTAACACAGCCAGCCTAGACATCCTATTTATACCTAGGCGAGATTCAAACCGAGTCACCTATATTAGACTGTTCCCCTCGCGACTGGTACTCTTTATAAGAACTCCCTTTTTTCACACATATACATTCTGCAACTTCTTTCGAATACCAGAATATCATATACCACCCAACACCACCACGATGATCGTCACATTAGCAGTCAGAGTTCTTCAGTTGGTGTTTGCAATAATTGTCCTCGCGCTGTCCATCGTCTTGATCAAAAACTTCGGTCCTGTGTACGAAGGAGCCAAAGAAGGAAAGGTGCCGTCGTTAATAGACTATGGTGTATTCTGTGGTGGAGCGTCGATTGTCATTGCCATCGTTGGAGTCGTAGCTGCATTCTTTGAGGCACTTCAAGGCGTCATAATCCTCGCTCTCGATGCACTTGCGAGCTTCTTTCTACTTGCCGGAGGACTCGTAAGTTTATACGCCCCTCTTCTATTGATCATCTACTAATAGTACTACAGGCATTTGCCATTCAATTGAAAGTTGGAAATTGCTCAGATCTCTTTTACTTGAGCGACCATTCGAAGCTTTTTAGCGCCGATGAGATGAAAAATTACGGAATAGACCCAACCAAACATCAAGATAAGTACGCCAAGGCAGTCCTCGCCGACGACACCTATCGATGCCAGATACTCCAGGCCGAAACTGCGTTTGTCTGGTTCTTGTTTGCATGCTTCTTGGGCACCACAGCCCTTAGCTTCACTATGAGAAGCAAGGGTGGCAGGGGAACAATGGTCTGATGGCAAGGAGAAAACATGAGTGGGCTCGTTTAGGACAGCAGAGAGGCATCAGCTTTTGATGCGCCAAGACACGTGGGTTACCGAAGACCAACAATGATGTGATATCGCTACCTATGGGATGGAAGTGAAGCGACGGCGTTTTCTTTGGAGCCGAATTTCGATACCTGAGAGGTTTAGACATGCTTGAGATTTAGCAAAGTCGGGAGATTTTTGTACAGTTTAATGAGACAATGAATGATATACACGATCCTTTAGGAGACATCATTATATTCGTATTTGCAGTTCGAAAGTGCCAGATGACCGCCCGCCCGAACATGCTCGAGTTGCAGCGTCGCCTATTTGTGCCAGTTACGACTACAAAATGTATACACCATTTTTCACTTCCTACATCTCTTTGAGGGACCTCCCATATTTCTATACCATCAGCATCTGCTACACCTGGATCTCTTTATAATGAATCATGCCCGAATGTTATCCGTATTATGGTAAGGCCTAGAAATCTTCGCCCCTCCCCTCCTTCGCGGCCTCCTTTATGCATCCCTTAAATCTAGAGGCTAAATTTGTAGTATTCGTGAGAAATTTACAAGAATGTGCTAAAAAGTTGTGGATATATATAAGCTCCTACCAAACGAGGAGGGGCTTATAAGTAAGCATTGCCACAGCTCTTACCGAATTCAAGAGCTTTATACCTATTTTAAGAGAGATCCCAAGCACTGACTAACCCATTGTTCGGAGTTCATTCCTAATTCTCGCCCTGGTTCATGTATCTATTTGGCTATGTATCGAGATAGACTTACTGCCTTTTATACTCGTTATATTGTATGTACTAACTTGGCAGTAGATATTCAAAAAGTCAGACTTCGGCAGATTTACGACGTGCTAAATGCTTTTAGGAAATCATTAAGCGCTCTCCTTTTAATCATTTTCCATGCAAGCAGAAGTGTACTTTTCATATAAGAGCTTCTAGTCTTAGCTCCCAAAGCTTAGCAATCATGAGCTACCTAACGCACACACTCCCATGCAACCGGCCTTCACATTTCTCTGAATATCTTAGAACAAAAGAAAAAAAGGGAAAGCTCTTCACGGTCACAGGTAGGGATTCTAGACCAGGCTACGAACCTTTATATGGAGAGTTTGTACTGGAAAAGAGCCATTGCATACCTATACACATAGCCATCCATAGGCCCAGTTCCAGAAAGGCTCTTTACTCCGCAAGCCGCCGAGAACACTCAAAGACCCTGTTCCTCAGTCCACAGGCGACGACATATCCATTCCTCTCGAACTTACGGACCTCCCTCACCATACCACCACCAACAAAACAGCCGTCTCGGGCTTTCGCAGCCCAGGTAAGCAAATTCAAGGTGCTATGGAATAAAACAGGCTTCAGCTAAGCTAGCACTAATAAGCTCCAAAAAGAACACACAGGCATACGAATTGATAATGAGTACAAACGCACTTGTGCCCTCTATACATCTTCACGCAACGCAACCTTCCTTCCCTCGAAAAGTAGCAAAGACAATCCCGAGAGGAGACATTAAAGACAATGAGAAGTGAGAAGGTGGGACTAGAGTTAGATTGGGAAGTTTTTTTTAGGGGATGATGTGACGGGGGAAGACGAGGAAGAATGCTTGATACTTTCAAATCAAATAGAAGGGATAGAAGATGGCTGTGTGTGGACTCAAGTCTTGATCTCTTTTGTTTTGCAGTGATAGTAGATTGAAAGTATACTGTAAACAGACATTTTCAGTAATAGGATGTGATCAAAATACCCCTTCCTCCCTCCAAGTCGACTTAAGTTAAGTTATATACGCGTTATTCAATAGTAAAAGTTGTAATAGAGAGAATAGTACTCGGCCGAGCATTATTAAATTGAAAGTTGATTAAGAGCTGAAGAGTTGAATCAAGGCTTCACTGAGGGGGCGGTCTCACTGGCACTAATTACCTTGCAATAACGTAGCAGAAAGTAAAGCATCAATCACATATCATTCAAGGCAAGTCAAGCATTTGTGGCCACGATATTGATTCTTTCGTCTCGACCAGCAGAGCGAACTTAGTATATTTCCGCGTGGCGATATTGTAACGACTGTGTAGAAATCTGACCAAAAGCAATTTGTCTAGGTAAAATTTCTCCCTTGGTTCCTTGAGTAACCTCAAACAGTAGGGTCTTTAGACTGCGATGCTAAATCAGCTCTGGTTACCAAGGCTGCTTGAATGACGAGCCATACCTCTATTTCACCTGCTTCTCAACTCAAGATGCCGTCTCGACAGACCGGAGGGGGCTTGGACGGACCACAGCTCCCTTCAGGCCTTTACCCGCATTGGATGCGGGCTGCTGAATCTGCTGCACGGCACGAGGGCGGGGTGACAGATTTTGACTTTGACTTGACGGTACAACTGGAGTTGATTCCTCGCTCAGTGCGAGGTTATCAAACTGTCAATCTGCAAAGGAAATTAGTCTATGTATTTTCAAGTGCAATAATGGAACATACCGTCATAGTAGTCATCATCGTCGTCGACTTCAGCCAACTGTTCAAAGTTGACCTTGTAGCGGAGAAGTCCACCAATTCCACCAAATCCCTTGACGAATTGGTTGCCCTCGCTGGAACGGTCGGATACAAACTCAAGGTTGGTACCGAAGTCCTTGTATTTCTCTGCGATCCATTCCAAGAAAGACTCTTGGGATACTACTTCCATTTCCTGGCCGGTCTCACGGTCCATGAATTGCTCACGATTGGCGGCTTCGGACTGCTTGGTGGTGTGGAGAGTGATTATGGATCCATTGTTATCCTTAAGAGTCCATCGGTTGATCTCGAGGTTCTCAAAGACGATCAAAACCTCGACAGCTCCGAGTTCGAGAGCTTTCAAAGTATCTTCGATACCATAACAGATGCGGCCAGAATCCTGACTGATCTCCTCGAAGTACTTTCCAATCAGTTTCTTCTCCTGAATGAATTTGACGTTGCTGAGAGTCTCGGAAGAGAGCTCGATGGCTTGGTTGAAACCGTTCTCTCCACCGTAGGAGACGTCAACAACCTTGATGACTTTTGTCACAAGACGGTTGTCAAAGAGATCTGATTGATTCAAGTCGTTCTTGAAGTCGGCGGAACCAGCGAGGATAATGCCAGCAACGTTGACCTTGTCAGCGGTGATAAAGTTCTGTACTGCCAGTTCGGCGACTTTACGAACATAGTTGTGGCGCTTCTCTTCACGGAGACGGGCAAAACGAAGAGCAGATTGTCCACCACGACCGTGCTTTTTGGGAAGATCGACGGAAAACTTGTGGATAACATCGCGGGTGTTTCCACTCAGAGTACCAAAGAGAGCTCCGTTACCATCCATGATGATGAAGCCAAATTTCTGGTCCGACTCGAGAAGCTCAGCGAGGGCCTCGGTATGAAATTTGTTGTCGCAAAGGTAGAGGGAGGTATTGATGGGCTTGAAGGGCTCAAAGTCGATGTTGACCCTTCTTTCCTTGCCCTCGGAGGTCAGAATTTCACCGCAGTAGACAACTAAGCCATTGGTGGGAACTTTGTTGTACAGCTTGAGCCTTTGCTGGGTGGATGTGATGGCAGACAAGACGGATTGACGATTAACACGAGACTTAATGTTCGAAGCGGTACCCTATATCATGTCAACACATTGCGTGTAGTCGAGAGAATTGAGTGAGTATAGAACATACGTATTCTTCAGCCAACATCTTTGCCGCTCGCGAGACTTGATCCTTTGGTGCTGCAGACTTTATGTTAGCAGATGACTCGGTCTTGCGCATACAAACATGATAATATAGTATAGTACTCACGAATGATGAGCGAAATCATGGATGTTCCATTGCCTCGTGCGGCCTCCAGGCGCTTGATCAGCTTCTTGACCTTCCAGATCTCGATATTCTTCTCAGCCTCGTTCGCCTGGGCGTCACTCATATTGGCGGCTGTGGACGCTTCAAGTGCTAGGTGTCTTGAAGTTGAGGTATCGTTGCATGCACTACAAGCTTGACTCTGCGGAAGAGGGTCAAGATCGTTGATTTCGACCTTTTTTCTGTGTTTGTGGAGGGTGACGCCGTGCGAATGAACTCCGGTTGTGGGCGCTGAGCCGATACCGAACGCTAGTAGGGAAATTGAATGTCGAGACACGTGATTCTGTTTTCAATCTACATCTACATTTACATCTACGAGTAGACACCCTTTCAATGACACAAGAAGGGCCTGAAAGAGTTGGATAGAACTGGTTGTCTTGTCTTGTCTTGTCTTGGTGGGTAAATGGTCTTACTCTCCAAGTCCCAAAATTCGTTCACTAAAGATTTCACCGCCGAGATTATCACCTAATACAAAGCAATCTCTTTGATCTATCATCTAAGTTGATCATAGAACGCTTTTTCCGTGTACCCTTTAGGTGGCTTTCTAACAATTATTATTTGCCTCTTTCGCCTTGAATACCTTTTTTACCGCTTTCTTTTCTATTTCCCCCGCATTCTGTTAAGGTACCGACAGTACTGTACCTCGCTCGCACTTTCCAACAACCAACAAAAGATTACGCAAATGCGCTGGGCCAGCTGCAGCGAGTTAGACATACTTCATACTTCTAGTTGGTTAGAATGCACCTATAATGTCTACTCTTTCAGCCATCCCCTGAGTGAAGGCTGAGTACATGACATGCCATTCCAGCCCCCTCGCTTAACTCACAACACTAACGTTAACGTTACCAGCAAAACACAGCAAAATCAAACCCCAAGCAAAAAGAGCGCAAAAAAGGCAAAAAGTTATTTGTTGCATTCAAGCTTTGCTTGAGCGCTGGGAATTGAGCCCAACGCGGGGGTCGAACCCGCAACCTTCAGATTACTATTGGTATATTCATACTAAGAGTCTGACGCTCTACCGATTGAGCTGGGAAGATGTTAGCAACCATGTAATGGTTCATCTTCTAGACAGTGATGACATACCTAGCCGGGCAGGCTGTTGTATTTGTTGAAGATTTTGTGGTTATTTGGCTATATGAAGGGAATAAGAAGTGCGGGAATCGGAAAAGAAAATATTTCGCCTTCGGTGAGTGTTCATTGGCTGGAATTTAGGCACAACGGCAACGGCAACAGGCGATAATCTTCCTCCAACCACAATTCTGCTAAATAGATGGCAGCCTTGCACTTACTCAAGTATGGACTGCTCAAAAGAGGGCGATGGAATATTGTTTTACGATCTCGTTTCATTGCTTGGATATAGATATATATCTAGGTTGGTGGTATATGTATATACATGTATGCGCCTCCCAATGCAATGCTGTACAATACTGATTTCATCAATTTTCAGATTCAACTCCCAGGTATCCTTTCCCAAACCATTTAATATGCCAAAAACACCAAATTATGCAATGCACCAGGCTCAATAGCCTCAATTTTAAAATGCCGCTTAAAACAAAAGCACCTCATCTTTCTTTGTCCCATATTTACATCGCCGCATAAAGCATCCCCAAACTTACGGCTAGCGCGGTTAGCTTCATCGGGGGCATTGTGATCTTTGCTCCTGACTTGGCCTTAGAAGTCGCCGTCGCTGTTCCTCCTGCTCCCAGTGTTACAGTACCAGCCATTGCCTCGTTGGTGGCCCCAGCAGTTGCAGTCACGGGATTCTGCACCACGGTCGCTGAAGGTACGGCGGCGGTGCCAGTAGTGATCTCCACCACATTGTTGCTCGTGGCGTTGAAATTCGTTTGCGCGATCGAAATCTCGTTATTGGCAAGGTCATATACCAGGTATGCAGATCGGATGAATGTGTCTCCAAGGACTGGAGTACTGGATCCAGCGGGGGCAATGCCGAAAAGGCAAGCACGCTCTCCATCCGAAAAAGTCAAGGGTTTTCCACTGGACGAACTGATTTCGATAACAAGCTCATCCATAGATACTTGGATGGTTGGACTGGAGAACGTGAAGCCTACTGTCGTTGAGTTGGAAGCCATGGAGCATGGGATATAGGCAGCACCCTCTTGCGAATCGTATTGGGCGCTAACCTGGTCGTAGATTGCCTCCGCCATGGCGTCCGGGAGGTAGGTGAGAGAACTTCCCGAATCCATCAGCACGGCTTGTGCCTGGTCCTTGGCAATGACTGTGTCCCCCAACGATAGCCCGGTGAGTGTGAGTAGAAACTCGCCGTATTGTCCACCCGATTCAGACTGAATGGGGAGGGTTGCTAGTGTGCCCTGAAACTGGTCGGTGTCCACTCCACCAAATAAAATGCTGCCAGTGCTAGCATCAAGGTCATTAAGCCACAAGCTGTAGGCATTGGATGAAATGAGTCCGTCAGACACCAGCTGGGCTGGTAAGTTGAGGTATGCTGACTTTCCTGCTCTTTGAACTTGCACCTCATTGAGCTGATACCCAATGCCCAAAATCCCTTCCGCTGACGAGCTTGTGTATCCAATCCCAAATTGCAATGTCTTCAAAGTTGTTGAGCCGAGTGTGAAATTGTCCGTCACATAATCTCCAGAAGCTCCTGATCCATCAACATACGTTATGTTGAAGTCGCTCGCAATATATGAATAAGTCGATGAATCGTTTGCGGAATATGTGCCGGCCGCTGTACATGCCTTGCCTTTAGCGGTACATAAATCAGAAGTTGCTGTATTGACCCAGAGGTCACTGCTTCCTGTATCGATATGTAACCGTACTGTTTGGGCAGGCGTTCCTAGTGTTGCATTCGCAAAGTATAAAGTTTCCTGGGACAATTAGTTCCAACATACCGATGATCATGAGTTTGAGACTCACCTCATTGTCCAAAGTCGCTTGTACAGTTCCAGATCTTCTCCGTAATTGGTCCCTCTTAAGTGGATTTGGTACAGACTTTCTTACAACTGGAAATCCAACTACTTTTGGGGATGCGTTCGTCCTCTGGCTCAGTGTAAGTCCTTCTGAGCACGCCCATAATAACCCAGCGGACGCCGCAAATGTCGCCAATCCCTTCATAACTATATCTTTTCTTCCCGGCCTGATGTGAATTCAAAGCGTATTTTCCAGCCAATCCAAAATATTATATCCTTTGCCCTGTGGCGACGCGGCAGTAGTATGCTAAAGTCTGGCTCCGGCACAGGAAATCGGGATGTAGTGGGGTGGGAAACTCGAACCACGGAACTTTGTAACGATGAATTACTGGAAGGGATTTGGATGTCTATTGTTTGAATTCGAGAAGATGCCGAGAATGTGGTTAGAATAGGTTGAACTTGTTTGTTTTGAAACGAAATTGGAGGTAATGTGGGAAATTTAGAGCAAAGTCTGAGGTCAATGATGCTATAAGGCTGCGAGAAGTGTCGAAGAGTGGCTGAGGGGCAACAATAGGTGCGGAAGCGAGTATCAAGTACGCAATCTGCAAGCAGTGAGGCGATGTAGGAGTGGTGAGGATTCGGGAGTTAATGAAAAGATATTTGGACAAAGTAAACAAGTTCAGTAAGCAAGTAAGTGAGGAGACTCAGAAATAGAGTGTGATAATAAAGTAGAAGAAGAATACAATTCCTCTTTTGTTACAGGACAGTACACGCGGCAGAGGCAATTGGGGGAAGAGGCTTTGTATACGCCTTGGCAGACAGGGGCAGATCTTTATTCTTGGGAGCTTCTCGGGCCCGCAGCCGCGTCACCTCGCCAAAATCCACTCAAACCGCTGTCGTCCAGAGATGCCTCTTACGCACGCTCAACGGTCGGGTGTGGGTTCTGTGGGCTGGGTTCTCAGGGAGCCAGTAGTGTACCGTGCTCGAGTCGTGGCTATTTGCAGAGCATTGATCAGAGCAGGGGAACACCAGGGGTGAGTGAGGTGAGGCAGCGCATGAGGGCAGGGCGCTGATGCCTCTTGAAACGCGTCTCCTGCTCCAAGAGGACGATGACACACGAAAGGAAGAGGGGATGCATAGGCGGAAACGAATGGGATATACTCCGTACGAAACCGTTCCTCTCTCCTTATCTTCTCTTTCTGTCTTTCTGTCTTTCTCTCTATCTCTCTCTGTCTCTGTCTCTGTCTCTGTCTCTCTCTATCTGGATATCATGGTGAAGTCATTCGTGTCATTCATCTCATTGTGGTACTGTACCTCCGTAACCAGCCCACCCTCGCCATGACCACAAAAGCGGCTCTTATTATCATCGACATTTGATGTCCCACTGGGTGAGATTGGTGCCGCTTTTTATGGCCACTGGACTGGCCTCCGTATGAAGGCTTCTCAACCAGAGTCAACCGATGGGAGATCATCTGCGTCAATCATACGGTACAGTGATAATTCCTTTTGCTTCGACGTATAAGTATTGCGTAATGCGTCTTGCGTAAGCGTCGAATGGAGTGTTTTCCATCGACAAGTTCCACGGTAACAATGGTTTCCGCCAAATACCAAGCCATTCAAGCCACTCATCGGTGGCGGCCAGGGTGGCGTACCGATTCGGCATTGCTTGTTTTCCTAGCTCGATGGTATCAGACGCCATCGTGAATCGTTTTCGAATTGCAAAACAGAGGCTGAGAAACCTGTGGACAACGTCACCTGCAAGCCCTTTAATTTGGCCTTCGATGGCACAAACGACTTTCACTTGCAGACTCCGGAGCTTGTGAAACGTAGCATTCCCCAGATTACCACGCCAAGGTATCTAAGAGGGAATGCAAACCTCGTGATATCCTCTCACGTGCCAACACTAGTCATGTGATGGACTACGAACATTGTGTTTGACGAATCGTGAGAGGTGACTTTTATACTTTAATGGCAATATGGGAAGTTCTGTTACGGATTATGTGAAGACTAGTTCAGGTACCTCCAAGGTGATCGAATCATATCCTGTACAAATTGCTGCCTAAGCCTCCTAATAGGAAATCTCCCGGAATTTGCCATCCAGCATGCCAACATTAAGAACCAGGCTGCAAGATAACAGTGCTGTGTCGTGTCGCCTGCCAAATCTTTGGTCTGCCTGGAAGTTCTGCTGATGCAAAGGTATTCTGTAAGACGGACGAACTAATATGTTTCTATCTAATGCTACCGTCATCTGATCACTTAACATTCAGTCAAGTATCTTGTCCTCTTGATTTTAGACCTTTCGATTCTCTGGTTTCTAGCAGTATCCTCTATTTCAACCTGTTTGGTTTCTCCAAAGCCGGTAATTTCGCTGCTTAATTCTGCAAGATAGAAAGTACTCTCTATCCCACCAAAATGGATGAGGTCTACTGGATGGACCAAGGGAGATGGCAAGTCGCTTTTCTCTCATTCCAAATGATCTCGCAAGTCTCTTCGACATCGTGCTAATCAATGTTCTTACGTACAGTCCCGTCTATGCCGTTTGTCCCCTTGCCCCCAATTCTATCCCCTATCCCCTATCCCCAATGGTCCTTTTAAACAAAGGCTACCTACATCCTGCCACGTTCAATCGCCCACCCAAAGTAAGGCACTGGAATTAAGATGTGCTTCTAGTCATTCTTCGGCGGGATGGGATGTTGCATGAGCGTCGTCCTAAGCGTCATGGGCGCCGCGTACGGAATCGCAAAATCCGGAGTTGGCGTCTCAGCTGTCAGTGTCTTCCGTCCAGACATGATGGTCAAAAGTACGTCTCTCTAGCCCCCCCTTTCCCTCAAACTCGCCACCCAGACAACTCCGTACCCAACCACTAATACCCTCAGATATGATGCCTCCCATCCTTGCCGGTATTCTCTCAATCTACGGCCTTGTAATAGGAGTCGTCATCCCGTCCGCTCTGAAAGAGAAGTCCGCGCTGCACACAAACTTCATGTATCTGTCGGCTGGACTCGCTTGTGGGTTGTGTTGCTTGTCAGCGGGGTTCTGCATTGGTATTGTGGGTGATGCTGGGGTGAGGGGGACTGCACAACAGCCGCGGTTGTTTATGGGGATGATGTTGATGTTGATTTTTGGGGAGGCGTTGGGTAAGTTTCTGGCGGTCGTGGGTAGACCCTATTGGAGACTTGGCTGATATATCGCAGGTTTGTATGGACTCATTATTGCCTTGCTGATGATCCAAACTGCAACTGTAGATGTTACGCGATGCTTGTGAGGAGTATGGAAGCAGGACGTTGTTGGTCTGTGGAACTAAGTTATTAGCCATTGACGTTTTGAGGTCTTCTACTTTGGGCAGCAAATATCAGATCTGAACGTACTTTGAGAATACAATAGGACGCTACACCCAAAATTCTGCACGAAGACTCCAACATGGAAGCACTAGCTCCTAAACGTCTTACAGGTGCAATTACTTGGGCAATAATTCGGTTTGTCAGAAATTTGGGTTTCAAACCTGAGTTTCTATTTCACCCTGTTACTAACAAACCCATACTCGATGCTGTCAGGTTGAGATAATAAAGCCTTGCAACATACATGACCGAAGCCGGCCCTTTCCTTCGATAGGAACGTCTTCACCCCCTAAATAAGTTTTCAATATAGATAGGTTGACTTTCTTGGGCGCTTTCTCATAGAATGACTCTCAGTCTCTTATTCCATTCCCAACACACGTCTATCCTTTTCATAAGTATCGTTCAGCACTTTTAGCCCGGAGGATCGCAGTTTGCATGTTTCGCTGAACGGTATCGATGAAATCTTCCTCCTATTCATCATACGCCATCTCATTATCAAGCCCATCCCCAATTTTCCTGTATTTGGTATTTTTTGGAAAAGGCAGCCCCGATCTATATCCAAGTTTTTTGAATCGTTGTGTTGATGTCATTGTAGGAATTTTCGATATATAGATAGTTCAAATACTTTCTAAGGAGATAATTACGGATAAGACTCCAGCCAAACAGTGGCATCACATATGATCGCACCAGCTGACAGCCGACTGATGTGTCCAGCTTGGTCTTTTGGGACAGAATGACATCTGACATAACGGAAGTAGAAACATAAACGTATTTGACAGCAATAAGTATTGAGCACTCGCTTGAATTTGAATGAGCTGCTGCAGACATGACTGTCTGGGAAGTCACAGAATGTCGATTTCACGAAGCCAAGAAAGTAGATTGATGACTATATGAAGGTAACAGGCAGACGAAGATAATATTTAAAGCCAGTACTTCTGACAATATATGACGCTGGGTTCTCAGGAGGCGGTCGAGGACACAAAACTACCGCCGTAAGGCTACGCACTCTAGCATGGCTTAAGCGCCCGCAGCCCTAGTCGGAGTCTCATAAGAGGATGGACTGTGCCAGCAGCCAAGTTTGAATAATCCATGAATGAAGTGAAGCCATTATAAGCTCGTTTTAGGGCGTATAATGGCTACTAGACTCTGCAGCATGCTGTCCTAAAACAATGGATATTGTAGCTAGACTTTCACTCACAGCCTTCTTGGCTATGGCCTCCTTTCTGCAATCTTGCTAGCGGCAACTAGATAGTTGCGACATCGTCTGTCTTCTCTTGTAATATAGCGTCATTTAAGCCTTCTTTCATTGCCTTGCGTTCTTCTAGGTGTCGTGGCCAGGAAGATGGGATCCTGACACCCACGTTCGCAGCACCTGCGACAACAACTCTCGTTTCGTTTGGCGTTGGGAGGTGGGGCTTCAGAAATTAGGCTAATCCCTTCTCCAAAGTGATTGTGCGAAGCGCGAGGCAGCATTGACACCCATCTTGGCGCATATAGGTTAAGGTACTTCTGGAGGACGTTTCGGAAGTCAGAGTTGAGAGTAGACGGCGGAAGGCTTCGTAGCTCCGACGTTGTTCAACGTTGAGATTTCTTTGGGCTAATCGAAGGCTTCACTCTGGGTTTCTCCAAATAGGTAGATAGTACCTCACATTCTCATAGACCAAGAATGTTACCCAAGTAGCCGGCAAGACCCTTACAATGTTCGTCCCCAAGCCTTTGTAGAACCCTCTCCATCCCTCATCTCTCCAGACCTTGGTCGCAACACCCAAGATCCCCTTCCCAAACCTCTCATCCGCATGATAAGTTTGCAACCTGCTGCGAATGACTTGGTATGGATAAGTCACCGTCCCTGCCATGATCTTTGCGGAACCACTGATAACCAGAGTCGCCGTATTTCCGAGCTTCTCTTGTCTATGATTCCCAGCTGGTGTCTTTCCGCTCAATTGGTGCTCTTTAGCTAGATACTTCCTCCAGATGTTCTTCGTGGGCTCATAAACGGCAAATTGGACAGCACCGTGACTATTGCCCAGCAGACTAACGCCAACGCCCCTGTAGAATCCTCTCCACCCTTCAGTCTTCCACAGCTGATTTGCCCCATGCCACATGCTCTCATATGCCCCCGCTGTCCCCTTATCCGAGCTCAACATGCGGGTTTTGAGAACCCATATTGGGTTCGTAGAAACTGTGATGATGGTCCCTGATATCCCAGACGCGAGGAAATAGTCGAACGGTGTAAGGCCTTTGCGGGCTTGAGAGGCACCTTCTTGGAGCGAAAAGTCGGAAGTCGGTCGATTGTGGAAGGTGAGGAGTTGCGCCTCGACGATGGATTTGAAGTAGAAGAAGATTGCCCAACTACCTGCATTCCCGATCAGGTTTGGGGTCAGCCCCCGATAGAGGCTCTGAATTGGACGGTCGTTGGCTACCAGCGATTTCAAGATGCCAAAAGCTCTCACATGGCTTGGAGACGAGTTCCGCTGAACTGGAAAGAGGTTAATTATGAGTTGTTTCTTGGTGAGGGAAGAGCTACTTTGAAGGCGCGTCTTGATCACGTCCAAAGGATGGACTGCAAGAGTAGAAACTGTACCGGCGGAGAGGCCGGCGATTGTCTCGACCAGCGCAGGTGAGAAGCGCGCATGGTTGTCAGTCATCAGAGGGGTATTCTTGAAGGTTGAATAAAAGGGATGCCGGGATTGAAGCTTAATGTTAAAGCAAGCTTGCCGAGGCAACTAAGGGGATTTCTATACACGCTCTATCAGCATTTATTACTATAGTAATTGCATATGAGATACTACAAATAGGAAGGAGTCCAAAAAGCTCTCAATCAACGAAGGTTAATAATCATTGGCTACAGTAGTCATAGTTGCACCTTTGAAGTTGGAACAACTTCGAAGTGGTAACAAAGCCTCTAAGAAATGGCCATCTGTATTATGATTTATACTGCTTACCACGGTATTTACGGTACCCTGAGTCACACTACTAATATAGGGAGGCAGTTGCAAGTGGTGATTCACGCTTAATTGCGCTATTGTACAATTATATTGGCGCATGCCAGCCAACGCTTCATATAGTCCATCCCATCTTACAAACGCCTTCCTATGCTACACACTGATACATATCATCCCCAAAGCCCATATTTCGTATCTTCCTCCCCCCGTAAAACTACTTCATTGCATGTGAAAGGTTCGTAACATCGGTAATTGAAGATGGAAGGCTTATGCGAGTGGAGAGAAGAGTCTATTCTCAAAGCATCAGTAAAGAATAGACAGCAACGGGATCACAGCGCAGAGGCTGACCTTATCAAAGATGGTCGGGGCTCGCTGCGAGTGTATCCTGAGTTGGTCAGTGGCTGCTGGCATGTTCTAAGGTCTGAGATGAAGTACCAAGGTAGAGAATCAGAGGAAGATAGCCACTGGCAGCAGGTTAGCAGAATCCCGAGAAGAGCCTGATAGCCGGAATACTTACTAGTGGATAGCTACACGAGAGAGGTCAATGACCTTGCTAATGCGCTCCTGTCCTGGTGTTAATTAATGATTTCGTAAGTGTCGAAGAGGTTGCCAACCTTGGATTCTTCTGAGAGTTGCATTTTGGATGGTGATTTGTCCGGAGCTATGATCATATTAGCAGGTGATATTGAGAATTAGGCTATGTCCATTTGCAAGTACTCACAAACTTTGGTTGTGTTGAGACTCGAGAGGAGAGCTTGAACTTTGCGATATCCTTCATCCAAGAAAATGTTCCAGCCAGGGTTGAAGGTTACATGGGCTAAAATGCCACTAGTCCAAATTGCAGTAACATGAACCTTAGCTAGCCGTTTACGGTAAATAATCACTAAATCCATCAACTCTTAGCTCCTTTCAGATATGGAGTGAATTATTTCTAAGAAGTCCAATCCAGCCTCGTCGAGCCTTGCAGCACTTTCCATCCATCTCCACGACACAGGACAAGATATCACTTGAAGACCCACACTCGTTTCTACTCACTCCTACTCGGTGCATTGCGACAATATTAGAAGCCCCTGTCCTGCGGAAATCTGCCCAAGATGTCTGGAGCACGGCACTGGTATGAACCCCCAAATATCACTTAACAATCAAGGCTAACAAACCATAGGGAGCAAGATAAAGAGGCCACTGTCTATATCGGCAATATCGATGAGAGAGTGACGGATAGCCTGGTATGGGAATTAATGTTGCAAGCCGGTCGGATTGTGAACGTACATCTTCCCAAGGACCGCGTAACGCAGACACACCAAGGTTATGGCTTCGTGGAATTTATCAGTGAAGAGGATGCCGAATATGCTGCGCGGATCATGAACCAAGTACGATTATACGGCAAGCCAATTCGAGTCAACAAGGTCCGTCTACCCCTCCTCTTCCCCACTTGGACAATGTATTAACAAAATGAACAGGCCTCAGCAGACAAGCAAAAGACAATCGAAGTAGGCGCCGAGCTCTTCATTGGCAACCTCGACGCAATGGTCGACGAAAAGACCCTCTACGACACCTTCTCGCGCTTTGGCTCCCTCATCTCACCCCCTAAAATTGCACGCGACGAGTCCGGACTCTCCAAGGGCTACGGATTCGTCTCCTACTCCAACTTCGAAGCCTCAGACGACTCCATCGCAAACATGAACGGGCAATATCTCATGAATAAGGATATCAGCGTACAATACGCATACAAGAAAGACGGCAAGGGCGAACGCCACGGCGACGAAGCAGAGCGCATGCTAGCAAGCCAAGCAAAGAAACACAACGTGCAACTCGACGTGCCTCAAATGCCCGCGCAGCTGCTCATGAGCGGCGGCGTGCCTGCCGGCCCCTCGGCAATGATGGATGGCCAGCAACAGTTGGGTGGCCCGCCACCAGGTGCTATGCCTCCTGGATTCGGGGGCCGTATGAATGGTGGTGGAGGTGGAGGCTATAATTCTGTTCCTCCGCCTCAGCAGCGGCCAAATATCCCGCTCCCTCCTCCTCCTTCGGGATTACCGCAACGACCGCCGCCTTCGCAGGCTGGATATGGCGGGCCACAGGACTTTCATCCACCGGGGTTTGCCCCCCCTCCAGGCTTTCCGCAGCAGCAACAGCAACAACAGATGCCTCCTGGGTTTAGTGGGCCGCCGCAGGGGTATATGCCACCTCCTGGGTTCGCTCCTCCCCAGCAAGCACAAGGGCCACCTGGGTATGGGGGTAGAAGGTGATAGGAAAGAAAAATTCGATATACGTCCAAGGCGGTCGCGAGGCCTTATGGAAACAATGATGTGGAAATGACGATTTTGGTCGCCATCACAGGCTAACTATCGTTGCCAAGAGTGATGGATCTATTGCGTTGCGGAGGGAAAATCCAAGGGCAACACTTCATAAACATTGACCAGTTATTGGGAATTGGGTTCTTGAGATCACATCGGCTGATTCATGTTTGTAGTATAGGTCTCTCTCGATCCACCCTGTATTTGTACACGAGGTGTTCATTCAGCAAAAGCCTTCCTTCCTTCCTTCCTTCCCTCCAAATCTGACATAACATCCGATTCCTTACCAAGTGAGTGATTCCGCTTCATCTCATTTCTGAAATCTCAAACTTCTCCTATTGTAGCCTCCCGTGACATTACCTGGATAGACACTTGCGTAAATACGATACTGGGAAGTAAAGCTTAATTGTAAAGGAATCTTGCTTTTTGCCGGCGTAGCGCCATCATATACTTGTACAACAATAAAGAAATAATACAATCAAGATCCCCATGCCTACATCAGCTCAGATTCCATGTACCAAATCCTGCCCCTCGATATCTTAATCTACTACTCAACCATCTCAACCTCCGCACTCCCATTCCCATCAACAGCACCATTTCCATTTCCGTTTCCAACTCCCACACCATCGATAACCTCCACCCCAGCCACACTCTCCTCAACTCCAACCCTCTCCGTTTCTAGAAACCACGCTTCCTCCACAGCAAACTTCCTCCTAAAAACCCTCAACCAGCGCTCTCCCCACTGCCGAATCATAGCTTCATCGCTCGTACTCCCATCACCGCTCTGCATCGCCTGATCTTTACTGCCCGTCGCCCATCCCACAAGCGCCTCTTCCATTAACTGAAACAAATCCTTCATGCTCTTCCTTTCCCGTTCTACAGTCTGCTCCATGCCCAGGCTAACCTCAGGCAGTTGACCAGGCACGTTCTTGGCGCGCACTACTTGTCTCACGCGCCCCGTCACCTTTCCGATCGTCGCGGAGACCATTTCGTAGACATATGGTAGGCTTAGACGTGTTCCTTCTTTGGCGAGAGCCCATTCGATAACGCTATTGGGCGACAGAATAGTATAGTTGAGTAGCTTATCAACAATATTAACACCTACTCCCGGTTGGTCTTTCCAGTACCCCATTACGGAATCGATGATTTGTTTTCGAGCTTCTGATGACTGGGCTCCCACGGCTAGAAGACGCTCTTTGCAGCGCTCGATGGACGAGAGGACGTGGGACAGGGATTTGGAGCCGACATAGCAGATGGAGGTCATGTAGGCATCTGTGGAGGCCACGAGGGGGTCGGGGAGGTTCATCTCAATGGCTTGAGCGTGGATGCGGTCGATGATGGGCTGGATTTGGTCTTCTGGTGATTTTTTGCGCAAAAGGCCCCATATTTCTTTGCCTTCTTGAGCGAATGGGGTATCTAGATATTTGTAAGTATTGTAATTTGCAACACCTGGTGTAAAGAAGACTTACCATCGTTGTCGTACTTGAAGTCGGGAGTATCTTTCTCCTTCTCCTTAGCAATCAGCTGCTGGTACGGCTCGGGTAGTGTATTTTTGATACGTTGAGCAAAACTCAATCGGATCTCTTTGTCCAAAGCACCCTCAATAAATGCCTTCTTTGGGTTTACAGCAGGGAGTTCGACATCATCGATCCATTCCGTCCACTTCCAAGTAAATCCAAAGTTGCTCAGGTGATGAGAGAACCAATCCATCAGTCGGTAGCTCAGCTCGAGATCCATAGAGTCTACGTTCCGGTACAAGAAACGGATTGCTCGACCAAGACTGGGTGCAATAGCAGCTGGAGCAAGTTTGCAAGACTCGGTCAGTAAGGAATGGTAATAGACCAGCTTGTGCTCTGGAATAGGTAGTTGAAATAGCTGCGAGAAGACAGCGTCGACTGCGACATCTTCTGGTTTCCAAGTAGACTTTCCCTCAGCCAAATCTCTGAGCCTATCGAATGGAGTAGCTCGCTTTACAAAAGTGCCCGGGGAAAAATAACAGTCGATGTCAATGAGAAAGCGGGAGGTAGCATTTCTGTTATAATCGAGGATGTTGATGGTGTCTACCAAAGCATCCCGTAACAAACAAGATGCAATGTTCGCCATGGACGGCACCGTCTCAATGTCCTGGTTAGCATAGACCGAGAAGTAAAGCTCTGGAAAGAGTGCTCTCGGGCCAGTGTTGACCACCTCTGGGATGATAATGGCGGGTAGGGTGTGTTTAGGGGCCAGCGCGAGAGGATCTACTTGGTCGGATTCCAACAGGACCTTCCAGGGTCTCGGAAGACAGACCAATTCCCATCCACTTGTAGCCTCATTCTGCAGTTGTTTTTGGAGGAGGCTTAGAACGCCATTAGGAGCCGTGGCTTCGTCTGTGCCGTTCCCTGGGTATGGGTCTACTAATGATTGCAAGACGTGCGGTTCCGAAGCAATGATATCAGTATTCTCCAACAAGCTGTTGGCCTTCTCCTGGACGTCTGTTGCTGAAGATGCCATGATGTACGGGATCGTAAAGAGGATAATCTTGACAAGCTCTGGTCCAATAGTCTATTCATATCCTCATTAGCAGCAATTCCGCGACGTTCTACGAAACCAGATCTCACCTCCTCATTATTCTCCGTCTGCAAATCAACAGCCTTAGTCAAAAGGTCCTGCAACACGCTGAAGATACCATCTCCTTCCAAAAGACCCTGCAAGCCCCCCAAGAACTTCATCAAAAGCTTCACCTCCCTCCACTCCCCCCGTTTAATGCCCTCGTTCGCCTTCTGAGCTGCTCTAGCCAACACATCCGCAGCAATCTCGCTCTTCAACGTGTTAACCACCAGCACCACCGCTGCAACAAACGGGGTCTTAAAGGGCTGCTCAACCACCAACTGCACCACCAGTTCGCAAAAGCTATTCCGCAACTCTGCATCCTCATAATTGTCGCAAACAGTCTTTGCAATAACGCCCACCTCCTCTTCCACAGGTTTAAGCGGCGATTCCGCAATGGCAAGAAGCTGTTTCCGGACTTTGACAGGGAGAGGTTCTTCGTAGCGGCGTCGTTGCGGGCGGCGGTCGTAGTCTTCCTCATCTGTTGACGATGCGTATCAGCCTTGCTTGGTACAACGCAATTGCAGATAGTCTCTTACCTCTGTATCTCCTTTTGCGGTTATTGTAGCCCCCGCCGCGACCTCCGCGCGGTCTCTGGTCGTAGTCCGCCATGGTTTTGGTGCTTGCTGTGGGATCTGGGATCTGGAGTGGAGTGGAGTGGTTTCTACACAGCTCCTCTGGAATAAAAGGGTGCTTGTTTGGAGCTTAGGGTTCGGGCAAGGTAGATCCAAAACAGGGGTGCATTTAGCGTGCGCTGCGAGATGTGATCACGTGAATAATACGTCCAAATGATCCCGATATCTATTCCTGGATTCGCATTTAATGTGGAACTTTACGCAGGATGCACTACAAGTAAAGTAGTAAGTAGGATAGTGGCTTGGTTGTGGGGAGGCTGGTGAGACGGATCAAATGCTGACATGAGATGAGGCTGCTCCTAAAACTACCGGGAAATATTTTGTCATCATGTCACGTCACCAAAACATCACATATCATTCATTCATTAGTAACACACATGAGAAGGTAGGTGAGGGGAGTGTGAATTGTGCAGTGTCAGTCTCAAGTACGGAAAATCTTTAATGATCTTGTGAATCCGCCAACCCCTTTTGATAGCCACGAAGGCACAATTGACATAAAGAAAAAGGAATCTTTTGACCGTGCCAGCCCAAGCGATAGCCATCCCAGGGTGGAATATGAACCCATTCCATGCCATTCCAATGCATTCATTCATTCAACATAAGCGTGCCGCCAAGTATAGTACGCCTGAATCTTTGGGATGTAGAGAAAAAGGAAGACCAGCCACCCATCTGCTCGCTGTTGTAGGCGCCAAGTAGTGGGACAAGTAGAATAGAAAAGTAAACACCCATTTCCGTCATGCAAAAGTCTAAAAACCAGATTGGTTGAATGGCAGGTCCATCGAACCACGCATCTGGCGCTGTGCCACAGAAAATCTGCCATCGGAAACCAAAGAATTCCGTTGCCGAAGTGAAAGTCTCGTGGGAAAATCTCAACTTCATGGGTATTCTTCCAGACCAATAACGCATAACCTCATAGATCCCGTAATCTCGCCATATTCTTTCGGTACTCTCACAATCCATCCCAGCCTGTAAAGGGGGTAGAATTCTCTTGCAGGATCTATAACGTGCTGATATGGTTGCCGGTGCGAGACGCTCGAAAATACCGACTCCTGGTAAGAGTCAATCGCCGAGCGACAGGAAAGCATTTATTCGTCAATCATCTGCGACCGGCAATCTCAATCCAGCCGAGCCATCATCTCATCCTTCGTCATGGGCGTGAGGTGATCAATATCAAGCCCTCGGCCGGCCAGTCCAGCTCGAACATGCTGGGGGACCAATTTTTGGTTCAGCGGTGGGGCAATTGAAAGCTCTCAAAGGGGGTTAGTTGATTTATACATGTCATTTGCAGAAGGGAACGTACCATGACGTGAAAAGTCAAAAAGCGTGGGTAATTCTTTCGGGGGGTTGGTTGGATGACGTGAATCCGGAAGTCTAGTTGAAGGGTCCCGAAGCTCGTCGAAAAATGGGTGAATCATGGCATCAATAGCCGAGAGTCTCTGGGTAGGCGTATACTCGAGAAGATCCGAGATGAGGTCGATGGCATTTGCATCAGCCTTGCGGAAGACCTTGTTGAATGGGTGTGGCTTGATCTGAGGGAACTTGTGCTCCATGTAGTTAGGGTTCATCGTGCGAATTTGATCCCTTGTCGGGGTACCCAGAACCTTGATAATTTCAACGAGTTGATCAATGCCAGACTCCCCAGGGAATAATGGTTGACCAAGCATCAATTCTGCCATCACACAACCGGTTGACCAAACATCTGTTAAGACAGTCAGTCAGGACATGAAAGAACTAAAAATTATTGGGAAAGCGAGAAAATAAAAATTAAGCATACCAATTTTAGTCGTGTAGTTGGTGGCGCCAAAAATCAATTCGGGAGCTCTGTAGTATCGGGAGCAGATATACGAGACGTTGGGCTCATTCTCTACCAGAATCTTGGCACTCCCAAAGTCACAAAGCTTTAAAACGCCGGTGCTCGGATCCAACAACAGGTTTTGGGGCTTGATATCGCGGTGGCAGATTCCCTGGGAATGAATATAGGCCAGAGCACGGAAAAGTTGGTAGATATAGAGCTTCACTTCGAGGATTGGCATGGTCGTCTTCATCTTGTTGAAATATCTCGAAGCGCGGTAGACTGTCTCCGGCACATATTCCTGCACCAAATTTAGGTAGACTTCGTCCTTCTGTCGCGCCATTAGCTGATATAGACCTAATATTGTGGGGATGACATACTCGTTCGCCATTCGAATAGTAGAAAGCCTTGAGTTCTACGATATTGGGGTGTCGGACAATGCGCATGATTTGTAGCTCACGGTTCTGCTCCAGTTAGCAATCGCCCTTCCATAATCACCATTTTTTACGCACCTTGAATCTCTTGTCTTGTAATACGCGTTTGATGGCAGCATCTTCCCCCGAAGGTGACAATTTGGTCTGAAAAACCACACCAAAGGACCCATTGCCAACTATCTTGCACTGTGTATACTGCATATCTCGAGTCTCTCCGGTAACGCCATCTTGGACCTTCTCCCGAATAACCTCTGTTGGATCGAGTGTTAGTAGTTGCTGCATGGACGAAAAAGCCTTCAAATTTGTCTTACCTCCCATTCTCAGACTCGAGAAGGCTGCCGGCCGATTTTGCGACATCTTGAGCTCCAAAACAAGTCTGCTATCGAGAGTGCGGTGGACTGAAGGCGAGTAAGATTGCAAGGAGAGTGTTCGATGTCCTCGTGGAGTCCGTGATGGGCAATTGGGTGCAGGGTTAAGCCACGAGCAGTGTTTGATGGCAATCAATCAGCGATTACTGACGGAAAGCAGTAACGTGACAGACGTGAATAGCCCCAGCAGGATCAATTCACTCGTATTTGCTTCGCCTGTAGCTGAGCAGACAGTGATTCCGTTGATTTGTCGGGGGGTTGAAGAGGAGGTGGAATGTTGAGTTGTCTCGCGGGGGGGGGGTGTACAGCTTCGATTTGACGATGATGGCTGCGGATGTGGTTGGTGTGTGCTGAGTTGAGTTGGTGGATGATGAAGTAAGGCGAGAAGTGTAGACGAGAGTAGGTTCGGAGTAGTTTAGGTAAGGCAACCTAGCAAGCAAGGTAAGGTAGGCAAGGATACGGTGCGAGTTTCCTTGGCCCGAAAGACTGGCTCTGCTCACGCGCTCGAATATGGAGATGAGCAGTTGGGACTAATTTGCGACTGGGGGGCAATGTCGAAGCTGGTGGCTGGGTGAGGGGACGCCCGTTTGAGTGCGGTCACTGGTCTGAAAAGAAGCGCTGTAGCGTTAGGAGTTAGCAGGAAGCTGGGAGACTGTGTAGTGTGCGTATGGGGGCCCGTAGAGAGTCTCGCAGCGTATGGCAGTGAGATGGAGGAGAGGGAGGGGCAGTGAAGTGGGCACCCTAACAGCGCACCGGTACGGAATGAGAACGAGGGCGGAGAGCGTACCTACAGACAGACAGTGCAGCAGTCAGTGCAGTGGGACGGGAAAGAGGAGTGGAGTGGGCTGGCGGCGTACTGTACGCTTCAGTCGGTCGAGTACCGGTTGGTGTAAAGGGGAAACAATGAATGCAGGGCAGGGCAGTGCAGGCAGGTCGAATTTAGAGAAGTTTGAAGGTCGTCTGAGAGAAAAGAAGCCGCCAAAAAAAAAAGAGAGGGCAGTCCTGACCTTTTGGACGAGGCGGGCGTGGTGTAGGTAGGCGTAGAGAGTACAGTAGCCGTGTCGGGAAATGGAGTCGTTGTTCAAAAGTTCAAAGATCACGATGGTACTCGTAGTTTGCCGTAGGGTGGGTGTCAGGCTATGAGATCGCTAATTAGCGTCGCTACACCTATCCTGTCCTGTCCTATCGACGTTGCGCCCGCAGCGAGCGAGACAGGGGCTCTGGCGAGGGAAAGATCCTCCCCTCCCCTTGAGGTGTGAAAGGGAGGGTTGTGATATGGTTATGAGTAGGTATGGTTATGGTTATGTGTATGTGTCTGTTTTTGTACGTGTGTGTTTAGGTAAATACTGGCATGCTGATGAGGACGGGATTGGAAGGGTCCAATGGAAAATTGGGTTGTTTTGAGGAACAGCAGCAGGAGGGGATGGGGGGTAATACGGTATGTTCGTTTCTATAGCTACAAGCACCAGGAAAGGGCAGAGGAAGGAGAAGGAAACGGAACAACAAGTTGGTGAATATTTATAACAGCGGTGTGAATGAGGGGTAGGACAGGTCAGGACGCTCAACGTTGACTGTGTGGCAGTGAGGAAATGCTGTCAAACTTACCTACCGGTACTAGGTACCTAGGTATCTATCTAGAGATGCTTTTGGTTGCTTTTCCCACGACTGCGCTACCTCCGTATCATTTGTAGCTATGGGACTCAGGGACATAAAACAATACGACAACGACGGCTATGAACGCAAATCACAAAGGCTGGGTGATTGTTGACAGATGGGGGGACTCGTACAAGTATAGAGGAACAAACAAATATCTATCTTTAATTGATTATTCTATTGTTGACACAGTAAATACAGTACTCGAGGTAGGACTTGCGGTACCCAACATGTCACCAATTTTGCAGTCTAGAAGCAAACTCCCCTAATAGATGCCGCGAGATCCCGCCATCCGCTCCTCGTTTTAAATGGGCGGGTTTATTTCTGTCTTCTTGTGCCAACGTCAGTGTCATTGTCACTACCTACCTAGGTACGGGTACGGGCCACCAAAAAACGGGTAGTATTGATCATGGGACCAGTTCTGATACAGCACTGGCCAACACGCACCGGGCAGCGTCAAGAATATGGCAGTTCACTCAAGCCAACACTGCATTATTACAGTAACTCCTAAAGCAGAGCGGAATGCATAAGCGTGTCGCAGCAGGCTCGCATTTTGAGATCGCCCTGACTGGATCAGCATTATTTGCAGCCCTAGGGCCTTGGAAGTCTGCAGGAGCTGAAGCTGATTACTTCTTCGGGGAGCTTGTGTATCCATCCATATATCTATCGCCTCTGTTCAGCGAAGTAATAGTAGGATCCGAAAGAATTCATTCATTCATTCATTCATTGACATGAACGAAGCCACCGTCAGGTACGAGAGAGCATCGAGGACGCTCCATAACCATTGACCACGACATGCTGTAGCGGTGCGTTCGTTCAACCTTTACAATAGCTGTGTGTGGAGATGATAACAGGCCAAGGACTTGTCACTCATTGATCAATATATCGCTGGTTGGGGCAGAATCATCACTTCGACTACCCAGGTAGGTACCTTATGATTAGTCCGCCGCCACGAATCTGGACATCTCAGGCTTCACGGTAACTTGCTGGTATCAACGGTCGCCGTCACACGGGTGTCGTGGAAGGGCAACCTGCTGTATCTGTATCTGGATGCATGTTGTGGACATCACAAGCACCAGGAATCAGGTTACTGGCTGAACTTGTCTCCTGGCAACCTCAAGCTCTCTTCTCCTCGGTCTTGTACTCTGAAGCTTGCCCTCGAGTCTTTCCCGCGAGACATATAGGGATCGTGGCAGTACGGTGGAGTATAGTATTAGTATCAGTATCAATATCAGTATCAGTATCAAGCGAGACATGGCAAGTGCCAGTAAACGGCCCCAACCAATTCAAGAGGCTGAATTGCAATCGAGCACAGGCCAATTTGATATCTTGGCCTACAGCCCTTGCAATTTACAATGTCGTACCCGGACCTACGTGAATACTCTATTTGAAGCGCTGGGATACGCGGTTCCGTATAGATTTCCTCTGCGTGCGGATGGTTCGTTACTGTATAAGCTCACCACCTCTCACCAACACCACCCACTCGGGTTGAAATCTTTGACAAGCTCGTGAGCGTGTGGAGTGGTACACTAAGCCGGGCACGGATCACCCAGCAGTCAAGTCAAGCCTCGCTTAAAGCTCCGCCCCTGGCAAGGCAAGTGCAAAGTACTACGGCGGCCAACTACACCCACCACAAGACTGAATTGAGATGAGATGAGACGAGATGAAAATGAAACGAAAACGAGATGAAATGTTTCAATAGGGTGACGACGACGAGGTCTTTGTCTTCAACCCTTCTACCTACATGCACATGTAGCTTGCTTTGCCAGGTGGCTAGGAGTGCAGTTGGGGTCTCATCAATGGTCACCCGCTTGGAATGATCCGGAATGGTCGAGGGTCTCCCCGTCCATGTCCATGCCCATCCAAAGAAAAGCTAATATCGACCTTCATGTGCCAATGCGCTTCAAAAACTTCCGCAATCCCAGACCAATGGGCTCAGATACCACCAGCATGGGAATCTCCAATATCAGGGTCTGTTGAACCCACGCTGCAGCGAGTGGTGGCGCTGCACTTCAGGGGCAATTACCCACCCGTCACGAGTCTCACGCCCGTCGAGCATTGCTCGTACGACAGAGCATGGGTTTCTTCATACGCTGACATGCTGTTTTCCAAATCTCAGCCATGAGCCGGCCATGTTGACCGGGACCGAGATTAACGAATAGCAAAACTATAATGGGCGATGGCCAGTAGGCGAGGCCAGGAGCGAAACCAACAAGAAGCTTCGAACCCCCCCTCTCGACACATTTAGCGCTCCAAACCGAGCTCGTGACCGCCCCCCCCTGTTCGGGCCTTAGAATGCCTCTGTCAGCCAGTCACCGGCTTGCTTGCTCGGCATTGGCGAATAATCTGGAGAAAAATCCTCATTACCACCTCCACACTCGACGAATAAGATGTCGGGAATCAAAAGATTCCGGATCAAGATACAAGACCTACAGTAGGTGAGCAGAGCCGCTGCAATCTTCGGAAAGTGAAGGTAAAGGGAAGGAAGGGTAAAGCTATTCTTCGCACCACCACAAAAGCTGCCCAGCCCCAGCCTTGGGGACGCAGACTGCCGTGACTTAGTAATACTTACGCAGGTGGCACCAAACACCCACATCTGACAGAGAACTCTGCGGTGGAACCCGATTCTAGCCAATTCCAGCAGCGGGAATCTAGCAATCTGGCACGAAGGCCTGCGGCTTGCATTGGATGCACGTCTGGCCCTGGCTGCTCACACAAACCCACGTTCCGACTAGGAATCAGAACTCCCTCATATGCATTCTGAAAAGCAAAGGATCACCAGTTCTGGATTCGCATTCCACAACCTTCATCGTACAACCGAAACCAACAGACAGGCAGGGCATAATTCTGTCCAAACCAGGTTTCAATAGGTATCAGCATCATCTTGTGTTCATTACTAAGGCTTTACAATCCGAGCCAAGATTAGAGGAGATAATATCCGGGAATCAATAGCATCATTTCTTTACAAATGCGGCCAAAACGAAGATTCGTGTGGATTTCCTTAGCAATAACTTAGGACAAGTACCGTGACGACACAGTTGCAGGCATCATTGATCATTCTCAAGCGAGCCAGCCAGCCAGCCAGCACAGCCATTATTGAATGGTTCGTGAGTTGGGGAACCAGTTCTATATTGGCGCGGGACTTTCAAATGAGGGGAAGTGAGGGGTTCTCCAAGTTCAAGGTGGGGTCGCATGAAGAAAATGACAACACCAAGCAAATAATGTAACGATGCCGATGCGATACTGTACCGTCAGATACCCCGACAACCAGACAAACAACCACGAAGAATACACACGCCCGTTTGTTTTCTATCAGATATCAGAACCGCTTCCGTGCCTCGTCATATAAAGACACTCTAACTCTAACATTCTCTTTGTTCTCTCAATATAAAACGGCATGCAGCACAAGCAATAGTCAGAGTAGAAGTTTACCCGGTTCTTCGCTTCAACCGGCCGTCTCGATGCATCATCATCATAATCTCTCGCGCGTCGCCACCACGCACATCCAATCCTTACAAACTCAAATTTCCAGCTTCATTCGAGTACTTACAGAAAATAACGCTCAGTCCTTTTCACATCCCGACTCGCCTGTCTGAGCCCAACGATCCTATTCAAGCGACGTGCATACTGCAATGTGCATGCCACCGTGCTCGTGCCAACCCAGCCAGTTACAAGCTCTGGGTTCCAATTTCTACAGAAGCCCAAACCTAATCCTCTCCTAGCACTCCATCGAGTTTGAACCCGAATATTCTTACAGAACAGAAGAACACAACGCCGTTTCTCTCCTCCAAGCGAATATATATATATATATTTCTCACACGCTCTTATATATCTTTCTTTTTAAATCTACTCTAATCTACAAGACCTTATTTATATGAATCTCCCACAGCAGTACAGGACAGGACAGGATGGATATATCTGAAGCGTAGCGGGGCGGGGAAAAGCGAGCATCCATCCATCTGAAGCCAAGGTGTGAAGTGAATTGAGCCTTCCCGCCGCACCGTACCGTGCCGGACTGCATGCCATAGCGAACCTACACCAACGGCACAGTACTGCACCGCAAGAATTTCAATCCAAGCCCTGCTCCTCCTGCCCTGTACTATATGTGCAGCGTTATTACATGAAAGATTATGACATACTCCGTACATCACCCACACCCATACAGTAGCCCAAGGTACTGTAGGTACACTTATCTCTTTATTCCCTCTCGCGAACAGCGCTTGTCCTAAAACCTATATGCAAGTACAGTACCGTGGTACCTTACCTTTACCAATGATTGCATTTCTGGTTTGAGGAGGAGAGTCACGTGTATGTGTGTACTTGTCCACACCAAATACGCATATGTAGGCACTCTACTTTACTTTAACTTATCAAATAAGTAGGTAGGTAGAGGTGCATTCAGTAGAGAGTAAACTAGTATAGTACTTGTATTTATTATTTATTGATTTCTGTTTTGTTTGTTTACCTACTTACATGTACCGAAAGGTCTTCCCAAGCTTCTGCTTCTCAAGCCCCACATACTCCACATCCGCAACCTAACTTACTCCTGTGCATCACATCGCATCATTGCTTGCTTGCTTTCTCCACAAACGTACCAAGCTCCTTCAAAATGTGGTTCAAACCCCTACCTGCCTACATATGTACGGAGTATTAGACAGGACCTTTAATTACCCGATCGATCTCAAGCTATAAGCCGCGTTGTATTAATTATGTAATTACGAATAGAGCTGGGTTGATCAGCCATAACGTACGTACTATAATACGTCTTTTACTATTTAGTGTTATAGCCTAGACTATCTGTTGGTATTTTGCAATCAAGCTAGCAAGTGTTAACTCTTAAGTAATTAAAGTAGTGAGATACATAGAGTGCATTTTCAATTGCATTTATTCGTGCTATTCGCTAGGTGCTGGGCCATGGAGAAGTCCTACTGGAAGGGAGGGGATTTTTCTTCTTCTTATTTGGCAGGTATAGCGATGGATGGATAAGTGATGAATGAATCGGTTTTGAGTCTTTGGTTTGAAGCTAGCTTTCCTTACATACTTTATAGGCTGCTTTTTCAAGCGTGTGTTCGTGAATGAAGGAAGAAATGCGTTGATTTTCGACGGAAATTTGGGTGAGGAATATGGGTCTGGATTGCGTCCTGGCTGAGGGATGATAGATAGTTCGCATTCATATATTCAAATTACGTCGTTATTATATCTTAGGTGTAGAGATTTGGGTGTGCTGGTATGTACTAGATCTTCTAGATTTGTTTTCTTCTTCTTCATAGTAGTATTTATTATCCTCCTATATTCATGTCCAACAAACACAAACACATTTCAAGCGAGAACCCTGAGAAGTAAAATAACACTTTGATTTAAAACCAAACCAAGCTCATATCTAACATCTTTTAATCGTTGTCACAAACCCATTTCGTTGCTTCGGGCTACGTGCATTTAACATTTCTTCTCACATGTGCTTCACTTTTCTTTTCTTGTCTTTCAAGAAGCTGCAAGCCTGTCTCAGACCACGAGCAGGAAGCGTTAAAAGCCCCACAGGTATTCGAATCCAGTAAATGTCAGAACACACCCTTACTCATCCTCAGTAGCCTAGCCTTCACCTGTCTGCTTTAAAGCATGCCAGCATGTCAAAAACCCAACACCATTGAATGAAAGAGCAGCTGCAATTCAATTCCTGAGTTTTATTAGATGTCTCAGGTACGCACGCATGTTGCTTGGTTGTTCTGAATGAGCATGTATTCATTGCAACGGTTTATTCGGCAGTATACTATGTGCTGAGACGTAGGTCGAGAAGCCTAAGCGTTGGGAGGGCGTCTATTTATACAGGGTAACGTTGTAGACCGAAACCTTTGATTTGCTCAGCTTAGATACGACGATATACTGTATACATGGGGCTCCCCCCTTAAGGCGCTAGCCGAGACCTCCTAGCTGAAGATTGCGTGAGTATCTAGATGCTGGAGGGAGCGGTTATTCTCTTGTTATTGTTCTTCTTAGAATTATAACGGTTGTCAGAACTTACCCCGAGTGTATTATTGTCCCCCCAAAACCAAATCACAACGCACTTTAGATTTATTGGCTGTACGATTCGGCTAAGAACCAGCATCGGATTCTTGATTGTTCTCCAGTCCTCCGGAGGTGCATCGCTGCTGTTTCAACAGTTGGCCCACCCGAAAGCTCGCCTTTGGGACATGTCCCGTCAGCATGAGCTCTTGCCTCTGCGGTTCTCTGTCGGCTAGAAGATGCCGTTTTAGCGATTCTGAACCAGGGGCACTGATATCCAGACGCGGTCCACCCTGCGAATATCCAGTCCTGGACCGCCGACGTTGAAAGCGCCGACAATAATCATATCTGAGAATGGGGTTCTGTGTCCTGCAAACAATGCAGTGCGGGATACTTGTTGACATTCCTAGCTTTGCTTCGTATCGGGATTGTTAATCAGCATCCTGCATACGAAGTTGGATTTCGGAGTAAAGGGACATCAACATCTTACCCTGGAATGACTGGATGAAATGACGATTCCATATGCGTGTTTCCATAAGGTGACCAAGGATCCTTACTTGTGATGCGGCACCGCTCACACCACCGGTCCATGAGATATTCAATACCGCCTTTCCAGTAGCTTTTTGTCTTTTGAATTCGCAGCTACGAGCGAAAAGGCCCCAAGAACAGAAGACTACTCAAGGCTTATCGGAAGTCCGCACGAGTTGGTATTAATTATACAGAATTCTACATAGGATTACCGACTGTATTTTCGCGTATGTTTATGAGGTATAGAAGATAAAGCTAATACATGGTAATGAGTTATACTAGATCTTCAACTCACCTGATTCATCCAGAGGTTCCCTACTGCAAAAGAGACATGAATGAAGAATATATACGCAGTGGGGTAACATGGCAAGTGAGAGTAGTTGTTAACAAATCAATTGGAACGACAGGCCATGTACCGCAAAAGGATAATGACAATAGAGACGCGAGAAGAAGGTAGACAAAACCAAATAGAGGCATGAGAGATGAGAAACGTAGACGATGAACAAAGCACATGATTTTAAGTTAGAGCTGTGATACGGCAAATGTAGTCATGTTATGATCCTTATTTTTTCTTTCTCAAATCTAATAATCAGAGATGATACTTATAAGGGCAACTAAACATAACTACAATTTCTTCGCATTTTTAATAGCCAACTACAAGCACATATAAAACCGCATATAATTAACACAAAAGATACACAAATCTCACAATCCAATCGCAATACTTTTCATTTCACAAAAGCATCAATGCACGGTAAATCTAAAAGGGAAAATATCCTGGCTATTATTAGACGTACTATAATTAAGGAGTCATTCTACTGTAGAGCGGCGCTAGTAAGCCGGGATAATCCCACCTCTTAGGCTTCGCTCCTTCGCTCCTTGACAACAATGCTGATTCCTGAAGGCTGGAGGTATGAATTCCATTTCTCTTAGGTGAAACAAAACCGATGCGTTTGTAGAATAGTGGGGAAGGATGCAGAACTACTGCGGACTTTTAATACACTTCTACGTGAGAATGAGATTACTTCTGTTGCTCTAAGGAGTATGAAAGACCGAGCTATTGGCCTCATCGTCATGAATGGACATACAGCACTAGTATATTAGGTAACGTTTTCTTTCTTTTGTACAAAGGTATCTACAGTAGCATTTCATGCCCAACCTCGCTCCGGACAAAAGCCACTATAATACAGATATCGCCCTCCATCTCGCGCTCCCACAACCAACTGCTCTGATCCAATACACTTGTATTGCAACCTAGAGATGCATCCAAGAACAAACAAGATAATGAAAAGTCTATGATCGTCACATCTTATTCAGCCGTCGCCCACCCAATAATGCAGCAGAAGACCCTTTCCGGTAAAGCGCAAGACGAAACCACATGCTGAGGGTCGTTCGTTTTTAGTAAGACAAAATAGAGCGAAAAAGAGGTGTCGAAGAAGCTGTTTCAGATATGTCCAGGCGCTGATGTCGTTCGAGGCATTATGTATCGATTAGAGTGGAGGGGTGCGATGTTGCGCCAGGACAGATTAGACGGGGAATGAAGGGGGAGCAGTTGCTTGTTCTTGGAGCTCTTCGCCTGCAGACTCGATGGAGACTGCCAGACCAATTTTGGCAGATTGCTATAAGTTCTCATGTCAGTGAGGATTACGCAGATAGAATTTGTGTTACAAACCTTGACGTGATCCATTTCGGAAGCAAATGTCATCCGAACAACTGGCGCAACCACCTTCTCCAACAGACAGCTCAACTTCCCTGTCGAGTCTACCTGCGCCCTGAAAGTTGACATTCGGAAGTCGTACTTTGCGCCGAGCGTCGTAACACCCTCCTTTCTAACTGGACCCCCCATCATGCCGGCTCCTGATAGTCCTGCAAATTGAAGGTTGCAGTCAACACCAACTTCCACTTTGTCTGTCAACTTCCTCCAGTATGATGTGCTGATTGCTCCTTGCGCTTGTAGTTGCGCAGTAGCAATCCAATCGCTCCCCTTGTACTTGGCACAGTATGACATTGCGGTTTCTGGGCCTTGGTTCAGCGCCGCGCGCTGCCAGATCGCCTCCAACCCGAGCGCAAGGCTAGGTGTGACAGATTGCAAATAGCTGCCAATGAAAATACCAGTCAGTCCACCATCAATAGCTGACGGGTTGATAGCTTTTATCGAGGCTGTGAAATCATTTCCGGTATATTCATTGTCAAATTGAGCCATAGCTTGGGCTCCTTGTAGCTGCATTTGAACCTTGGAAACAAGGGCGGGTGCCCATCTGTAGTTCAACTGGGCTGTAACTTGTGAATCATTATCGACCGTTCCTTGCATGAAGACCTGTGTTGGTAGATGTCAGCCCTGGATCTCTAGCGATTGAGGCTCGAAGCCTTCTGTGGGTATCTTTATGATGCCAACTAACCTTGCTTGTGCCATAGAGGGCTGCAAATGTGTACGGGGCCAGAGCTTGCGAGCCGCTGGCAAATGCATGGGAGACGTTGAAGTAAGGGTTAACGCTGAAGGCCTTGGTGAGATCCGCCCTCAGGCCAGAGAACATAGAGTTGGTTAGGAAGACATCCCGTTGCACCTCCTTCGCAATCTTGTCAACTGATCCCGGATTTGACAGTCCTAATGCCGCCCTCCGTTCGGAAAAGGATGTGTATGTATCGGACAGAGCTGCAGCGACCGCATTGTTGTATAAGAACCCCAAGGGAGCCTCCTTCTCCAGCGCGATTGTCGACGACATGATCAAAGGAATGGGAACTAATGTCGCAGCTGAAGTGGACAAAGGTGACCAGGTTGAAGAAGAAGATAACACAGAGGCGACAGTATAGGATAGGATAGGTGTCGAAGCGTGGTCGGTTTTACGGTTGAGGATAGATGGATAAACAGCTGAAGCCACTTGAACAGCTTCTTGTCTTGTTCTCGGCGCCCGTCAACTTTTTTCCAAATGAGAGCTGTGCTGCCTTAGAAAGCAGCGTTGCAGACGCCAGGCAAACAGGACGAGAGCAGGAGAGCAGCGCACCGATTGGACGACAGCCGAGCCGAGAGCGGGAAAACTACTAAGAGATTGCCTAGATATCTTCATCTTCGGGCAGGAGGAACCAACGGATTCTCTACATTTCTGCTTCTCTGTCTACCTACTTCTCTTCACAACTATCTTTTGTAGACTTGATTTGTTTGCAAGGCAAAACTTGCACTAGCTTCTGTGGACATCTTCTATAACAGAAATTCGGTCCACGGTCAATAGGTACCTTAGCTTAGGCACGATAACATTCCGGCGTCTTTGTGGATCGGAGCAGTCCCGCCAAAGCGTCCAAAGCTCCATTGTCGAATTTGCCTCTGTGAGGAGATATATTTGTTTTGCATGTTTAAAAGAGAAATTCCGTTTGGAAATAATTTGTTTGCTCCTGCCTCCTTGGATATCGTCAGTCAGTCATACTGCAGTCGGCACCAATACGCAGATAGACATGGACACACTTCTGTAAGTACCTGTCCATTCCATCCCATATTCAATATCCACTCTTCACCCAGTCTTCAACTTTATTCACCAAAACAATACACGTGCACATTCCCGAAAATCATGGAGACGCAGAAAGGGAAGGAGACAGCGAATCAGGGGATGATCATGGCATTCATGAATCGTCGTGCCTCTAGGCCCGAGCTTGCAGATGTTTTGATTGACGACGATGATACTAACATGCTCGATGGCAGTACCGCTGAGATTGCGGCCAATTCGCCGAGATATCGTCGACGTTCGTCGACCTTTATCGATGGCGTCCACGACCTCCCAAACGAGAAGGACTCTCCGATGGCACCTGCACAGCTGTATAGCACTATGTCTGGACGGCTGTTCCACTCCGGAAGAATCGTCATTGTGCTTGTCGGACCCCCAGCTCGAGGAAAGACGTGAGCGACCCCGCCTAGTTTCGATCTGTGCTTGATCGTCCTAATACTAATTCTATTCCAAAGCCACATTTCTGTATCCCTCTCCCGATATCTCCAATGGTAAGATCTCAGGTCATCAATTCTACACCATTTTTTACTAAGTTCTACAGGCTTGGTGTCAAGACTCGGATCTTTCACCTCGGAGACTATCGTCGTGCTACCCTTCCCCCAGGAGCTGAGATACCGGATGACTACTTCTTCATCAATGCCTCGGCGAAGTCTGTTGTGCTTCGTCAAAAGATTCTCAAGAAGTGTCGGGAAGACATTTACGCCTGGCTCAATCATGAGAATGGCCAAGTCGCCATTTACGATGCTGTCAATCCTCTTTCAAACGGCCGGCGGTCACTAGAGAAGGAGTTCGCGAAGCATGACGTCCAAGTATTTCAATTCATGACCGCCTTTGGGATCTTTCACTAACCTAAAACAGACGCTATTCTTAGAATCTTACGTTACAGATGAGAAGATCCTTCGGGAGAACGCACGCAGCGTGAAGATCTCGTCCCCAGATGCAAGTTTGAAAATGCCCAAACGGGTTGTTGAAGCTAATGGGCCTCAGTTTGTGGATATGGATCCAGATGATGCTGCAAAGCTTTATCTCAAGCGAATTGACACCAAAATTCCATACTTCGAGACCATGGTAGAGTCTGATCTAAACTACGTCAAGATGATCAATGCTGGCGAGCGAATCGAGTATAATAATGTCTCATTTGGATATCTCTCCCATCGTATTGTGTTCTACCTCATGAACTTGCATATAAAGTCCCGTCATACGTTCTTCGCTAGAGCTGGCACTTCAAGTCAAGAGGATCATTACAAGACCGATGCTCATCTCTCCGAAGAGGGTAAAGATTACGCCAAGAAGATGTCCGAGACACTTCTCAAGCATCGTGAGGCAGAGAGAGCAGATTTGATTGCTAATGGTAATCCTGATATCCCCTTGAAGCCTCTCACGGTTTGGACTTCGACGAGAAAACGCACTGTTGAGACCGCTGAGTATCTTGGAGAACGCGGTTTCAAAGTACGCCAACGGTCACAGATGAGCCAGCTTAACCCAGGTGTCTGTGAAAAGCTGTCTGAAAACGCCATCCGTCGCCTGTATCCTGATGAGGTTGGAATGCACGAGCAGGACCCGTATCATCACCGATATCCACGAGCTGAGGTATTAACTTCCTGTTGCCCAAAATTCCTGGCTACATCTGCTAATGATGCACAGTCATATCATGATCTTGCTGTCCGTCTTGAACCTAGCATCTTGGAGCTCGAAAGAGAGCAAAATGATCTTCTCATCATCGCTCATGAGTCGGTTCTACGTGTTCTCTACGGCTATCTTATGGCCTGTGATGCTATGAATATTCCAAATCTCAGATTCCCGAGGAATGAGATTATCGAGGTCAGTTTAGATATGAAGCCCCTATTCCTGCAATCTTCTTCAAAAGCTGTATACTAACTAGCGTCCAATAAGATCATCCCTGCATCCTACCAAAATGAAGCCAAACGTATCACTATTCCTGGCGTCGCTTCCAACATCGTTCCTGGTTCTCCGGAAGACATTAGGATCCCTGTGCCTTCCAGTGGTATTGTCAGCCCATTTCCGGGTTCTGGACTCGGTACTCCAGCTGAGCCCACCAAAACGTTATCCCAAGATGCATTCGCTCCTGCAGCTGGTCATTTTGAAGAGGGTTATCTCGATGGCGAATCCGACAAGTCAAAGCCCGATCGCAAACCAGAGAATCCTCTATCTAGAGATTGACTCAAGCACAACACGCAAACCTCTTAATCTTCGCATACCTTTGGAAGTTTCGAAAGGCTAGCAAATTAAATCGCTTCTGCGTTGCTATATGCTGGAATACTTCGGTGAAGTCAACACTTACACAACCATCAGACTCAACAATAAGGCTGCTATCGCTTGCTTCCTCGACGAGGAGTGTATAATGCCACCGACATGCTTGCAAGCAAAGTGAACGCCTTCTTGATCATACATACACGTCACTTGTGCACTCTCAGACCCGTTTCATCGCCTCACAGTGGCAGCCCTTCCGAACGTTCGTATGATACGTGTACAACCCTCTGCCTTCGATAACTTGTATTGAGCATGGTTTTCTTTCCTTCACTGGTTTGTACGATCGGGAAATTAGATATCACTCATAGCTGGAATATCGGGGTCAGGGATTGGACGGGCGCATGTGGATAAATAGATCTAGACGGGGTAAAATTCGGTGGATGGCCATGAATCATGATACACGGATTTGCTTGTTTGCATTGCTTCTGCCTTTCGCCCCGGTGCTAGGTTTGGTGTCAATGGACTGCATGGAATGAAGTCTCATGGACGTCGACGTATTATTGTGCTGGTAAGTGAACGAACGTACTCCCGAACTGCGGTCGAAATCCACGCTCGACATTGGCTTTGCCAATCCTTTCAATTTTCAATCACTAGAGACAAAGTTCAGAAGCGCACCAGACACTTTAGACAAGCCCATGGAGTATTCTTTATAGCGATAGCAACTACTATGATGTCAAATCGGAGAAATTGAGAGTTCTGGGCCGCCGATTCCGAAAACTTCCAGCAGAAATTAGAAAGGTCAATTTTGCACAAGGGATGTTTGCAGAGAGGCTCTCACTCATCCTAGATGGGTTTCCCCGCCTCCAAGATATCCACCAGTTCCACAAAGATATCCTCAATACCCTCTACGATGCCGGCCATTTCCAAATAGCCTTTGACCAGCTGTCGACTGCGAAGCATTTGATTGAGGTTGACTCGAAAGGCACGGCTAGCTAGTGCTGTTAGCAAGGGAGCAGCTTGGACGTGGGATATGCCGGACGACACGCCCAACAGCTATTCAGACGGTGTTAGCTTTACATCTTCACCGGGTTTGCGAAGTGGGCTTTGTTTTTGGCTTGTTTCTTTAAACCTCGGATTCGATAGTTTTGAAGGCCTGATGTCAGAAACAGGTCAAGTAGTACTGCTTAGGTACAGAGAAGATACTGTATTGAGGCCTACCTCAAAATGCACTTGCCATACTTGTCAGTTGGAAATTATATTATCCTTAAACTTGCACCGATCGGATGTGTCATGTCAGTCCCCGTCAACTGAAGGGCTTAGTTGCCACTCGCTCCTCCCTCCTGTGGCTCGGAAGAAATTCGCAAGGCGGGGTGCATGCAGTCTCGCCGAGTAATTTTGTTTGTCCAACTTCAATCTACGGACGAATATGCAGTACGCTCCACAGCCTCATTCTCTCGCCGCCATTTTAAAATGTCGCAAGCAATGTCCTGCCTATTTTGCCTCCATTGGTGCCACCGAATGTTTTGTATACCCAATTCACTTCAACGGTTCAATCAGGCTTTCGACCCAATTAAAAATAATACTTGACGAACATGGCAGAAGTGTAAGATACTCGTACTCCTGAAGAAAGGAACCAGACTCAACGTTCTAAATTACGTTCTCTACAGACTAGGTGTCATCGCCAGCGGTATAGCAGTGGGCCAACTTGCGACCTAAATCATCACAGCCAGCGAAAAGCTGCACAATCTCTGGACCAGCATTAAAGGTGCTCCTAAGTAAGTCTCAAATCTCCTCTGCGAAATCAAGGTGTTCGCCACAGAGGTCGAGAGATCCTCACAAGATGGGACTGGCATGGCGCAGGAAAGTCGGTTTCTTGTAGAGACCAGTGTGCTCGAGCTTAGGGATTTCTTAAACAAACTAGAAGCTAGAATGAACAAAGATAAGGGGAGGAGAATAGGGTCTTGGGGAAGAGTCAAGGCAGCTACCAAAACCAAAGAGACGGAAAGACTAGTCGCTCAATTGGAGAGGACGAAGAGTACGTTTACGATGGCAGTGATGGCTTATAATGTGAGTATATCCCTTCCCAGAATTGGAAGAATACGGCTGATGTGCAAATTCAAGGCAACATATGCGGGATATCACCGTGATGCTGAGACTAGACTATGCACAAGTGACTTCTCCTCGCGACCTGTGTCCCAGGGCTGTTAACGTTGAGAGGGATACTACTAAGGTAGTCATTCGTCCCAAGAAGCATCAAGTCCGGAGTTGCAAAACATCAACATGGTGGTGTCCCTTTGGTTGGGTTCAGGTCATAGTCACTACTCACGAAGGCCGTGGGCCCGTACACAGTTCGTATTCCCCAAGGAACCATTCAGACAAGGAGTGGAGATTATTTCCTCACGCCTCTTTAGGCATAGAAGCTTATTCGATAGCCCCGAATAATGGCTTTGGACTGCCAGGGCTTTCTCTGAGGCCTATATGCGTACTTCCGGAGGAATCGCCCATCTTACGGGCTTGCAGAGCTGGAGACTTACCACAAATACGACTCCTAGTAGATTCTGAGAGGGAACTCGTATGTGGCACTACCAAAGAAGGGTTGAATCTACTGCATGTGAGTATTTCTTTCACCTGGGAGTATTTTATCGGTGTCTAAACAGTCTAGGTTGCTGCAGCTCACTTACGACCGAATGTTTGCAGGTGGTTGAGTGAAGAAGGCGTCCCGCCAAATGCTGTTGATTTTGAAGAGGGGCGGTACGCTTGACAAAAGTCCAATTTTGGTCATATACCGACTCTTCATAGAAGTCCTTTGCATATTACGGCAAACCGAAGCCGTCATGACTTCTGGCCACCCCGTAGCGGTTTGATAGATGCTATCGACAATGTAGCTCGCCCCAAGGATGCTCTTGAAACTCTACGTGTTTTAGTGGAAGAGGGGCAGTGCGACCCTATGTACCCTACTAATGTCGGCAAACCCCCGCTTTATCCAAGGTCAAGTCAGACAGCATTGCACCTATATGCCGGACCACTTGATGGGTTCCAATACCTCATTAAGCAGCAGCATTTTGAGATCTATCTAAATGTTAAGGATGGGCGAGGAATGGACGTCGAAGACACTCAACTCACGGTGTGCTGGGCATCGTCAAATACCCTAGGGAGGTTCTTGATGGAGTCTGGCGGCCTATTTACGGATAAATGCTATCTGCAACAGTTAGATTCCACGTCTTTCGAAGCCCTATCGAACCACGGAACACGGACTATGGCCATGCAACGGAGTGGATTCCCAACTTTAGAATCAAAAGGTGCCTCGGTCCCAGAACGGCGTGGAGCTGGGTTAGATGGTCTCCCTGACTCTGATGCATCTCTTTCCCTGGTTGCGAGAGACTCGTCCCGTGCAATGCCCGCAGCCCGAGCGGAAGCAAAGTCGATCAATGTGATTCGAACACTGAACTTATTCTTAAATAGCGTATAGGTCCCCGGCAGACTTCTCATATGTGGTAAATGAGTGATCATTTGACGGCTGAGCCCAAACTGGTTTTTCGCGTGGGCGTATCGCAGTGGTAGATAGTTTTGTGCAGGTGAGAAGGAAGATGTAGCCAGCAAAATCGCCGCATTCCTTGCACTCAGCTGTACAGAGTGCATTGAAGAGGTCTTGGCATGTGATCCATTGCCCCATTCCAGTGCTTAGAGCCCCGCGGAGCGCGCCGAGTGCGTGGGAAGCGATCGCTTTATATTGAGGTAGAGCTTCTACGAGCTGTAGGGATTGTTGATTGACGCGTCGAAACTCCATAAGTGTACGCAAGTCAAGAAGACAGAGTGTCATCTGCAGAAGCTCGATAGGGAGGCGGCTAAGGGAACCAAGGCGGGCAGAGGGTTGTGATATATAGTAATGAGGCTGGGTCGAAGGTGGAGCTGCGAGTTCTGGGAGGTTCCCATCGAGTGTGTAGTCGGTAATTGGCAGTTTAGAAAGGGTGAGGGCGCCATAATCTGTGCAAGGCATGCTAGGTGGATTACCGGCCATAATGACTTACTGCTATTGAAGGTGGAGCGCGGAGTTGTATAGAAGTGGAGAAGAGCCTCAATTTGCCAACGTCCATGGACTGAGACGGTTCGGTAGAGCACCAATATAAAGGTTTTATTGACTAAGACAACTATGAAGGGGAAGTCTCGAAGTATAGAAACAAGTACAGGCAGTTGGGTTGGGAATAACCTCAAGGGCACGGACCCAATCCATAAGCCCCTAGCGCCTCATTTCACAATGTGACATACACTAGACAATTATGACTTACATCATTTTCTATTCTAACTACAAGTAAGGTGATCCAAAATTCCACATAGGTACAAGTAATACCTACCATCTTAACGTACGCTACGAGTAATGAAAATTCCGACAATATAGTCCCCCTTAAACATTACGCTAAATACTATGGTATATCATACTATTCGCATAACTAAGGTAAATACCGAAAAGGTGATCGATTTCGTGTATCATTATATTTCGAGATAAGTAAAAGATAACTAACCCAATAGAAAGTTAAAAGTATCTTATAAACCTATCGCCATCTAAAGACGAAGTACTATATATTTAACGAGTTGCTACTCATGAGTAGCTATAAACTCCAAGTAAGTGATTGAGAGGGCTTTGAACCATCTGATATTATGGTTGGACAAAGGAAACTACTATACCGTGGAACAAGAAGAGATGTTACATCGCGATCCTTGGGCTGAAAGCTTGTACGGAGTACGGACTTGCTCCAGCGGCCCAATGCATGCAGGGTTGGACAAAACGGCTGAAGGTGGAGTGCAGTGGCGTATGCACTTGCATTTATTGATTTCTATTTATATCACCCGCCGTTACATGCATCCCGTACAGAAAATATGTGGGGTGGGTAGGATATAGTAGAATTAAATCATAGGGAGGTATGACTATGACATTTGGAAGTTTTTCAAGGTTAAGAAATGAGAATTGGGGATCGTAGGGTGGAGTATAGAGATTGCAGGTTTCGTTAGTACAGGCAGGACAGGACATGCAATCAATATTGATACAATTATATAGGTAAAATTAACACCACCATTATTCGACTTGTAAGATTGTCTCAGACTGGGTATAACCATCCATCCATCCATCCATCCATCCTTCTTTGCTTGCAAATATAGCGTCTCGCTCTCAAGTCCGTCCATCGATCCACCGATTATTATGGCCTGCCGTCGCATAAACAAATCGGTGAGCTAGCTAGCCAGGCCTCACTATCGTCATATATACTTGGGACTAGTTCATGTAATGTAATGTGATTCGGTCTAAGCCGATTGTACGTGCTGGGTTGAATCTTGTTGAGGGGTGTAGTATTCCTGCTGGGGCAGGTGTTGGGGTGCGGCCTGTCCAGAGTGCTCTACATATTGAGTTGGCGGCGTTGGTTGCTGCGGTTGCTGGACGTATTGCTGTACTGGTTGCTGTATTGGCTGTTGTACGTATTGCTGTTGTCCATTTTGCGCGTTCAAGTCGTGGGTCTTGGCCTCGGAATATACAGGAGCTGGCCCAGCGTCTAGGGCTATATCGGGACCAGTACCAGCGCGCACTGGCGTGCAGTGTCCTCCTGCTTTGCGGTGGCGGAGGACATGGATGGTTGTGAAGATCAAGGTGATGGCGAAGAGGATGCTGCATTGGTATTAGAGAGGTAATAGAGTAGCAATATGGGGCTTCTTACAATTCAAGACCTCCAAGACCAGCTGCGGCTGCCATCGAATGGCGGTATGTCACGACATTGGTAGTGGCGCGAGGGACAAGAGGAGCATCGCGCTTTTTGTAGCAGTAATAATAATAGTAGTCGTCGCAAGTGTAAGACGATCCGTACCAATTCGAAGCTGCGGCAGTTGTCGAAGCCAGGTAGGAAAACGAGATGATCCAGAAGATGATTGCGAAAATGTCAAGTGCTACTATGGCCCAGTAGTTATAGGCGGTCTTCAGTACAGTACTCGATACAAGACTGTAGACCGCGATGATTATTGTTGCAATAGCCTAGGATAGGTCAGTTTGATTGGAGACTGAGAAGTAATCGGATTGGACTTACAGTGAACAAAGTCAGACAGGCACTATCGAATGCAATAAAAGTCACTATGTATGCTGAAAGGCCAAGGATAACAATTCCAACAACGAGTTGGGCAATCCTCAAAGCCAGGAATGCTTGCGGCAACGCAAGGACATGATTAGTTGTGGACATCTTTGCCGTAGAAATTGCTTCGAAATGGGCTTCAAAATGGAAGTTGAAGAGACTTTGAAGATATATAAGTGGGAAAGAAAATGAAACCTGATGTGACCGTTGAGACGGGATGTAAGGGTGCGCATGGCTTTATATTGAACCACCAAAATGGACGCCAAGTTACAAACAGAGGCAAGATCCTCCAAGCATCCTTCACCGTCCCGTCCAGCGGGGTATGTATTTCTCTCAGCCGCATCTTAGTCTGATGCTGGCAGCATGGGATTCATCCAATTCCGACCCTGTCTTTCAGCCTTGTGTCCGTTTTGGGACAAAAGAAGCGATATGTCCAAGGAAGTTGCCGCTTGGCGCAAGGCTTTCTGTTTGGCTTTCCAACGCAAGGGCCATCAACTTCCCGTTGGTGACAGAGAGGCGCCCGTGTGGTCAAAATTAAGGCATGCGCCTCCCGCTTGGGTAGAGCCCAGTGGCAGTCACGGGTTTCAAGGTATACCTATTCGGTGGCTAGCGATCTAGAGACAAGGCTCATAGGTTGGCATACCGATATCCAATCAAGACATGACAATTGTAAAAAAAAAAAAGTCCGAGGCTTAGATTCGGTATTGGGTCTGTCTGTCTGCCAAGCCATTGCCAATGCAGTTGAAATAGGCGCTTGAATCCTCCGACATGAAGAACGGCAGAAGCCGAATATGAGTTTACATTGGGCCCTCATCAAGTTCATCAACGGAGTAAAATTGAAGGAAGCAGCTCTACGACCACTTGCTCGTCTTTTGAGATGGAGCGGAAATAAATTGTACAACGACGACGCGGTACTGGGCCTAAAATAGCAAGTACGCGGGAGTACAAGAATAATTTGGAGAAAGAAAAGTAAAGTTCATCAGGCTGAGCTACTGTTTATTCCAAAGGCCATCAGCTGCTCCGTTTGTACAGCCTTGTGTTACCTCGTCTGGGGACTGGGGACTGGGGACTGGGGACTGGAAACTGGAGAGAAATGATGGGAGAAGATGGAGAGAAAAGACTCTCGTATTATTGTTTTATACAAGTTAGATCTCGATTTTCATTGGTCAGAATGAGGGGATAAAATCAACACAACATCTGCATAAACCCCCCGCGGCCGACAACACAACTGCATAAGAGCGGTGGAAAGTCAGTTCTCCCCTTCCTCAAACATCTTGCAACATTTCCACTTCAATCGCATCATCAATCTCCAAGTACCAAGCCAAGTACCAAGCCAAGTACCAAGCCAAGTACCAAGCCAAGCCAAGCCAACTCAATCCATATCATGTAAGGCTACGCACTACATACACTTGGCATTCCGAATACTTACAGATACATACAGCTTCACCATGCCTTCCGCACCAGTCGTCGAGCAACAGATTCAGGCCCCGGAGCCAATGACCACCCAATCCTCCAACGTTGAGGTCGAGCAGCCAGTAAGTATCTCACTCCAACACATCGAACAGAATCTGCTATTACCATACATCGACGGGCAATCTGCTAACCTCTTATCCGTACCGTAGAAAGCCGCTCCCATCATGAGCACCTCTGGCGACGCCGTCGGACTGCGTGGAGGAGAAGAGGCATCTTGCGAGTGCTGCGGTTGTGGATGCGCCGAGGGCTGCTGTTAATAACTTGTCCTCAACTGCACATGAGCCAGCGATTTGGATACCCTTACCGCGGATTCACAGCAAATGATAGCGAGAGCGTTGCGATGGTTTACTAGACATATACACAGAGACGAATCGAAGGATTTATAAGGTCTCAAATGATTTGCATACTATTTCTACTCAATCTGGTGAAATGCTGGTTTGATGCAGAAGTCAATCTCTCCTTTGCTTCCTTTGCTTCCTTTATCTGGTCTGGACCCTACTGTACATACTGTAGATCTGCTTATCTCAGTCATGGATCTCTTGGCTGACAGCAAGCGGTGCACCGCCAAGAAAGCTTGTCACGAAGTCTAGAACGAAAAACCTCCGGCATTTTCGCCACTGCCCTTGCTCTTGCCCTTCTGAATAGGTTCATTCCAATAATTTCCCCCTTTCATATATCCTTGTATTCCACCGATTTCGTGTTTATACCAGTCTTCAAACTTCATGCAATCCATCTTCGGAAATCCGGAGATCCACTTGGCGCTTACACGCAGTCGACGCCAATTGGGCAAAAGTCCCTCGTGTTCAATGCGCAGCATAGAACTATTCCTCTTCGCTCCTAGTGCGGTCGCAGACATGACACAAGGGAGAAGGAAGCTCAAAAGCCCCCCTTTACATGAAGCTGCGGTTCTCTCAAGGCAAAGCAGGATACGTTCTGTCCGCATGCATCACGTGGACGATGCCTCTTTGTTTGCGAGGCAGCCACCTAGGCGAAAGCTATTCATTCATGCCCGGATACATGGGCTTTTCAATAAATGGAGTCACCATGACTGGGTGTGGGGAGGTGCGAGTAGGTGCGAGTAGTTTATGAAGACTCGACAGCCCCTTTCCCCAGGCCCAGCTCTAGCTCCCTTTTCCAGTTAAGCGAAGAAGGGAACAAAGAAAGGGGGGAATTGGCCGACCTGTGCGACTTTCAATCTTATAGATCAAGAATGGTTTATAGTAAAAAATGTTTACTCTCTTATGTGCCGGTTGAACAAATAAGAGGATCAAATCTTCAATATTGTTTAGACTTAAGAAAACATCCCAAAGCCACCCGGATTATTCCCCTTCACATTCCGTGTCCTTTGTGGTAGACCGATTTTGGATGTGGACACTCATCAAGTCTTTGAGATAATGATTTGGCTAATGGGATAGATTCAAGATCTGTAGATGCCGTTTGGATTGTTTGAGGATGGAGGTAGAACAACGCTTTGAAAACTTGGCAGGTACTGTAAATAATGAGAAGAGGGGCTTCATTGCCCCAAGAATGTCTTGCTTATACCTCGTCCCCGACTTCCTATCTTTGAAACTTTCGAACTAGCAGTACCTTAAAATATTTGGTGTCATAATCACTGTACCTGCTAATATGGAAGGGAAGCTCTAATAGCGACGAAGGGGAACCAGACTCCACATCTGCCGTATCGAGATCCATTTTCCAGCACTTGGAATCACCAACACGCCGAGAACCATACGTTTGCAAAGACAACGTCCATTTTCTGTCATCATCTCGAGGGACTTGGAGACAAAGCCAGCCACGTCGGTAATATTTTTCGCAAAGATTGCTGTAGTATACAGTCATGGCTTTGAGTTGATAGGCCTTCCTCTTGATAAAAGTAATGTCTGGGAAGATCGAGTATGCGCAGTCCCACGAGATTATGTTGACCACCGCAGTCATGTAGAAAGATGTCAAGATCATTTCTATTGGAGGGGCTTTCGTGACGATCAGTTGGACTTTAACCTCGTCACCCTCGTCGTTCGCTCGGGTAAATGTTGTAACCTGCGTGTTCATTTAGATTCAAGGACTTTTGATAGTCTGACGTGAAGGACAAACCATTTTAATGACCTCTGTAAGCTGCGCGTAAATAACGGATAGCGGCTTGGTCTTACTCCCAGAGAAGTTGTAGCCTTCATTCTCCATCAGATGCCGAGCTAGGGCTTTCATGCCGTCCTCCTTCCCCTGGCCCGGAGCCTCAAGATATATGTCTAGATCGGAGTCTTCCCAGACAGTTCTAGCAAAGAATTGCAGGGCAAAACTTCCGGAGATAAGTGCTTCGTGGCGGGCCATTAATGACCTAAGTCCAACTGGGTCGTTGACGAATCGTTTCAGGGCACGATTGATGTTCCACTGGACCTTGGACAGCCTGTCGATGGAATGTACCAGCTGCTTCGTCGTTCCTCGGAGAGCCATGATTCCACCAGGTTCGAGGTAGGTAAATATTCTCTCGAATATGAGATAATTGTTGAATACATCCTCCCATGTAGGAGCCCTCGCACTGATTTTCAGGTTCAGCGTTATTGATCGAGAAAGATTCCCATAGGAGTATCAGAGGTCTCGGAATACTTTTCAAGTAAAACTGTCTGAGTAAGAAGCTAGATGCTAAAGAAGGTACATACGGAGAGACTTCGAAATCATGCATTACAGCGTTCTTTCGTGCGTTTCGTGTCGTTTTGAGGAGTACAGGAAAGGGCTATTTTCGAGACTACGCTTGAAGCAACAATGGTGGCCAAGAATTGTCTTTCCCGTGCATATATTAGGAGCTATGGCCCTGGCCGTTGAGAATATCCTTCGCCGGCTGGATAATTTTAGGCAGATATACTATTTTACTCCTGAGTAATCATGCAAAGGCGCTTGAGGTGGCTGGGTGAAAAGGCAAATTGGATCTGGAATAATTACAGATTTCAAGCAGTGAGATAAAGTATAAGCAATCGATAAATACGGATTTACTTCTGCCTGATCTGCGCTTTTCGCAGAAACATGGAGATGTGTAAATTCATTCATGTGAAGGCGCGTTCGTGGCGTAGAAGGCACGGACCCAATCGCGTTCCACACCATCAGTCTGTTTGGTCTGAGTAGTACTCGTATCTCGTATTTCGTATTTATATGCCTGGCCTGGTACAGTTGGTCCTACAGTAAAGAAACACAGAACATCAAACTTTCCACTCTACCACTCTGAAATTTTCAATCTTGAAGCCTTTAGCCAACTCAGCCTTGCTGGTGCTGAGTCGACATCTGAGTCGTAAAGAAGGGTATAAATTCGAGACGGCCAAATGACTTCTAGATCAAGGCGGATATCCTGGAGATATAGATCTCATTTCAGTCGGTCTTCCCGTGTGCTAATTCCCTGGACATTATGACCAACATGACTGCTCATAGGTTTTAATATATACACGAACCTGGAAGGAGAATTCCAAGGAACGACAAAGCAAGACTCAAGTACTTTCGACAAAGAATATACCCATCCTATACATTTTCAGGAGCTTCTACACAACGGCAGTGGTGAATATGATATCATGGAACAAAGCTTATTCCATATTTCTCGACTGCACCTTCCTTTTGCGGTTATTGAACTAGAAGTTAGAATCATAAGCCGGTGGAAGAGGTGTAATAGTCTTCGATCCATTACCCCTGTCTTCAACTCGCTTACGGTACAGTACCGGTACAACCCCCTTTCTTTCTTCCTTTCTTTCTTTCGTCAATTCGAAGCCATTAGAGCGAAACTTTTAAATTTGACGATATTGCATGTTTGAGTTTATCTAGGGGGCTATAGACCAAGAGATGGACGGACTACTGGTACATGAATAGATAGATAATACGGCGATAAGTGCTCCGGATCTCGTACCTCAGGCGGTAGGTAGGATTTGCGGTTTTTACGGCGTGCGAGGGGGGTGAGCAGCATAGTCCTGGGAGTGGGGAGAATGAAATGTGTTATCCTTCTCATTCCTATTCCTATTCCTATTCATTTACAATACAATACATGACATGACCAAGCTATGCAATTATGTAACATAAATTCCACAACAACCATCTACTGTATTTACATACACACACACACTATATACAAACCCCTTCTTTTCTTCATCCAACGTTCTCACCCCCAGCCGAAAACCTCTCCTATAGCCATACTATTACACCGAACCCCCACAAGCGCCACCACTATCCCCACTACATCCACAACAAGCATCACCACAGCAGCTGTCATGAACTTGGGGCAGAAAATCCGATACAGCATCAAATGCCTCCGCAGATGTCCCGCCCACATAGTCGTCGCGAGACTGATGACCGCGTAGTAAGCAATATGCCACGCCAGTGCACTGATCACACTGCGGAGAATGCCTTTCTTCTTAGGCTTTTGCTTCCACAGCACGATGAGCGGCACTGCGGCCGCGGCTAGGATCTGCGCGCCGAAGGAATTGAGCGCCACGAGCAAGGGGGAGTAGGGGTAGCGGATGGTATGTAGAGGAATGAATGCTGATTCCCATTGAATGCTTGAGAGCGTAGTCTGGTGGCCTGTTTTGAAGAAGTGGAAGGAACCTAGTAGTGCTAGGATTACAGGGCCAATAGGCGACGAGGCAAGGGAGTTGAGATCAATGATTTCGAGCAGAGAGAGGATTTGCCAGGCCATGAGTGCGATGGCGCCGGCACCCATGGGTTTCTGTACCATGAGCACGGCGAGGAGGATGTTGGTTAGGAGGAGGAAGTAACGGGTGCCGTGGGTGTTTGCGAAGCCGAGGATAGTTACGGTTGCGTTAGGGCTGGTTACTTTTGCCGTTGGGGCTTGGGTTGCGGATGTGCGGACTGAGATGCAGGGCGGGGCGTAGTTGAATGCTATGGTGCCTACTACGATTGATACTGCGAAAACGGTTTGGGCGATGGGGATGCGGATGTTTTTCAGGAGTCCTGTAGGTAGGGTTGGGAGCCACTCGCCATCGTCGGCTGCGTCGAGAGTCCAGAAGACGGCGCTGAGGACGAGGCCGGAGCGGAATGCCCATCCGATCCAGACGGGTGCGAAGCCCTCGTATGATCGGCTGCTCGCGTAGTAGGACTTGATGATAGATGGCAAGAGGGCTGCTAGTAGAAAAGGGATGAGAAGCTGCCATGGAGCCGAGGTTGAGGATGTTGCTGAAGCATAGTATGTTGAGCGGCAATATGGCATTTGCTCTTCTCGACAGAGTTTAGAGAACGAGGCTATCCATCCCAGAGCAATGAAACACAACGAGTGGTAGACTCCCAATGCTCTCTCGGAATTCTTTTCCAGTCGTAATGAAGATGTCGCTGTAGCTACTCCAAATGTCGAAATGAAGAATAGTAAGATAGAGTCTTCCCAGATGGTATATGAATTCGAGGCAAATCCAATAGATTGGGTGATTGTGAAAATAACAGCGAGCCAGCCCCATAATGTTCTGGGAAAGGGGTTGCTGAACTCCATCCTCCGTCTCAGCTCCTGGTAGAAAACACCTACGATTCCAGAGATTGATCCAACTGCGAGACCGAAATCGACGAATGTGTCTGCTCCTCCACTGGCGATCCAAATAGTAGGCGAGGAAGCAGCCCCAAGCATCATACCGATCAACGCTCCTCGGATGAAAGACTTCGCTGAGGTTTCATCCTCCGATGTGAGAGTGCCCTTGGAGAAACTCTCGAGTTCCAGTTTGCTCTCCGCTATATCCAACTCTGGATCATCAACAGCTGCTTCATCTTCTGCATTCCAATTTGCGAAAAGGACCAAAGCAACGACACTCGCTGCTAAAATACCAACTCCCAACATCATTTTCGGGACGTCAAAACGAGCCCACAATTCTCGGCATATTCTCAATGTCTCTTCTTGAAAGGCAGAGAATGCAGCATATCCTTCTTTCCACATCTTGTCTTTCCCATTTCCAGCAACGGCTTTCTCAGCTGTAGCCCAGAGTGCGTGAGGCGAACCTTCAATGGTGCTCTCATCTAGACCACGAGCAACATAGTAAGCAGCCTGATATCTCTTGATACCTGCAGCAGTCATCCTTGCAATAGCCGCAAGGTTTCCCCACACATTTCCCTTCTTCCCCGCAAAAGCCTCCTCGATTGGCTTCCCCAAATTATTGAACGGAATGGGTAGTCCAAGCAGTAAAGCCAGGGTAGGAACCAGATCGATCTGGTTCACAGGCCTGATCTTCGCTGTAGCAGGAGGAGTGATATATGCAGGGTCTGTACGTCCAAAGATGCCTCTTTTCGAGTACATCCACAACGCGGCCTGAATCTCATCATCGCTCTCTCCACCATGATCTCCCTTCCCATCCATCCCATGATCACCCATCACAGCGAGCAGGGTGTTATCATCTAGTGTAGCCACCAAATCTCTCAAGACGCCATCCATCTGCTGCAGCTTGGTCGTCATAGCAGGGTGATTAGGCCCATAACGATGCCCTGCATGATCCACCCCTAGGAAATGCGCAAACATTACATCCCACTCGCCTTTTCTCTCTGGAGATAGTAGGGGCATAATATGTTCCACCACGCCGTTATCAAGGGTGTGTAGATCATATACATTGAGACTGTCATATGCGCGGCTTATATTCGCTTCGAAATACCCCGGGAAGAGAGCTGTCCACGTATCGTCTCCCAGATGTACAATCCTCTTGCCTACATCTTTCATCTGCATAAGCAGATTGTCCTCCTCAATCGCTGTACCTGCGAAGTTGGATCCAGCATCAATGAATGTAGGCAAAGTGCCAGTAGTCAAGCCCTTCAGTCTCTGCAAAGTTGTAGTAGGCGGATCCGCGATAAATGGAAGCAAGAAGGCATTTTGAGGCTGCGAGATAGCCGTCTCGTATAGGAATGGTAAAGCGTTATGGAAAGCTTCCGTATCGTTGGAGGGGATAGTGAAATCATAGCGCAGCGCATCGATGATCACCACCACTGCTTTATCAAAGGTCTTAGGATGCCAGCAGCCGCCTTCGATAGTGCCTGCACCTTTGAAGGAGGAGGAGAGTGCGATTGGGGGTTCGGAACAAGAGGACTTTTCCTCGAGCACGAGGCGGGTGAGGAGGAAGCCCCGCGTGAAGAAGTAGAGACCACTGCCATGTATGAATCTGTATTACTATCAGCACAATTCGCTTTAGCAGAGAAGTATATATTGTACGCACAGGAACCACATAAAAGCCCCCGCAACCCACCACCACTCCCTCACAAACCGTCCCTTCTTCCACTCATCCAGATCATCTGCAGGCGTCTTCTCCTTTGGCGCTTTCTTTGCTAGCTTCGCCACCTCCTCCGCGTCTTTTATAGCTTTCGCGCGCGCGTATTGCGCTGCTATGGAATTGTAATTGCCTGGTGCGGCTTTGGGGACTTTGGCTTGGACCATTGTGTCTTTGGATTAAAAAAATGGATAGCCCTGCGGTTGCAAGGCGTGGAAAAAAAAAAAATATTATTGTAGAAATACGGCGGGCTGTGTTCTCGGGGCCATGGATTCAAAGGAAGGACTGTAAATGGATTAAGAGGGAATAATGTATTGTGGTGTTTTTGAGGCTGGCAGAAATAAATGTTGCGCGTCGGTCTCTCTTGGTGACGCGAATCTTTTAAGGTCCTCGGAGGTTCGGAGAAAAGTGTCCTCAGATAGCCTAGAAATGCCTTTTGAGTTCAACATTATAGCTCATATGAATATGAAGCAAGCTCTCTCCGTAGGATAGACTTTCAACTCTCTGCGTTTTCGTGTTGTAGTAATCACGCATTTGATACCTCGGGCCTGGAGGTAGTGTTTCACTGAAATACTACTATGTACTTAGATCTCTTGAAATAACGCTTGATTCGCTCCCGTATACAGACCCAATGTTATACTACAAAAGATGCCATTCCGCCAGTGCTGCTCATATCCATATCGATACCCCTATCCCATGCAAAGCCAGCATTCCCTTCTCCCATCTGCATTCTTCCCTTCTCCCTTCCAAATATACCCAAAGCTTTCCAACCCAGCTCCAACTCACAGAGCCAAGTTATAAGAATACTCATCCTCCATATTCTGGCTAACCCATAGCACAACGGAGCTGAATATCAGTCAGTAAGTATCCCCTCAACACCACCAAGCCTGCCCCTCCACAAGAAACTCACCTCATCATAACCCCTCCGTTCGCAAGCACATTCGCAACACCCATCCACAACCCCGGCCACACCACTCCAGGCACAACATACTTCAACACCAGTACCGTAACCCCACCCGCCATGCCGCCCGCCAGACTCGCAAAGCCCAAAAACAACACGACGCGCGCCTTCCACGCAACCCCGCTTCCGCTGTAGCTGAAGGAATCAGCGGAGAGACGGGTTTTCTCGATAGAATTAATGATCAGCATGCCGAGGGATGAGAATATGAGCGGCAGCCAGTCGATAAACGCTATGTGGATAGGCGGATCGCTGCCATTGAGTTTCGAGTGCGAGAAGACGGCGGCGTCGAGGAGGAGGAAGAAGGATAGTGAGAACTGTGTAGCATATCAGCATTGCGCATCCATAGTATATCATATCATATCAGCAAGTACGCTGGAGTGGGAAGGCTGGTGGAACATCAACCCCCATCGCAAACTCCACCTCCACCTCAACCACGCAACTCAAACCCCAAGAGCTCCTCATACCCACCACAGAAGAGATGACAAGAGAGAGGGCAACAAACCAAAGCACCAGCCGCATAAACCCCCGCACTCCTCGCCACAGCACTATTCATCCATTCCGGCTTTTTGAACTTCCAAAGTCGCTCTTCCGACATGATCGTGACGACACCTTATCTGTCTTTGCGTATCCCTTTCCTTTCTCTCTTCGTAATATTTTCGTCAAAAAATGAAATCGGTTTAGGTAATTCGGTAATTCGTAGTTCGTTACTGTTCGTTCGTAGGCGCTGCGTTGCGCTGTTATCGTGAGCTTGGGACTTCGAGTTCGTTGCCAGCTTGATTGCTTGCGCGGCTGACTGATTGACAGGACAGAGCCGCGAGCCCACGCTAAGAGTTTGATATCACGTGCATGTCCCCAACCCAACACAAACCTTACGTTCTTCTTTACTCCTTGCAGTTTATCGAGTACACCTTCTTGTTTTCTATAAAAAGCCGTAGTCACAAACGAAGTCGTGATCATAATAGGTCGAAATTAGTAAGACCCTCACATAATAACTCACACACAGCAGGGAAAAGATTAATTGATGATTTATACCATGTATTGTATTGGTGTAGCACCTCCGCTCATTACTACAGCCCATTCCACCTTCACCATCGCTCTCCTATTCAATGTATACGCGTCTCGCTGTGCCCACTAGCATAAAATGCATCTCTTTCTCCCGCTCGCTCATCCACTAGCACTTTCATTCTCATCAATGTACAAAAAAAGAGCAGAGCATCCCCTCCCTCAACAGCAAAAGAAATAAAAAAAGTAAATCACGAAAAACAAGCTCCCGACCAAACCCCCCATCTAATTGTACAGACAAGCAGCATGCCGAATCAAATGCATTTTGATCACGAAGTCCCGGCTTCGAAAGAACAAGAGAATGAATGAATAGTAAGGAGAGGACCTAAACCTCCAATGCATATTCATATACGCGGATTCTGATTCCTGGGGAGAAAAGGAAGAAAGAAACATTCCAATTACTCCGAATGAAGGAGTCCCGCCTTTGCTTATTCCGTTCCATTTTCGTTCGTATGAGGATAAATGATATCCGCTCCAATGCACCAGATCAAGCCATTTCATTAATGACAAATGTAAAATCGGGGGGTTTTCTCTCTTTGCTGAATAAGGAAAACTCCGAAAACGCCTTTCGTTTCTTTCCATGTATATTTGTGGCGCGAATCCTTGTACTTGGATTAGATTTCGATCGTTTTCATCGTGTTATCGTCCTCGACCGTAGCTTTCTTCGCCGCGCTACCGTTTACTAATCCGAGGCCCTGAGGCTTGGAATTCGAGTCCCCGTCGCCCGAGTTCTCCTTGTTATCGTCGAGGGCAACGGGCTCGAGTAGTGACTCCAGAGTCTTATTTTTCTTGACTTCGTCCTCGCTGGGTCTGGGAGTCTCAACTTCGACGAGCTTCTCGACTGGAATTCCGTTGGTGTGAACTTTGATGGCACCAGAGCTCTCTTCGGTGACTCGGGCTAGCGGACTCGATTTTCCATAATTAGGTCTCGCGGGACTTGCAACTGGCGAGGCGCCACTGAAGCGTTGCATTGAACGTCCTCGAGGCTCTCCGGTCTCAGCTGTTGGACTGGCGTAAGGCGAGGCCCCAGGGGATCCATTTGCTTGACCATTTGGAGGGCCTTGCGATCGGCGTTTGTTGTTGTTCTTTCGGCCATATTTTTGATCCATTCTCCACCTCAAGATATCCAAGTATCCAGGCTCGACTTTAGTATTCTTGAACTCTCTCAATTTGAGCTCATGCGTTTCCTCGTCCACGAACCATTTCCCGCTGTTAAGATCATCTGCAACGGTAGCCAAAAATGCAGACCAGGATCGCGCAACCACATATTTGCAATCGTAGTCCCGACCAAACAGAATGACCTGACCCCATTTTCCAGCTGGGCCTGGTGCCAAATCAACGGCCAAGTTATTTCCACCCCAATCTCGAACCAACGGAATCCAAGCTGGGTGAGCATATACCTTTTGGATGGCATTTGAAGGCTGAGAATCTTGACGGGCAAGCAGTTCCTGTCTCCAATGAAGATTTGGACCTTGTGGATGAGCAGGAGTTTTCGACGAAGAAGCAGATGACGATCCTCCAAACGCCTTCAACGGGGTCGCAGGCTTGAAATTGACCGGTTCCTTAAGATATTCCTGGTTGACCTTCTTCCAATTCTCCCACTCCTGTACAATCTCCTCACAGTCCAGTAGCATGCTACTGAAGATGATACCAGTAGGAAGACCACCACGTTCTTGCCCATCATGAACTTGCAATGACTCGCGCACTTCCATGGGAAGAGAGCAGTCCAGTATATGCTCCAACTCATTCAGATCGTTGGTCGTGCAGCCCTCGCCCAAATTATCAAACAGCTCCTCGTAGTTCTCCTCTGCCCACCGATCAATTCGCTTCCAGGAATGGTTCGCGGGAGGGGGTGGAGGAAGCCCTTCTTGAAAGGCTTGTAATTGAATCTCGCCAGGTGTGACATTCTCGAAATTCTCATTTGTGTTTGACCGCTTCAGATTTTCCGATCTCATACCCGGTGAGTAAGGGGATCGTGGTCCTGGGCTATGAGGGAGTGGGGAATTTGGGTAAGCGTTGCCGTTCAAAGCTGAGGTGGAATGTCTGTTTATATCATCCTCGAAATAGGGAGAATCGACGTCTCCGCGAGATTCTGATGCCGCTGTTGCGACTGAGGTCAAGGGTGCATGTCGGCTTTGGCCGAGGGGTTGATGTTCGCCTGTTCGATAGGGGGAGTCGTAGGAGGAATCTGTTTACTATGTTAGAGTCGCGATGTTCCAGGGGAGGAGGGACAAGTAGATGACGCACGTCGGTCGTAGCTGGTCATGGTGTGCCAGAAGGTTTTGAAAGCAGAGCCGAACCTGCAGCAGCATGATTGTCAGTTGGTGTTTGTTGGCTTTCATACAGGCGGCAAACAAGGCCTGGATCCTCATGAGAGAAAGGGGGTGCTTACGACGCCATGTCTGGCGATTGTGCAGTGATTGCAGACACTATGAGTTGGGTTGGTTGGGTAGATCTAGCCGTGTTGGCGAAGTGTATATGAAGTGTTTGTCGGCGATGGGGATGTTGATTCTGGCAAAAGAATGTCGTTGTTGAATGCGCGTTGTGTCGGATTAAAGCCGATGGATGGCTGTTCTTGAGGAGGCGGGCGGGTTGATTAAATTAGGAGTTAGGCCTGATTGGGTGACCGTAGAAATACCGGTTCGCGGTTCCTCTTGCCAGGCCGGCTGCTAGTTTCTCTGCTCTGTACCTGTACCTGTACCTGGATTGACCAAAGGGGGGTGCGCAGGTATCGTCCCGAACAATTAATGATACGGCGTCGGCTTTGATATAATGATTACAGTAGGAGAGGGATATCCGTGGGTGAGGTGGGTAAGCAAGCTTAAGTGAGGGGGCTGACTGATAACATAAATTCATGAATCTATTTTGGAATTTACTCGAGGATCCGTACTCCGTACTTTGTAGAGACAAGAGACAGACGTTGGAGGTGGGCTTGTGGCTTCAAGTGTGGGAAGGAAGCGGTGATACTACCAATAGGCTCAATCCGCGAATCTCCACACGTGTAATGCCGTATACTCCGTAGTGCAGTGCAATGCAATCTACCCAGAAAATGATGTCGGTGTCGCTTCTAGTCTTGAACTTGCTTTTTCAACTGTTCAGGAGAGAAAGAGGGCAGGGATCCAGTACGTCACCGCCTGTTCTACACCTGCAACAATACCACCTGCAATATTACCACCTGCAATAATACCTTACGTAGCTATAATACCGTACAATGCCGTATCTTCAAACTCAACCTTCCTTATTTACATATATTTACCTAGACACATACCTTATACTCGCACCTATATACAGATAAATACACGACTCAGACATGTGGTGACTACGTTGCGCGGCTCCTTCCATTCCCATTCCATTCCATTCCATGCTACCCTAGGTCCCGTCCCCTTCCCTGAGAAATTTTTAATTTCTCCTCAGGACTCACTGTCACTACTGTACTACAGCAAGACGTGTTTCAGATGAAGACTATCCAATCCCCGTGCGCCTCAACTTCACATGATAGGATAGGATAACATCGGATAGGAAGATTAAAAAGGAGAACAACCTGGACTCTTGGCACTCTCTCATCTTATTTGTGCGACTTGAAGTTGACCCCTGAAGTAGGCTCGGTAGGTAAGCATTCCGCATCTTGCTTACCTTAAGGTTCAAGCCAAAGCTTGTCATGTTGCGGCGGGGCGGGGCGCGGCGGCGGGGATACCGAGCACCGTACTCGAGCAATCCTCTCTTACTTGTATGTGCTTTTATTATGCCTTTACTAGTAGATTTATTCCACAACATCACCGGCGTCTGCACCTGCAGTATCGTACCGACATGTGCAACCCAACGGAGAGGTTCTAACTCGTCGATTCAGATCCAATCATGGCATACCAGACCATACTATACAACTATTGGTTTACCACAACTACAGATACAGAGGTACTCCAGACTCCGCGCCAATGCCAATGCCAATGCCAATGCCAATACAAATACACCTGCCAGCAATGACAAAAGTAAATCTTCCATTGTTAGCTCTGCCACATAAACTCGCTCAGCTGCAGCAGATGATCCCCTAGACCCCTTTTCGCCAACGTGATGATGCCCCTCTCTGGACTCGACGCCTGTTCCGAATAGCACAGCTCCACTAGCGTCTTCAACTCATCGTAGCTGAACTGCTCCTTGCCACCATTGCTACCGTTGCCCTCTTTGGCGTGTCGGATTACAGCATCAGGTCCCTCATTGAAGAGGTCGAAGAATCTGGCCGCCCGGTCGAGATTGACATCCGCCTCGATGTTTTTGAGGTTCTGCTGCAGGACTAGGATGTTAAGTTGCATCCTGCCACTGCCATTTATATTCATGGCTTTCACCTGGCCAGCGTTGGTGACGAGGAAGCTGTCGATGAGAAGTCCTAGACCTGTGCGGATGAACGATATCTCTTTGTCGCGAAGGAAGCGCACAACAGTCTCGTCGTAAGAAACAAGATCGGCGTTGAGGCTCAGGATCTTCGGATCGGGATCGTTGGCGGCCTGTTCGAGGAGATATGGTGTTGAATCTGGGGCGAGGGCAATTGAAAGTGAAAGTATTATCTGGCATCGAACTTCCATATGCAATGTCAAGAGAACCGTGCCAGCAAGCTCTTGGTAAGATGACACAATGGAATCAAATGCACTGAGATTCATTAGCGGTGTAACCTGATATAAGGATGTGGCGACTTACCTGACAGTCTCCTGAGTCATAGGCAGGTACACCGGATTCTGTTCATCTTGCAACCTCGACACCTCAAACTCATTAAATAGCGTCCACCGCCTGCCCATGGGCTTTTGCGCTGTACGGGACGAGTCGGCAGCGTTTTTTGTAATATGACGAAGCTGGCCGATTTTGATTGCGAGCCACTTCATGCTAGTGTAAAGAACACATAACGATGATATGGTATCTCGGTCTGTGATTGTATCGTCCAATCGCAGGGGAGTTTGGTTGGTCTGCGTGATTAACAAGCCCGTCTCCTTTTCAAGAAGTGGTCGATCCTCCACTTGTGACGCCCAGATTTTCTCCATTGTCTCGTGAATATCGCCCTGTTCAGTAGCAAGTAAAGCAGAGAGCTTTAGGGTGGTGCCGTCCGAATCCCTAACGCGCGAAACCAGGGATCTGAACCAGTCATAGCACCGATCGTAGTATCTCAGCATTTGTGTAATGATGAGCTGGCTGAGCGCTTGGTCGTGAGGAATCGTATCCAGCATCCTGCAGAATTCTGTTATTAGGGCAAAGAATGCAGCTGTTCCTTTGAAGATTGGTCTCCGAGCAATATTTGCCCACTGTGAATCTTCTTGGAAAGAATCGGATTGCTCAAAGACCGAATCACTGAGTTTGCCCAGAGTCTCGTCTAGCTGGGGAAGGAATACATTGACTAAGAAATTGTCCAGGAAAGATGTCAGAGTACTCGTAACGAGATCCGATCCTGGAGGCACAATGATCTTAAGTCTCTGGAGGAAACTCAAGGTTGGAGGTAGCAACAAGCTCATGTTGAAAACACTTGGCTCCACCAAGGACTTATGGGCTCCAAGCCCGCCGGTCTTGTTGTCATAGGCGCTGGTCGCCCGCGTTGATCCGCTTCGACCAATCATGCTATCAGTCCTGTTGGTAGGTAGCTTCTTCCCATCCGTGCCCTTGCGAGAGCCAGACATCAGTCCAGGAACTGCAGCTCGAATGATCCCTTCCAAGTCTTGATACTCGGTGGTCATTTGAACAGACTTGGAGTCTGCATCTGAAAACTGAAAGAGGTGTTCTCGCTTTAAGTCTTGTCTTGAAGATCCCAGTTTCGGAGACGAGTCGAACTGGTAAAGGTCTGCATCAGTCGTTACATAGTTGTGCAGTAACGATTTGATTTCGTTCTGGTACAAATTCCACAGCTCTCTGAAACCCCCAAGAAGCGTTGATGAATTCTCTATGCCTTCTCGCTTTGTAATGGCATTGACAACATCGTGGAACACGCGGTAACTTTCGGCTATGGACTCAAATTTGGCGTATAAAGTCCACAGGAGATCATATATAACATCAGTACGGATAGAATTCTCCCGAGTGCCAAATGCCTGGTTCCCCGACTGTTTCGAAATGCCTCCACGTAACGAGCTCGGATGCTTCTGATCAACTTCGCTATTTGTCTCGTTCACGATCCCGAAAAGCTCCACGGGAAGTCGTTGTTTGATGGTACTTACAGCTGATTCGAGAGCACCGAGCTTATTAAGTGATTCTACCAGTAGCTCAATGTAGTAAAATGTGTCGGCTTCTGGATTTCTTGAGGGATCCTCCACCATTGGTTGAGATAAGTCCATCACATCTAAAACCTCGAAGAAGGGCTTTATCGAAGATGCTGGGTCCAGCTTATTTTCGCCAATGCCACCCTGACCTTTCGCAAGCGTCTGCCATCGTTCTTGGCAATAAGGTGACTTTAGATATAAATGATCATGGAGCTCCTCAATCAGAATGTCTGTCAAAGCAGACTCCTGGTTCGCCAAGTAACTCCTCAGATCACTCAAAGCCCCGATTTCATCCAGCGCCGGTACCCGTATTCGCCGTAATGCGGTCTGCAATATGTCCACGGCAGTCAGAAACCTCTTTTCTGAAATCCGTGCCTCCAACTGATCCGGTACCAAGCCCAGATCCTCAACTTCCGAAAGCGTATGTAGCAATTCGTCGTATTTCCCCGACGCAGTCGCCAATTTTCGCAGCTCCGGGTCTGTAGTTGCAAGACTCGATTTGGATGTGCTGAGAGACTCCTTCAACTGCCGTACCCTCTTCTGAGATGTTTGTATGCTGGACTGGATCTTGTGAAATGTACCAATTGAACTGTTGAAACCCTGATGATGTTCGTGTACAATGGCCTTGAGCGAATCCTGCAGATACTTGTGTGTACTCTCAAAGTTCTGGTATTCGTGTGCCCGCCCAACAGAGCTCGTATCCAGCAACTGAAGTGCTATTTGAACCGGCACCGAGTCGTTCTTGCACATAGCCGGCCATTCCTCCTTGATATGTTCGAGAACATCGGCTATCTGTTTTTCTCCGCTGCTCTCGGGCGCGACCTTGGGACGGGAGTACGCAGCAGATCTTGCTGCTGGAGGAGCAACTACCGGAGTTGGTGGAGTCCCGTACCTCTCGCCATAATCATTGCCATATGGATCATAATCGTCTCCGTCGAGCGTGGGCGAAGCTCCGTATCCTCCTCCGTTGCTGCTACCATAGGGATCATCGCCCAGGTTCCCATATCTGTTGCGGGCCATTTGCTATTAATCGCGATCGCGTGAATTTGGTCTGTATGGCAAGGCCATTCGCAGGTGTCGTCGACTTGGTTTCGTGGGGTTGTGGAAATGTAGTATCCGAGACGTTTCTGATGATCCGCAGTGGACTCGGCTGCTCCCGAGAGGCGCGTTCCGCTCCCCCCCTCGAGAACGACCTCCCAGTTAATTTCATCTTTTCTATAGTATTTCCACTTCAGAGTAGCTTCTATGAGATATGATCATAATGCTAGTACTGAGAGATGGTCTGGATTCCAGAATTACATGCAGCCGTTCACTATCTGCAATACTCCTAGTCCATGCAATACTTTTACATTGTCATAATTACTATCTTTTATAGTCCCGCATTCTTTCTTTTGGCTTACTAGTTTGCTGTACTTTTTGATTCTCAATCAAACCCTGAGCTTCTAGGAAGGTCTACTCTCTTTGTGGATTCAAACTCTCAACAGAAGCCTACATCATTCTCCCGTCTCACCCTAACGTCGTTTTCTACCTTCATTTGATCACTTTCGAGTTTTCTATCATATCAAGGCCTTTCAACATGTTCTATTCCTTGCCCCTAAAGGCACTTGGATATGAGGGCGCTCCCTTACTGTATCTCTACTGTTTACGCTCAAATTGCCGGCTCCCCGGTCTTATTGGCACATTACTTAGATGTCACCCATCTCAAAGCTTTCAAGCACTCACCCAAGACTAGATGTAGAGTCCCACGCTATGCACATTTCAATATCCAGATTTACAAGTTTCCCCATTTCCAACCCCTATATACAAGTCATTCATTCATCCAATCCTCCCTCTCCATTCCCCTAGCAACTTCCCAGACCTTCAACACCTCGTCCCCTACCCTCTCAGCACAAGCAAGGCAAATGTATAGTCTGGTAATTACTACAAGTCTCCCCACTCGGCGTATCACTCCCCGTCTGCAAATACAAGTCATAATACCCGCTCATACTATTCGGGCAAACCAAGAAATTCAACTCTGTTTCCCAGTTTCGTCAGCGTATATTCTCCTCCATCCCCTCAGCATACCAACACCAACACCAACACCGCACCCCATCTCTCCCTCTGCCTCTCTCAGTAATTTGAAATTTACTCACGTCTCCCATAACTACTCCCCACCGTTGTAATAATAGTATCCCCCTCCAATCCCCACGGACCCACCCCACCCGTCGCATTGAAACTCAACGGCAAATAACTAACCCCTCCACCATTCCCAACATTCAAAAACATGCTAGTATTCGTACTCTGTATCGTATCGCTAATATTGAAATACTCCGACGACGCTTCGGGACCCATGACGGGCGTGCTAGGCGAGGATGGCAAGGCCTGTAGGTATAGGTGGTAGATGGGATCCTCGACGCCGCGAATCTGGTAGGGTTTTAGAGCGAGAGAAATGCTCGTAGTTGCTAGAAATGCTAGACTACTCCAGCAGATAAGAGATTTCATGATGAAGTTGGCTGTGTGCGTGGGTAGGAAGGAATGCAGTGAACAAGAAGCTACGAGAATAAGAGAGCTGGAATGGAGAAGAACTTATATGCCTTCGTTCAGGGAACGGCATGGTACTATAAATCGCTTGTCAGATGACAGTTATATTGAACATTTCCAGCCGGCCGAATTCATTCCCATAAAGGCTGAATTAACTTAGGCGTTACCGTACATGCTTGTGCCTGAACCGTGACCCTCCAAAACGGAACAGCATGTTCCTTGACACACTGGTCTGAAATCAATTTAGGCTGCACAAACAACGTTGTCTGAATCAAGTAAGACATCAAATATAGCTGGTATCAGCAATGATCTGGTTGTTTAAGTACGTTCAAAAAGAGATTCAAAGCCCCTTTAACATCACCTCTGCGCCAGGCACCTGATAATCTAGTAAAAAGGGCTTAAGAGAGTTAATGGCTTTTACTGCAAGAAACAATCACAATCAGAAGCAAAAGAAAAGCGTATCAGTGGACGATTCTTTTGTTGACTCTAGAGAAAAACCATACACCATCCTCGCGATCTTATGAAAAGGTGGAAACACTTCGTTGAATACGCAACCATAAGATAGAAAAAAGCCTTCGTATGATTTATTCGTTTGGTAGACCACAATGTTGACCGCTCCTCCAAAGCAAGTAAAACAACCAGCTAAGAGAATGCCAATATTCCCTTATCTGAGACCACCCAACCGCTCAATCACTACCAACAGCACTTTTCGGAATGTAACAACGTTGTATAAGAGCAAAACAAGGGGGCTCCATAGATTGCTCGAGTTTTCCTCTTGATCATATTCGTGAAGTTCGTGAAGGGCGCACAAATTGTCTGCAAAATGCTGTAAATCCGATTAGTGGCGCATCTGAAGATCCCAGAAAATATTTGCATACCTTAGAAGCACTTGCGGTGGACGATGGAAGGTCCACTCTCGTCGTACTCTTGCTTTGAGATCCACATTTGCTGGAAGGTAGAGAGGGATGCGAGAATGGAACCACCGATCCAGACGGAGTACTTTCGCTCGGGTGGTGCAATGATCTTGACCTTCATGGATGATGGTGCAAGGGCGGTGATTTCCTTTTGCATACGGTCGGAGATACCTGGGTACATGGTGGTTCCACCAGACTATGTGGTTGTTAGCAATCCGCAGTTTATAACCCAGAATCTAAAACTTACCATGACAATGTTACCATACAGATCCTTACGGACATCGACATCACACTTCATGATGGAGTTGAAGGTTGTGACGTGGATACCACCGCTCTCAAGACCCAAGACAGATGGCTGGAACAGCGCTTCAGGAGCACGGAAACGCTCGTTACCAATAGTGATGACCTGTCCATCAGGAAGCTCATATGACTTCTCCAAGCTGGAAGACTGGCTGGCAGTCTGGATTTCTTGCTCAAAGTCAAGAGCAACGTAACAGAGCTTCTCCTTGATGTCACGGACGATTTCTCGCTCGGCAGTGGTGGAGAAAGTGTAACCGCGTTCAGCCAAGATCTTCATGAGGTAGTCGGTCAAATCACGACCAGCCATATCAACACGAGCAATGGCGTGAGGAAGAGAGAAACCTTCGTAAATTGGGACGACGTGGGTAACTCCATCACCGGAATCAAGCACGATACCAGTGGTACGACCGGAAGCGTAAAGGGAGAGAACGGCTTGGATGGAGACGTAAAAGGCGGGGGCGTTGAATGTCTCGAAAACGATCTGAGTCATCTTCTCTCTGTTGGACTTCGGGTTGATAGGAGCCTCAGTGAGGAGAACTGGGTGCTCTTCTGGAGCCACACGAAGCTCATTGTAGAAAGTGTGATGCCAGATCTTCTCCATGTCATCCCAGTTGGTGACAACACCGTGCTCAATTGGGTATCTCAGGGTGAGGATACCACGCTTGGACTGTGCCTCATCTCCAACATATGAGTCCTTCTGACCCATACCAATCATGATACTACATTCTTATCAGTTTTATATTCTTCGTGTACGGATAGCGGGGAAAGTGGCGGGGTTGGGCGGTCTTACCCATGGTGACGAGGACGACCAACAATGGACGCTGTTGATTGTTAGTTTTCCGTTTGCTGAAGATTGAGGCTTCCAGGAGCTGATGCGACTGCTACAAGAGCAGGATGAAGATAAGGAGGACTTACGGAAAACGGCACGCGGAGCATCATCACCAGCGAAACCGGCCTTGCACATTCCGGAACTGCAGGACTCGTCAGCGAAGCCCAGACATATTGTATTCACTGAAAATGCGAGATATCAAGACGGAATTCCGAAAGCTGCCCCACTGCTGAGGTCCAGCTTGGTCGTAGGGAATATGGGAGCTTACCCATTGTCAATGACGAGGGCTGCGACTTCTTCTGTAGAGGGAAGATAGTATTAGCCAGTGTCCGCATGGCTCATGTTGATGCGCTGCAGGTGTGTTGCCCGGTATTCAGAGGGGGCCATGTGTGCTTACCTTCCATGGCTGCTGATTACGACGTGAAGTCTTTAAAAATCGAGGTTGTGTGGGATATGGCGGTGAACAGCTCTCACGTCGATAAGACTGTGAGAAAGGGTACGAAGGTGTAGGAGATCACGACAAGGAGATTCGTGGTCGATAAAAGACTTGATGATGGGAATGCGGAGAAGTGTTCGAGGAGGAGTCGAGGTTGAAGGAGGAAAGAGGCAGAGACGGTCGGCGCTGTCACGAATGGAAGTTCTTGTGGGCCGCGACTGCGTTAATGGCTGCTGCGGTGCGGGAGGCGAAGCGAACAGCTCTCGCAGATCTACAGTAGGTAAAGGGGGACTGCCGCTTTAGGCACCGGTGTGAGGTATGTAAGTAGGTCGGACACCAGATTTGGGTTCGGGCAAGGAAGAGCAAGAGTGAAGATGAATGGGACGGAATTGTACAAGGTTACCACAAGGCCTGTCTCTTTTATTCTATTATTACGCTCTTCCTCCTTTCTATCAGAGCAGGAGGTAGTGGCTGGACTGCAGCAAAATTGTTCTTTTCCCCATCCCATACCATGTTGTGGCACGCCCCACCAGCCTCCGCTATAGCTCAACAAGTCCCAAAACAGACAAGCTCTCTCACGAAGCCATTCACACCGCAACACATCGGACTCTCGAAGCATGCTCCGGACAACAACAAATCACAGCAATCTTTATTTGACGCCTATAATGAGGCAACTATATGTTGCCCCCTGTTGTGTCACTTGTCGCCGCCAGACGCGCGTCAAGGGCAGTACGGTTATTTATATCCGATGGTCAGCCTCTGGCGCCAAGCAGGCTCTTGTCATCATTTCCATGCATTTTGTTGCCTCCAAAGCACAATTCCCTGTGAATCACATACTGCTTGCGTAGGTATGCAAGGGCAGCACTTGGAGCTGATATTAGAATGTTGCCTTGCCCATCCCATCATCCCCAGCCACCGACCATGTTAGGTTTGTTCAGACAGCAACTGTCTCTACGGCACCTCAGGTAGCAGATTCGTGCAGTTATCGAGGGGCATTCTTGGTGGGGTAAATTGTGACCAAAACTTCCGAAACTTGCTTATCATTTTATGCATAATCAGCATGAAACTGGATATTGCCCTGGATGCCGTCCTGGGTGTTCAATAGATGTTCAATTAAGCTTTAGACTGCGGGACCCCAGGTACGGAGAGAACCATGGGTCCTACACATGTTAGTCAAACACGTGGGAACTAACACGTGACAGCAGAGGTTCTTTGCACAGACTCGAAACTTCTGTAGCCCTTTTATTACGAAAATTGCATTAAACCACTATCTAGCTAAAAAATCAAAGCGCAACTGCCTTATACTTCGCAATAGTTCACAATATAAAACTATGAAGCTTGACGTTGAGATCACGAGCCAAATGCGGGGTCCATATAATTACTAAATCTACTCCGAGACTTACTGCAGAACACATGGAAAATTAAACTGGAAAGCACGAGAAGTTTATAGAAAGCTCCCTAATACAAAACAAAATCGACGAATTTTCACGTCTTGAATACCGAACACATTTCATCTACAAGTTCACCTACCTATAAAGTAAAGTCTCTCAATTCAAACCTCGTATACTTTCAATCCTTCGAAACCTACCACCAGAAACCACAAAACACCACATCCCGTCTCGAAACTACCCCACCACCGTACCAACATCAATACCCTCACAACCACCAATATCATGGATCCAGGCATGAACTCGCTCCTAAAATGGAGCGTCGAAAATTCCAGCGCCAGCACCTCAGACCCCACCACCGCACCTCCAACATCCACAATAAACCCCGAGGCCATGAACGCGCTCTTCGGCGGCCCCTCGGACGCAGACCTAATGATCTCCTCCATGAGCGCCATCACGTCTCCCGACCCCGAGCTCACTCTCCAAGACAAGCTCGTCGCATTCGACAACTTCGAACAGCTGATCGAAAACCTCGACAACGCGAATAACCTCGGCCCCCTTGCGCTCTGGACACCACTGCTGGGCTGTCTCGAGAGCGCCGAGAGCGAGATGCGGAAAATGGCTGCGTGGTGTGTGGGCACTGCTGTGCAGAACAACGTTAAATCCCAGGAACGCCTCCTGGCCATGGGTGGCATCCCGGGGCTGGCCAAGCTGGCTGTTGATGAGGGGGAGGATGAAAGCGTGAGGAGGAAGGCGGTTTATGCGCTGAGTTCGGCGTGTAGGAATTATCAGCCGGCGATGGATGTGTTGACTGCCGAGTTGGGGAAGTTGGGGCGCGATGACTGGGTGGGCAAGGTCGATGCTGAGGACATGGATGCTTGTGATGGGTTGATTGGGGCTATGAGGGAGGAGGCTGCGAAGGGGAAAAAGGCATAGGATTTTAGGGGGCTATGATTGCATTGGGATGGAGTTTGGAGTTGGGATTCTTGTAGGTTATAAAAGTCATAATGTCCCTTAGAGCTTGATTTGCTCTGAGGTGTGAGTCCAAAGATATACCCATTCGAGACTTGGGTATTTGCATATTGTAATGACGGAAATCTGTCTCGGAAATCGATAGTAAACATGCTGTTTACTTTTACTACAATCACTCCAAGTCGCTTCTATTAGTATGGTTTTAATAGTCTGAAAGCCTTCATCTAGTGCTTGTCTTATAAGCAAACCCCAGCACTTAAAGCATCGCGCTATATACTACAAACAATCATCCGTTGCCTTACAGCCCAGTAAACGATCCCCGGAAACTCGAGTCCAATTACAATGCTCCTACATTTGCCAACCATAGAACCATCCATTCCATCTTACTCAATGACAAAGAAGCTGTAAACCGACACGGTTTACTCATCCAAACCGTAATCCTACACGAACCTTGTGCAAAACGCAAGACTATAAAAGACAAGTCATGCCATAGATGCATACTCTTCTACATAATTCCGAACTGCGAAGGAAACAAGCTTTGTGGCGAGGCAGTAATAGATAGAGATTTACTCGTAAAGCTAACATGACATTGCCCGGCTATGTAATGAGCACAACTCCAACTCCCACCTAATATGTGAGTAAAGTCTTCTTGTTGGAAAATGAGTTTTTGGCTGTTAGTGAAATATTACGTTCATCAAACCAACAGCTTCTGTGGAAATTATCCGACGAAAAGGGATTGCATTCGGTAATTGATTAATACTTGAAAATGACACAAAGCATGAAGCATGAATTGATATAATAGACTTACTCTATTCTATCATGACGGGATTTAGTCTAACCTTCCATAGAAACGTGCAAGTGCATAGGCATATATATAAGGTCATTTTGTCCCACTATACTTGCTTGACTCCTCTTACTACCGCCGAAGAGCTTCTAGTAGATATACGGAAAAACGAAAATTGGCGTTCGCTAAAAGTGAAGCGGTGTTTGTTATAAATGGAGTATATAGGAAGGGCGATTAGATATGACAAGGGGGTTTGGGCAGCGGAACGGGATATAAAAGAAAGGGAAGAAGGCAAAAGTACGGAGTAAAAGCAATGGTACCTTTTCTGAACGGGTACGATGCTGGAACTGACTGTGAGCCTCTTAAATCTAACCTGGCAGCCTATGCTTAGATTATACCTCGAGGACCATACAAATTCCACTTGTTTAGATCGCAACAGTTTTCAATGTGGGACGTAAGAGAGGTAGAGATGTAAGTATATTCACTGCTGTCGAGAAAAGTCGGTCGGAGAATTTAGATGCTGTTATTGATTCGCTACTGTCATTGGAGACTAAAAGCCAAATGAAAACCTTGCTCTTGCAATTGCGAAGTTGTATTATAAGTAAGCTAGCATGAATGGTTGTAAGGTACTGACTGAATCGGGGAAAGTCGTCGGCTCTCGGGTTCGGACGATGCGAATGAGCTGGCAGGTCTTCGGGTGAAGGGGGATCGTGATCGTGATTATTGGCAGTCGCATTTAAAAAGAAGGAACGCTGGAAGGTATGGTTGCTGACGAAGGAGACGTACGGCGTTTGGTGTGAAATTTGAATGGAAACCTGTTATAGAAAATTCATACGAAGCTCTCGGCTATAAGCAAGCCCAGGACGGCAAGCATAAATGCAAATGCAAAAAAAGAAAAAGATGGGCTAGGATACCCTCGAACAAGTTCGACGATTCATTCTTGAAGAAACCTAGACCAGTACACCATTACACCTGGGATGTATTTTGAGTTGGGTTTATTCAATTATATATACCCACTCCTCTACCCTTAGCCCGGCGGTTTTGTGAATGTAAATGCAAATACAACTTCGTCAGGACAGTTGCTCGATAGTCATAAGCAGAAGGTTGACTCGTTACAGGACTCGCCGTCTTCAGTTTTCATAGCCTAGCAGAAGAAGATGAATACGCAACACCTGACTTGATCATAGGACTTCCATAGCCAAGGTAGTAGTCTCACAGACTCGGTACGTTTCTAGAGAAGAAAAGCATTACGCTAGAAATCCGCGTTTTAGCATAGCCTTCACTAAAGGCACAAAAGACTAAATCAAACTTGGCATTTGTTGCTCTTGTAAGCTATAGCACAACATCTACAATCTATTGAATCGGAGAGAAGCTTCTCAAATCCGGTGAATTGAGGGGTGGGTTTTGTCTAGAAAGAAATGCTATACTAGACGCTAGTTGCCCTGAGCATTATGTCCAGAGTAATCCTGCTATGAAAAGAAAATGCCGAACGAAGCACGAAGAGAAAACCCCATAATAAACTCACTATTTATCCGCATCGCGCTTTCAGATGCCAATTTAACATTGGATGTCGTTACACAATCTGCAAGCCACCTCTCAGCCTTGACTGACTCCAGGCCACTGGACTGGTATCTGTATCAGAAAATCTCCGCAGAAACCCTCTTTTCTTTCCTTTTTCCTTTGCCGAGCCGTCAAAAACCAAGCGACCGATCACATTCCGGTGGCACAGATTCCAGGGATTCCAACAATGTCCAGCTCTGCGGCAAGTAAGCAAGAGGGAGAGAGGGAAAACGTGGCAACATGGGGACGACAGCGCCGGAGAGACGAGACACGGGATGTGGGCACACCACTACTTGAGCGGTGGGAGTTCTGTTTCCGTATGCGGCCATGGCGTTTGTGGAGCAAACAGGACAGGAAAATCAACTCCGAAAAACTTCATGAGGGAGACAAAGCGTACCGTGCCAACAACAGCAGGAGCAAAACATTTAGTCCTTGGTAAGATTACATTTACCTGCCTACCTACCCGCTGCACTGCACGGGAGAAATGATAAGCAGAGCATACTGTACTGTATGCGCATGTTGTGATAAGGTTCCACGAGTTTTGTATTGCCTTGCCTCTCTTTTCCAAGTGTTTGTTTGTTTGTTCTGTTCTGAAGGACAGGATTCGAAGTTCGAATTCTCGTGCCGTGCTTGGAATTCAGTCAGCATCCGAAGATGGGGATGGGGAAGCTGAAACCCAGCAAGGACCAACCTAGAAAGGTCTATCGATAGGATCTTCTCGATTATCGGGTCGGGGACTATACTATCTAAGCACAGATCACTTTAGTCCTCTTTCATACCCAAAGTGCGGCCCGCCGGAAGCGATTTTAATAATATTCTTTCCTGCTAGGATCAGAAGAGTTAGATGCTCTATGCTGAGCTCGTACTTCGTCCTATTTTATGGCTCCTCTATCCCTTTAGAAGTAATTTATTCTTCGGCGGCGTCAAGCATCACTCCTTTAGGCAAACAGGATTCGGACGACGGAGCTGAGGAGATTTCTAGTGCGATCCGTTTGCGACGACTTCATTTGTTCAAGGCTGGAAAGAGAACGTTACCCCTGAAAGGTAATATGAAATATATTTGCTTCTATACGGAGTAGGTAAATTACATATGGGTACAACCATCCGGAGGACCCGGCAATTGGATTCAAAGGGGTTATTTCCGCTCAGAAGGAAGATTGTAAGACTACCTCATTCGTACTCCTACTCCTACCCTCCATAAAGTTGGCTATTATCCAGAGTTGTGGCATCATGTGATAGGGGTAGTATTGATATTATTACCTGCGGGTAAATACTCAATAATGAAGACGGCTATCGTAGATCTGCCGTTCTTCTAAGTGGATCAAGCAATTGATCATTGATCAAAAACGGGTTGCGGTGTCCTGAACCTGGATGGCTGACATCCCACGCGAGATTTGTGGTACAGGAGACGAACTTGAAGAAGTTTGGGGCCTTGCCTTGCGAAGGTAAGGTACTCCGTTATAGGCACTAATGCAGGGCACAGTACGTAAGCCAAGTGTTATGACTATAAAAGTGGGCAAAGTGTATCAGAAAGAGTGTAGACGAGTACTACTCGAGCTACTGTACGAAGAGTATGTTTTTGCAGAGGGGCAATCGGAGACGATGAAAGAAGTCTTTGAAGAGGCAGTGGCAAAATCCAGAAGGGTTTACAAGTTCGTGGCGTTGAGAAAGGGGAGAGAGGAGAGAGGGTGGCACACAAGGAAAAACCAAAAAGAAAGCAAGCAAAGAAAGAGCTTCTACCAAGTTTGCCTCCTCTCGGCTCTAAGAGTCTAAGGTTGACCATTCTTGAGTGAGACAAGAGGATTCCAGGGACCAGGAACCATCAAATAGGGGTCACACCAGCCAATCATAATGGAGTAGATCTTGCTCATCTGATTTCCCGGCACGCATTAATCAGAATCCATAATATTATTATTATTATTATGATATTATTGAACAAGAATCTCATGAAATCTCAAGTACCTCTTCATCTCCTCTCTACCACCGTACTACTCTTATTCATATCCTAAGCTTCCCGCTTGCCATTTGCGCCTAAACCTTTCTTACCTGACCCTCCACAGGCACTGACAAGGCTCTGCAGGATACATGCACAGACTTGCTGCCGACGTCCTTTCCCATTTGACCTGCATATGCACACGTTCGCAGTTCAGGATACTGTTGGTTGAAGCCCGTTTTTGATTGTAATTTGACCAGCAACAAACGTTCCATACATCAAGTGGCGTGAAATACGACTCTGGAGAACACCGGGTTTATCGCAATACATACCGCTGAAGCCCCTGGATATGCGGTAGATAGGGTGGGTAGATCCACTCGACCTGCGAGCCGCACACAAAGAAAGGAAGAGAGAGAGAAAGAGAGGCAAAGAAGAGGAAGAAAAAAGACGAACGGCCTTCTTGATTTAGGGAAAACAGAAGGCAAATCCGATTCCGAGGACGGCCAAGTCTCGAACCCCCTCTACGAACTATTGGTACCGTCACTACCCGTGCGTAGTTCGGAACCTAACTACCTCCACAGTCTGCCGCCTGCGAGCAACAAACGGGCCTCATTTCTTCTCCATCTAGCCTCCTAGTCTTTGAAAAAAAGACGCTGGTGCCAACAGCAATTCGAGTTCTTCGAGGGGTACAACGGAGAGTATACTGTACATGACCTCGAGGCTATTATGTTCGAAGCATTCCTTTATATCTGAACCTTGTGCGCTCGACCTCCCGGGAATCTCAGCCAGGGACCACTAGGACCTCAACAATTGATTGCGCGTAGTCGCTACCCCTCAACATGATAGTTATGGAAGGAATGATGACGCTTCCTCCAGAGCGGGGAACTTTCATCGGGCGAGCAATGTGGAAGGTTGGTTTCTTGCAATCCTCTTTTGGATTATGTCTCTAATAGCAATTTACTCGCAGCCTCGTTATGTTGTCTTTGGAAGTGGCGCGCCCTTGAAAGCACAGATAGATGCCCTAGCAGAATCCACGGGGAAGAGCAGTAGTGGGCGCAAAGTTTTAAAATCAACGTCCTCGAAGCCGAGCTTGGTAGATGTTATACCACAAGCCCAAGAAAGCCAGGAGCAGACGCTATATATATCCATCTACAAGGCCAAGGTGCGGACTATACTTGCATGCTATGGACAGTTAAATGCTAACATCACTGCTCCGTAGGGCGATTGGGAATACCTCGCACAGCATCCTATTACTTCCTTCAAGTCCTGCGAGATACGAAACATCCAACACCGAAAACAGGGCCCATCTCTACCCACACTGATGATCGAATTCAAGCCAGACTCGACATCTGAGAAACAACGAAAGCGGAGGTCAAGTAGGACTGGTGGGCTCACATCATCTAAGGACCCCTGGGCAAATATACTCCTCTTCCGAACAATTCAGGAGGAGCGTTACAATATATACGATTGGCAGGCCGCTGTGAAGCCAAATCTCACACCCGATGCACCGGATGACAGCCCGCTTACTCCCTCGAGTCCGTCATATTCATTTACAAACCCCTTTAGCTCTCGAGAGACAAGGAGTCAAACAAGTTCCACTGGTAGACCAGATTATCAACGGACCGCTTCGAGTCAGAATAATACGAATACGCATCCCCATGCACAGAGGTCAGCGATGATTTCTCCGTCGCCTAGTCTTCGATCTAGGAGATCAGATCTTTCGTCCCAAGCTAGTTCGCTTCATCCACCCATGGGATTCTCTCATAACCAGATCCAAAATTACAATCCTACTCTCCCTTCCGACCTTCCATCTCCAGCATCAACTTCCGGGTACGATTCTCAATTCATAGAAGGCTGGACATCAGCTCAGGGGCGCTCGTCAGCACTATCTTCACATACAAGAGGTAGCAACAGCATAGCATCGGCGGTTGCACCAATAGCACCACCATTTGGGTCTACTCCTCCAGGGCCACGGGAGACTATTCTGGATAGAGCTTTTCAATTGAAATATATACCAGGCGGCGATCGAGCTCAGGATAGAGAAGAGGAGAAAATCAGCAGTATTGCGAGATTTGAGGCGCTCATGCGAGAAGCCGACGAGAGAAAGAAGCATAGAACGAAAGAGGAAAGTGTCGGGCCCAAGTCTAAATGGGATCTGGACGAAGAATCGGAGGGATCCGACAACGACGACGATCTTAACGACGAGGATGACGAGACGAACGGCCTCGATCTGTCAAATAACGACATTGCAATGCCGACACCTGCTCAAAGGGCATTGGACTACATATCGGGTCGGCGCACACCCATACCTTCATCCAACCGACCTATTTCTCCTGCACCTCGAAGTCCTCCAATCCCGTTTCTCAACTCGCAAGCCCTGTCGGCCTTCCATGGCCCCCCCCCTTCATCCGGCGGAGGTCTCCGACCACGTGCTGGTACGACGTCATCTCGGAATAACACGAGTCGGCCTAGCTCGCTCGCCCTCCCACCCCGATCTGTCTCAAGCATTACAATTCCCTCTCTCAAGGACGCCAACTCATCAGGAAGTAACCTGAAAACGAGCTCATCAGACAAGGAAAAGAGAAGGAGCAGCACCAGCGTCAAAAGACTCAGTTTCCAGGAATTTGCAAAGAGGCTGAGCTCGACGAGCAGCCTGCTACTTGTCCAAACAAATGCAAGTTCCAGCTCAGGCCGAGATGGCAGTCGCAGAACTAGCAGCGAGTACGGCCCTGACAACGAAGACAGGAGCGATAAAGATGGTCAGGATAAACGCTGCGGATGGAGAGGCAGCGTCGGTGTATTTGGAAGCGAGGGAGGATTTCTATGAAGAGGGAAATTGGACGACAGAGTGAGCGATGATAAATACCACCGCTTTAGATGATTATAACGAACATCGCATCATTTGGGATTTGGCGTTGGGGAATGAATTACCCCTCCTACAGAGAAAGGAAAATGGGTGGGATATTTTGATACCGGGTACCATAGCATTTCTGAGGCGTTTGATACCATAACATACTTTCTGCTTTGCCTACCTGTCGTTATTATGGGAGGCTAGGGGGTAACTTTAGATGACTGGATGATTTATTTGATTTATGGTGGGGGGTTTTCTGAGTTGTTTATACCTATATCCCTCACGCGTTTTACGTCCACAAGACTTTAGACAAAGTTTAAAAAATATTTTGATTCACCATCCTTCATGACTGTCCTCACCTCACCCATTTCATGTGATCGTGCGGGGGTTCGGAAATAATCAGCGATACTTAATAACGATCGTACTTATAATGTTGAAAAGAGAAAGAGGATCAATCCCTCGCTTATCGAAAAAGGGGAACGGCCTGGTAATCTCTCGAAAAAGAAAAACTATTTTCAACTGTCCTATCACTATTATACCAACCCACAAAACTACCTACCTAGCTATCACTCATCATACTCCAATGTAAGCGTCGTAGGAATCGGACTCTCCTTCGCACTCCCATCCAAATACTGCCTCATCTTAACCCCCGCAAACTCATGCTCGACCACCGTAAAATGCCCCTGTCTCCCCCCCGCCCTCCTGATATTCTTCAGCTTAAAAACCTCCTTCAGCGTCGCCGCCAGCGAACTCCCCACCAGCCGTGCCCCGAAACAGTAATGCATGCCGTGGCCCAGCAAGATGTAGTCGGAGAACGGCCGGTGCGGGTTGAGCTTCTCCGGGTTGGGGAACTGCACGGGGTCCATGGCTGCTTTAGACGTCGCGATCAGGATCGTGTGTCCGGCTTTGATGGCTACGGGCCCCCGCGCGCCGTCTAGGACCGTGATGTTTCTGGAGGCGACGCGCGGGAGGCCGGGGACCACGCCGGCGTGGCGCATGCCTTCGAAGACGAAGCCTTGGAGTTCGCGCTCTGAGGCGGCGTCGTCTTTGTGTGCGAGCTCGATGATGCGGGCTTTGTATTCCTCGTAGCCTTCGCTGAGGAAGAGGTCGATGAGGAGGGAGGCTTGCTGGGTCAGGTTTCCGGCGACGGGAGCGCCCATGCCGATGCAGTCGCCGACTAGGTCTCCAATGGGCAGTTTGGAGTTGTTGAGAGCGTGGTAGAGTCTGTCGGCTTCGGGGCCAACTTCAAAGGCGCTGCCTTTGGCGAGCCAGTCGACTACGCCTTCTTTGATGCCTTGCTGCGTCTTCAAATGGGCCTCGAATATTCCTCGAAGAACAGGCGCGGCTTTTGTTGCCCCTTCCCTCAATTTCCACTCGTTTGCGGGAATGACGTTGAAGCTCTGGTACATGAACAGCACGAGGTAGATCATGAATGCTTCGGGGATTGATAACAGGCCAGCTGGGTGCTCTTTCGTCTTGAGAGGGATAGCGAATCTTTCAGCTAACCAGAGGATTGGTGTGACATTTGTGACATCGCGTACGATGTCAATTGACCTTCTGGTGCTATTAGAGTACTTCAATGAATGGTCCTTGATGAGCTTGGCGACATTAGTTCTGAAGAATTTGGTAATGTTAGCCTCAAAGTTCTCTTCGAATAATACTTTGTGGAGGATGCTGGAACGGGCATCGTGACGTTTATTATCATCCCACCCAATCATGAAATCATGATTGTCCGTGCATTGGCGGATGGCCTTTTGATACATAACTCGGAAAACTTCTCGGTCCTCAAATATCTTTTTACAGCCTTCGTGGGTATGAATGCCGATAACTTTCATGTCACTTGCCGGTCTCTCCATATCGTAGAGTTGGATGGTCTTGTTTTGCTTCAATATGCCCTTTGCTGCCGACGGGGTATAGAAAGGAAGTAGTGCGTATGGAGAAGTGCCAGTGTATGCGCCTGGAAGACCATTGAACAGCAAATAAGGTAGCATACCACCATAGCCTCCCGGAAGTATCGTACCAACTTTAGCGAATCCCCAGTTGGTTAGAGTAGTACTGTTGAAGTCATAGCTCAGGAACCGATCTCCACGGACAAGAGCGACAGCATCGTCAAGAATACCTCGTCCTGATGTATGACCCGGACAGACACCGGAACCTGGCATAGCCGGCTTTGTGACCTCGGCCATCAGACCAGGGTAGAGTTCTAGGTTTTCGATGTGGCCATAAAGCAGTTCGGCAGCTCTGGCAGTCTTCTCGTCTGGATTCCAATCTTCGAAACTCTCGTAGGGCTTCAAGTTAAGGTATCGACGGAATCTGATAAGAGAGAAAACAGATTAGCAATTGTTGCATCCACCACAAGAAAAAGAATTATTACTTACTCATTCATAGTGCAGACATTGAAAATATCTCTGGCTTGCAATTGACCCATGATATCAACAATCTTCAGACTAGCAGGAGTACCATGCGCTCCGAAAGCATGTGCCGGCTCGTATACACAGTTCTTAAGAATCTCTGCAATATCAACGTCACTGAAACTCCCATCTGGTCCCCTTTCCAGACCTCCAAATGTCCAATTTTTCGGCTCGGTTGTCATGAGCTTATGACCGTAAGTCATCATGACCTTTTGGAATAACTCGACGGTCATGTCATCAAGGGATTTGAGATCAGGCAAGGCGGATATTATAACAGTCTCCATCCATTTGTCATCAGCTGCGGAAAGAGCAGCATGCCAATGGTAAAGCACTGCGAATTCGACAGAGACAACATTGCCGGTTCCTCTCTCGATTCGCTTTCCATCCGACTTGATTTCCGCACCCAGGTCAAGGGACCAGGTCGAATTAGCTCTATAGTACATCCACGAGTCAGTATCATATTTTTCAACCAGGGCTGGAGAACATGTGGATTGGAACGTTGAATGAATAAGACGTATCATAATGCTTGGGAGGGATCAAGCACAATAGGATTTAGGATAGAGCTCAACCACAGCTACTACTTACCTTGGAGTATTAAGAATAGCGGCGACATAGTCTTTCAACACCACAGTCGCAAAATAGCCTACATTGATATTTCGAGACAGCTGAAAGATATCGTTGTCTTGCCTTCAATTGAAAATGTCAAATGAATCCATCCAGCCATAAAACCACTTCAAAATAGGGACTTACCAAGCTTTCTGCTCATCATTAAGCTTCTCCCAAGGCTTGTATTTCCCTTGTTCATTGACAGTAAATAAATTCTCCGCAACATGGTTGTGGTTTCTGAGAAGAGTTCAAGTTAGCACATAATCTTCACATCATTTTCGGGTTTAAGAACTTCTAGGAGTAGGCTCCTAGCGGCCAACTTACCTCGAGAACATTAGTAGAATAGCAACAACACCAGGCGGCATCATCATAATCCTCTCACTAGCGATGGAATCAGGGAAAATCTTCCCATTCACATAACTCCTCACCCGCTTCTGTTCTACTTCTGTATTGCCATATATCGTACTCAGATCCACGTAGCTTGAAGTTTCGTTGATCCAGGGATCCTTACGGGACGTCTGGAAGCACTCATGGATAACGATCGTAGCAAAAGAGAAGAAAAATCGATTTAGACCGGAGGGGTGCTCGCGGAATGGCCCAGTCCGTTTGAGAAGCTGGTCAAAGACCAGTTCTGGGTCTGGGAGATTTGGACCTTTGGGCTTGGTGGGAGGCACGCTGCGGGAGTAAGCCGAGCCAGCTTTGCCCATCTCTGGGATCCACGGATTATTGCCGCTGCCGTCATGCTGCCTGTATCTAGCTGAAGGGCCAGACATTGTAGGTGGAGGGTGAGGGAGGTCATGGTATAGCATCCCAATAAAGTTGTTGGAAACCGTTTGGCTGAGGCCACTGTTGGGTGGCAATGACTGCAGCATTGAGACACCGTGTTCAAGCAGGAGCTCTTTGTCGTCTAGAGGCGCGCCGGAGGCAAGTGTCGTTACGGCGGTTGCAACTGTTCCCGCATTTTTGAGGCCCATATGAGCTAGGTCATGGCCAATGGAAGTCTTTTCATTGACTGGATCTACCTCGTCGTCTCTTTTGCCATCGGGGGCTGTGGCAGGCTTCCGCCTGATTGACCCGATCAAAGTCTTCAATTGACCTGGCATTGTGTGGTGGAGTTAAGAGATAGTAGATATGAACTCTGTACAATAAGGATCTGTTTAAACGTCAAGTAATTCTACCCCAGAATGATCTAAAGAAATCGAAGAGAGGGAGAATAGGCTGAATAGTACTTGTAAGATGCAGGCGGGGTTAAGATAATGCAGTTGATATTAGAGAGGCAAGAAAAAGTTTCACTTGATTGTATTCGATTGGCTTCTAATTGGGTAACAATATCTCGAGGAGAAATCGTCACCCCATGAGCAGTCAATCACTGCAGTAGTCTTGCATGTTTCAATAGTAATATTACTCCGAAAAGACAGCTCCGCTTTACCGGTAGTCACACAGTTCTCAGATGGCTGTGGTGTAGGTGTAGGTGTAGGTGTTCAGCTGTCGTGCGGTTACAGTAGCGCCATCCTGATCGGGATCTGCCTCCTCCCCGCCAAGTCGGGTCATCCATGCGCGGATCATAACTTTAAAGCTGTTAGCTCTTATCCTGAACGGATCGCACTGTTCCTCAAGAGGTTGAGGTCTACCTACCTAGCTTGCGGGGTCTAGACGGCACGGGATCGGAGGCTAGACGGTTTCTCTTGCTTTATGACCTACCCTAAAAATAATGGTATCGACTCAATGGGAAATTGGGAATAGCTTCAACTTACTAAAGGTGTGGATACACATTTAAATTGTTCAGCTCTGTAGTGGTTGCTTTCACCCTATCAATCTTTAAGGCTACTCGGCGACTCGGCTACCTGCAGGCTTGGAGCGCCACGGCTGTCTGTTGCAAGCTGTACTCGGATTGTGATCTCCTGCCTCGGTGTCACATCGTGTGGTGAGCAAAATATGAGGACTAATGTAGGAAGCTTCATTGGACGGGGTTCTGCTTTGATTTTCAATACCGAGATCTACAGTGTTCATCTGATTGATTAGCTTGGGATGGTACGGATGTGGCGCCGCTTGAGAGGGGTAGCTTTTGACCATGGATGCTTTCCTCAAGAGCTTCCAGTCTAATTAGTTACTCTTCGAGCTAAAATATTGCTGTCGTAATGCTAGCTGGCGGGATAGCTCATCGAAGTTTGAACATAGCTTACGGGTTTTTCCAAGCTCCAACAAACCTACCTCAACTCTAAAAACCAAGCTGTCACGTTGGAGCCGTTTCGCCCTCCGGGAAACATCTGTCGTACAAATTACAATGAGCAGCCACACACAGCAGGACGCTTCGGTTTGGAGACCGAAAGCGTACCCCGCTCAAGAATGGACAGGAGACTCCCTCAACCAAACTGCACAACCACAGGAGTCAGAATTTTTAGAGCGCTTCCCAACTACAATCCAGGCCGTCCAAGACTCGCACGATCCGTATCCTGGAGGGCGGACTCTTGTAATATGTCTGGATGGCACTGGTGACAAATTCGACGGCGACAACAGCAATGTCGTCAACTTCGTTGGTTGCTTGAAGAAAGATGACCCGTCTCAAGTCACGTACTATCAGTCTGGAATTGGTACGTACGATGGACAAGGGTTGAAGAGCGGCTTCTCGGCTGCGATTGATATGGCAGTTGGGAGCAGCCTAGGAATCCATGTCAGGGATGCATACGCTTTTCTGATGCAGAATTACCGTGAAGGGGACAAAATTTGTCTTCTGGGCTTCTCGAGGGGATCATACACGGTGCGTTGTTTGGCCGGTATGCTGCATAAAGTTGGGCTTTTGCCAGCATACAACCAAGCCCAAATTTACTACGCATACCAGTTCTACAAGGACGATACACCGGAAGGGTGGAAAATGAGCGCTGAATTCAAGAGAACTTTCTCTATTGACGTTGATGTGTATTTTGTCGGTGTCTGGGACTGCGTCGCCTCGGTTGGGTTCATTCCCAGAAAGTTGCCATTCAGCAAATCACCAACCAGCAGCATTTGTTATTTCAGACACGCGATGGCTCTGGATGAGCATCGGGCGAAATTCAAGGTTTGCCAATGGCAGCACCAAGATCCAGCTGCTGCGGAGGTCCCAGTCATCGATAAGACCCCAAAGGCAAAAGTCAAGGCCGAGAAGGGGAAAACTGTTGGCCAAGTCCGGCGGGTTTTCAGTTCATGCTTTGGCTCTAAGCCAAGCCCTGAGGTCAATGCAGGATCCGACAAACTAACTTCGACTTCCTCTGCATCTTCTTTTTCTGAGCTAAAGAAGTTCGAGCAACAACTCAATAAGTTCGAGGAGAAAAAAGACCGAGAGCAAGACAAGTATGAGGCGAAATTTGACAAGGAAAACCATTCAGTGCACAAGCATAAAGCATCAGATGTATTGGAAGTCTGGTTCGCAGGGGCCCACGCCGATGTTGGTGGAGGGGCTGTTGTCAACGAGGAGCGACATATGCTCTCACGTATCCCTCTCCGCTGGTAAGATTATATCATTACCACTTTGCTGAACCTCTTGGGGAAAGCTTGGAGCCTGGGGCCGCTTTTGGCCGCAGGTAGATTTATATCGGCTCCCGAGATGAGGCCCCTCGGCCCCCTGATTTTTGCCATGCTAATTCGTTGGGCAGGATGATTCGCCAATGCTTCGAAACCAACACCGGCATCTTATTCAGCACAGCGGCCCTAGCAGAAAGCGGCATCGACATTCCCACCGTCTGGCCCATCTATCTCACACCCAAAAAGCCCGTCGTTGGTCCCTCCCCGACCACAGTCGAGAAATACGAATCCGGTGCCCTCCCACCGATCAAACGCCGCTCAACCGCGCTCGGTATCGACCGAGACGAGAAGAAAAGCAACATGCTAGCAGAGTTCTCGCGCGCTCATGGATATACGGAGAAAAAGCGGCGTCGTTTGGAAGCGGAGTTGTTGCCGGAGCATGTGGAGGATCATTTCGATGCCATGGCGCCGATTAATGATCAGCTCGTGCTGGCGAAGGGATGGTGGGTTCTTGAGATGTGGCCAGTTAAGGTGAGGATACAGAAGAAGGATACGGAGGAGTGGGAGAAAGTTGTGAGGATGAATTTGGGGAGGTACAGGCCTATTAGGGAGATTGAGCCGCAGCTGCATTGGACGGTGCAGATGAGAATGAACGACAAGGGGTATAAGATCAGGAATAGGGTGGATAAGGAAGCGATATGGCAGACAGCTATTTGAATTGGCTTTAATTTGTAGTCGTACATAGGAAGAAGTGTTGTATCGGAGGAGTAATAATAATTGATAAGGGGTAATGGAGAAGCCTGACTAGCTATTAACTAAGTTTGGAAGACGGAAAAAGCGTTTGGCTCATACGTCAATAAGAATGAAACACGCAGAATATTACATAAAAAGAAACATTGTATCCGGGCGAATTAGCTTCGTAATGACATGTAGCAAGCATGCTGGTGAAGTAGCGAAAGTATGGTTATGGTGCAGTGCCTCCGGAAAGTGCTTTGTTCTTGTGAATGAAAACTGCCTTGCAGCGAGAGGGGAAGAAGACATGACTGGTTATATGAGTTGCTAAGCACGATTTTGGCTAAATCAAGTGTAATATGTTTCATCAAGGTCTTTGAAGCTGTCCTGCCAGCTTGGGTCATCAATATACAAAATGTATCATCGTAAGATGCTGTCAGCTCCACAAACGAGTAAACAAGTTGCCATTACAGCGGATCCATTTCCGAGAGGCACCGCTCTGAACGCCTGCCGCTCGATCCTTGACGTTAAGAAATCAAATGAACGTATTGGCATCTTGGCCAGTATGTTGATGAGAGTCCAGCTGAGCGTGGCTCAGCCTACATATAATGAGATCGGTAGTCGGGGGTGAGATGAGGTTGTGATGGCAAGGTTCGTAAGGTATTTGAATCCCACCCCGCCTCATCCGTATTTCGGAACAACCCCTCGAAGTCCAATACATCTGGAGTTCTCCAAGAGAAATTATCCCCAAGTCCTTCTCCAAGAATATACGAGCAGATGTCCCATCTCCTATGAGAAACTGACGAATTTCGGATCCCTTGGTCTTCCATCTGGTCCGATATTATTCTTCGCAAATCGTCCTTCCGTATAGATCCTCCTCGCCTCATCAAAGTTCACTCTCTTATTCTTCATAATCTTCTGGATCTCCTTCTTACTAGCATTATCTAATCCCGCCCTCGAATCACCAGCCGCGACATTCCCAGACAAGTCGAAATCAGAGGAAGAGAGACCGGCTTCCATGTCGCTCGAGAAAGACGAGGGGAGTCGGGAGTAGAGGTACGAGGTGCCTGGTAGAGACGGCATATGTGATAGCCAGTGGGATCGTGTGAGGAAGAGGGCTATATGACATATATGTCAGTGAGATGCAGAGTCTGAGGGGCATGGTCCTTGTCTTACCCGTGGAGAGGATGAGGAGGACAAAGACGGAGGTGTAGAGTAAATAGGCCATGGTGCGTTTTCGAAATTAGAGGAAAAGAAGAAAGGGAAATGGGATGGTCAGGCAAGGAGTGGATCAATGTAGCGGTTTGAAGATACAATATCTGGCGGGGGCAGTCAGCTCATCTTCAGCATCATCTTTATGCCATATCCGTCTCAAAAGGCGCCGCAGTCTTCATGCGTGACGAAGCTCGTACTAGTGCCGTACTAAATCGCGTCTGCTCCAGGTAAAGCAGGGACGACGTTGATTGGTCCATTTGGCGAGTAGCACACTCGACTTTCCAACATTTGGAGGCTGCACTATATTGAAGAGACGACGTGAATAATTTGCACTCTTCCGCATCAATACCGCACAAATGGCACACCACTCAACTCAAGTGTCTTCGGACTTAATCTGGGAGATTTCCCGTATGTTTTATCCCCTGAAAATACCCCCGAGGCGTGGCAGTGGGAGAAAAGGCACGGAAGAGAAATTATGTTCATGGACTGAAATTTGGTATTACAGGAAACCAGAACTCGTACCTCGTCAAGCGCGCTCAGTCTGGAGGTATCCAATTCTCGCGGGATCCTCTTAACCTGACCAACGTCCACTCGCGCAAGGTATGATGTTCTGGCAATGAATTCGAGGTTCAAGAGCTGATTTATTCATAGAACGCCGGTTTCGTCAACGACAAGGTGCGCATAATTTGAGGACACGAGGAATGGGAAGAATAGGAAAATACTGATGATGGAATAGGCCGTCGGAGTTGCCCCAGCTACGGATGGAGGTGTTACCCTGATCACCAAGAAGGCCAAGCACCCACAACGACCAGCAAGCCAATCCCACACCACTACTTTGAGCGGCAAGAAGTCCACCAGAAAGTGAGTCTATACCAGCTGCTTAATAAATATCACTTCTGGATACATTCTAACTTCTGTTTCCCCCAGGACCTACAAGACCATCGCCTCCAACACAGCCAAGTCAGGATACCGACCCGATCTCCGTGCTTCAGCCATTGCCCGCGCATCCGCCATCCGCAAGTCACAAAAGGAACCCAAGGACCTTCCCGAGAGCAAGCTCCGTGGTGCGAAGGCGAAGAAGGCCGCTGCTGAGAAGGAAGAATGAGTTCGGTCATATTGAGCGAGGAAAAGGTGTTTGCTAGTCACGAATAGAACTCAATTCCCGGAGTTATACTGAGGTCAACATATCAATGAATGATCATGGAATGGCATTTGCGACAACCTGGTCTGAATTGAATGTATGTGATTATTGCGAGGGATGGATTAGCTCAGTCCGGCGAATATGAGTGCTTTCAACCACCACTTTGGCTTCTGATAAAGACGTACCTACCTCTGGTCGAGTGCCTCGTCAACCTTGAAACTTCCGACATGTGAAGATTGAACTCGGGAAACTTTGTAGACTGTGCAGCTGAAGATAAACTACCGTAAGAATAAGCGTCAGAATTATCCGATCCATCCCGACCAGCTTTGAGCCTCGGCGTGGTGGGTGGGGATTCCCATGCGGTCATTACTGTAGCTCTCCTAACTAATAAAAGGGAGATCCTCCGCTCTTGGAAACATCTGGATAGTTACATTTTCTTGGCTGCAGCGAGCGCAAGAACGGAACAGTTGACCGCAGTAAGCTCATTTCCCGGACGCCCGTACCCCTCGAGCCCCTCCTCCCCACCTCGTGATTTGCCAAGAAGCTTGACCCCTCCACGCAGTCAAGAGACTTCCGTCAAACTCTTGTACTATACCATCATCAACTTGTCTATTCTACTTAATCAGAAAAGTGTCTATCCTTGAAGGCTTTCTCCCAAATACCTAGGAATCATCAAATCCGGTACGTGAAACAAATCTTCCATTTCTTGTTTGCGCAATATCGCCAAATGCGGGGTTACAGTAATGTTGACATTTGCGCGTAGTACAAATCCCTCACTCACCAAATCGCAACTATGGGAATCAAAGCCGGTATGTCAATATAAAGATACGAGCGCATCTAGGGCCCCTTCTAATAGCTACAGTTGTTGCTGGTGCCTCTGGTGGAATTGGACAGGTAAGTCAACAATGAATCCCTTACAAGGACCCCTGGATCTTTGCTGACCATTACCTCGACAGCCATTATCCCTCCTCCTCAAGACCTCCCCACTCATCACCGAGTTGGCATTATACGATGTAGTCAACACCCCAGGTGTCGCCGCCGATCTCTCGCACATCTCCTCGCCTGCTGTATGTACACCACAAGAGAAGAGGGAAAAAAGTAATCAATCGTGTTCTGATGAGAAATAGAAAATCACCGGCTACCTCCCCAAGGACGATGGTGCCAAGCTGGCTTTCACCGGTGCAGACATCGTTGTCATACCAGCTGGAATTCCCCGTACGTATACCTTACTACATTGTAAAGCGCATAGAGATGTGCTAATATTATATTACCCACCATACAGGCAAGCCAGGAATGACCCGTGATGATCTCTTCAACATCAACGCTGGCATCGTCAAGGGCCTCATCGAAATCATCGCCGATGTCGCACCCAAAGCCTACATCCTCATCATCTCCAACCCCGTCAACTCGACCGTCCCAATCGCCGCCGAGGTTCTCAAGGCCAAGGGAGTCTTTGACCCCAAGCGTCTCTTTGGTGTCACTACCCTTGATGTCGTCCGTGCCGAGACCTTCGTCTCCGAGATCATTGGCGAGGCAAACCCACAATCCCTCAACATTCCAGTCATTGGTGGTCACTCAGGGGAGACCATTGTGCCACTCTTCAGCCAGGCCAAGCCTAGCGTTAAGATCCCAGCCGACAAGTTGGCTGATTTGATCAAGCGTGTGCAGTTTGGTGGTGACGAGGTTGTGAAGGCAAAGGATGGTGCCGGATCTGCTACTTTGTCTATGGCTTATGCAGGCTTCCGGTTTGATTTCATATCCCGTCTGCTTTGAGATAATACTAACAGCACGTGTTCAGCTTTGCTGAAGCAGTCCTGAAGGGTCTCAGCGGCGAGAAGGGCATCATTACCCCTACTTTCGTCTACCTAAAAGGTATTCCCGGTGGTGATGCAATCGCCAAGGAGACTGGCTTGGACTTCTTCTCCGTTCCAGTTGAGTTGGGCGTAAGCATTTCATCTTTATCTTCCAAGCATCATATCGTACTAACCACCTACTCAGACCACCGGAGCCGAAAAGGCCCAGAACCCCCTCGCAAACCTCGACGACGGCGAGAAGACCCTCCTTAAAGCCTGCGTGGAAGGCTTGAAAGGCAACATCGCCAAGGGTGTAGAGTTCGCCCACAACCCACCTCAAAAGTAGTTGTCCCAAAACCATCCATCTGTCTGCTTGCCTCTCCTCTGTCCTTTTTGGCTGTGGTATACCGATTGATCTCTCTGTACCCTTGACTGATTATTGGCTTTGCTTACTTAGACTATGAACATTGCCCCTTTCATTCTTTTGATTTGAGTTTGAGATGGGAGCGCAGTGCAGTAGAGTGCAGGTGCATGTGCGAAGCGTGTTACAATCATCCCTAGAGGAAGCGAAGAGAGCGTGCATGATGGCCTGTTTGGGGATTGTGGATAGCCTGTTTATGAATCAATGGAAATGCAAGTAACGGATGGACATGAAAAGTAGGACCTGGTTCACTGTGATTTCTGTGATTCCCACATATCGTTAAGCTTCATCTAAAGCTAATGCTGCCATATCGCCATATAATGCCCCGCTCCCCAAACGCCAATCCCATGCCGCTAAACCGCACCAAGAATCATGCCATGCCATGCCTCTCTCTCAACTCCCATCTCAACACCCATCAAGCTTTCACTTCACTTCACAGCAACACTCTTAATCTGAAACGTCGCCACAAACCCATCAGCCGTCTCCGCTTGCACCGTAGCGTTAATGCCCATACTAGCCAACGCGCCCCTGATAATGCCGCATGGGAACCATAGGAACTAGATACACCTCTCGTCAGCCCTTGCTTGTGTCCCTCATCTCATGCCTCCCTCTTGCTTAAGATGGCGAAAGGGAAGGAAGGGAAATGCACATACCGGTTGAGCTTTAACCACGCCCCCGCCCCCTGCAACGGCACTGAGTCTTTTCAAAGGCTTGAATTGTGCGTCTGTGAGGACATATACTCCCTATTGCCAGTTAGCTATCTAGTATATTTATGTTTATATGCATATCCGTTGAAGGAATAAGGGAAAGGAAAAAGGGGGCGGGGGAGGGTAGGAGAAACACACCCTATGATTCGTCTTCAGATTATCAATCTGTTTCTGAAAAACTAGCATCCAGAGATCTTTACACAGGAACTTGATAACATCCAGCGTATCCGTAAACCGGGGTCTATCTTTCGAAAACCTATTCATAAAATCAGCCGTTTCCCTCATCTTAACCTTGAAGTATCATCATCGCCTCATTCGAATCCCCTTCTCTTTCTCTTCTCACCCCGTTCTTCGGATATGTATGTGTAGTAGTTCGTGTAAAGAAACAGAAGCACAAACCGTTCAACCAAGCCCTGCCCAACCCTATACCCCAACATCTCGAGCCGGTAAAAAACAGCATCCCTCTCTTCCTCCTCCCTCTCCCCCATTTCTCCTCCTTCTGTACCCCCAGTTAAACTCCCTCCCCCTCCCCCTCCCGCATTCCCTCCTTCCCCTACCCC